GTCCTGGAATTAGCTATGTAGACCAGGCTGGTCTCAAACTCACAGAGATCTGCCTGCCTCTGCCTCCCGAGTGATGGGATTAAAGGCGTGTGCCACTATTGCCCAGCTCACAACAGTATTTTTTGAGACTGTATTTTATTTTTAGTTAATTTATTTCATGTGTGCATGTATGTGTGGGTGTGCATATACCACACATCAGGAGAATATGAAGAGTCGGAAAACAACTCAGCTGAAAGGAAGACAGGGAGAGGACTTGACTCTGTGGTACTGAGAGCTTTCTTGATCTTATTTCCATTCTGGTTGATTTTTTTTTCTCTGAACCTCTTTGAAGTTATAATACAGCAGACCTGATCTTTCAAAGCCACTGCGCTTTGTATACAGTCCGTTATCTCCGATGAGGAGCACGTTGTTACAAAAGACTGCTTTGGCTTTCTTTCTTTATAAAACCAGGTCAGGATTAATTTTAAGGTTAAAAAAAGATGTGACAGATGAAAGAGCAGCTTGAAATCAGGGGCTCTTCTTGTGTTACTCTGAGCCCAGCATCCTCTTTTATAAAACCCGAGTATATCTGCAGGCCCCTTTGTCTGCGCTGTGCTGTCATCTCTAATGCACTTGAAGAAGTCTTTCCCACCGTGGGATTCAATACCAAGCCTCAAAGAGATGGTCTCGGATTTCCTGAATCTGGGTAATTAGCTGAGGTCCAGTGGCTCAGTTAAACCATGAAGGTCAATAATGCATGAATTCTTGGCAGATTGCCTACCTAGCACAGTGCCCTCCATCAGCACCCCTGTGCAGGGTCTAAATGGTCTCGAGGAACGTTTGTGCTTTTTGTTTTTTTGTTTTTGTTTTTTTTTTTTTGGTTTTTCGAGACAGGGTTTCTCTGTATTGTTTTTTTTTGTTTTGTTTTGTTTTGTTTTTTTTGTTTTTGTTTTTTACGAGACAGGGTTTCTTTGTATTATTTTGGAGGCTATCGGTCCAGCCCAGCCTCGAACTCACAGAGATGCACCTGCCTCTGCCTCCAGAGTGCTGGGATTAAAGGCGTGCGCCACCACCGCCCAGCCCTCTGTATTGCTTTGGAGGCTGTCCTGGAACTCACTCTATAGACCAGGCTGGCCTCGAACTCACAGAGATCCGCCTACCTCTGCCTCCTGAGTGCTGGGATTAAAGGCGTGCGCCACCAACACCCGGCTTGTGCTTTTTTAACATGAAATATTAGGATTAGTGTAGCATAGATTTTAATTAGCATAGATTTTAATGCTACGACAAGTTCTTATAGGTATGAGACGAAAGTTTGGATGTGAGTGCTCTCCAGATTCTCCAGAATCCTTTCTTCTCTTTATTTGATAGTACAGTCACCCAAACCTCAAAAATCAAGTTGAAATACTTCAGATTAAAATATAACAAGTTGGACACTGGTGGCCCATTTGCATAGTCCCAGCACTCCAGAGACAGAGGAAGAAGGAATAATGCAAGTTTGGGTTTTCTCTTAAGGTCTTTGATTCATTTTCAATTAATTTAAATAATTTTAATTTACTTGTTTCATATGCATGAGGGCTTGAATATATGTATGTACACTGTGTATATGCCAGAAGAGGGTGTCAGAAATCCTGAGACTAGAATAACATCATGTGGGTGCTGGGAATTGAAACTGGGTCCTCTGGAACAGTAGCAAGTGCTCTTCTAAACTGCTAAGCCTTCTCTCCAGCCCCTTGAGTTAATTTTTAAAAATTATTTTAATTTTGCATATTTGTGTGTGTGTTGTATGTGGATTATGTGCACTTGACTACAGATGCCCTAAGAGGTTAAAAGAGGGTGCTGGGTCCCTTAGAGCTCATGTTGTAGAAAGTTGTAAGCCACAGAGTGGGTGTTGGGCCCTCCTGAAGAGCAGCAGCGAGCACTCTTATCTGCAGAGCCAGCTCTCCAGCCCCTGGGTTTGTATATTGTGTGTGTGTGTGTTGTTTTGGTTTAGTTTTTGGTATTTTGGAGACATGGTTTCTCTGTGTAGTAGCCCTGGCTGTCCTGGAACTAACTTTGTAGACCAGGCTGGCCTTGAACTCAGCCTCCCTTAACTCTTAAGTGACTCCTGCCTACAGAGGCCAGAAGGGGGTGTCTGATCTCCTGGAGCTGGAGTTACACATGGTTGTGAGCTTTTACGTGGGTGCTGGGAGTTGATCCTCTGGGGGTGCAGCCACTGCTCTAACCCACTGAGCCATGTCTCCAGCCCCTGAAATTAGGATCTTTAAACATTACTTTTATGTTGAGGTCATGGGAATGTTGCTGAGGACTGTGTTAGTTCTTGTACTTTTCCTGATGACTTCCACCTGAGGTTTATGGGGGTGAGGCTTTATGTCCTCCCCAAAACAATGCTTTTCCCCTTTGGTAAGATCTTATCTTGCACTGGATTTTTTTTTTTGTTTTAGTTTTTTGAGATGTATTTTATGAATGATTTGCCTGCATGTATATGTATGTGCACCCTGTGAGTGCCTGGAGTCCACAGAAATCAGAAGGCATTGGATCCTCAAACCCTGGTCTTTTGCAAGAGTAACAAGTGCCAGACTGGAGAGATGGTTCAGAAGTTAAGAGCCCTGGCAGCTCTTCCACAGGTCCTGAGTTCAGTTCCCAGCAACCACATAGTGGTTTGCAACCATCCATAATGAGATTTCCTGCCCTCTTCTGGCCTGCAAGCAGAACATTGTGTCCATAATAAGTAGATTTTAACAACACAGAGTGACAAGTGCCACCACTCCAGCTCTTTGTGATGTTACCCACAAGAGCAAGTCCTACTCCCACATAACAGGTCTGGGCTTTCTAAAACATTAGGCACCAGGGAGGGGGCAAGGACTAATTGCCTTAGTCTAAAACAGTGGTTCTTAAACTTCCTAATGCTGCCACCCTTTAATACAGTCCCTCATGTTGTGGCGACCCCCAACCATAAAATTATTTTTTGTTGCTACTTCACAACTATAATTTTGCTACTGTTATGAATCGTAATATAAAATAGCTGATATGTATGTTATCTGGTATGCAACCCTTCCCTAAAGGTCTCAACCCACAGATTGAGAACCACTGATCTAAAGCTATCCCCCAGGAGGCTGATTTTAATCAGCATTTCTTTGTTTGTTTGTTTGTTTTTCCCTAATTCAGGGTTTCTCTGTGTTGCCCTGACTGTCCTGGAACTCACTCTGTAGACCAGGCTGGCCTTGAATTCACAATCACCAACCTCTGCCTCCAAGGTGTTGGGATAAAAGGCATGGCCACCACCCGCCTAGCCATGGTCTAATCAGGTTGTCATCTCAAAGGATCACTACTCAATGCTGTCAGCCTTGGCAAGGGAAGAGCTGACTCCTGCCACCTGCTGGTTAGCATCCGTCTACACGCATGTGGGATGCATGCCTTTGGCCTTACAATGGTCTCATCTCCCCTCAAAAGTAAGCTTTGAGATGTGATTATTTTAAGACTTGTTCTTCGCTTCATTATAACATAAAAATGAAAGGTAAATAAATAAACCAAATCTCTTTGCAATTCAACAAGGAATTTAAAAAAAGATTGTAGTGGTGATGTATATCTTTAATTCCAGCACTCAGGAGGCAAAGGCAGGTGAATCTGAGTTCTAGGACAGCCTGGTCTACATAGTGAGTTCCAGGTCAGCCAGTTGAGATCCTGTCTTTAAAAACATTAAAAAAAATATTTTCCAGTTTGTCATCTGTCTGTCTGTCTGTTGATGGATTGTAGAAAATATATCAGGCACAAATGGCCTCATCTATATCGTTCTACTTTGATGATATTTGTCTTTAAGCCTAACTACTTCTTTCATTTCTGAAACACCGAGGAATACTAAGCTGTGTTAACAGAGGAACATTGTGGTTCCTCTGTTACCTACAGTCTCTCTTTAACCCAATGCTTTGACAAGCTCTGTTCTTTTTTTTTTTTTTTTTTTTTTTTTTCCTTCGAGACAGTGTTTCTCTGTAGCTTTGGAACCTGTCCTGGAACTTTCCCTGGAGACCAGGCTGACCTCTAACTCACAGGCCTGCCTCCGCCTGCCTCTGCCTCCTGAGTGCTGGAATTAAAGGCATGCACCACCACCACTGCCCGGCGAGGCATGTGGATTTTAAAGTGGAAATCATTTCTAGCTAGTGGTAGTTTTGTTTCTGTTGTTTTAATTATTTTACTTTAGAAAAGGTCTCATGTGGCCAAACCTTATCTCAAACTCACTATGTAGCCAAAGATGACCTTGAATTTATGATCCTTCTGCCTCCATCCTCAACTTGTCGAATTATAGATGATAGATTAGTTTATTCTTAGTGTATGTTGAGGTACCTCAAGATGAATCCAAGGCCTACCCTAAGAAGATGAATACACTAGGCAAGTGCCTACCACTGAGCTATATCCACTTCTGTTTTTGAAACTAAGTCTCAAGAAGCCCAGGCTGGCCTCAAACTCACTATGTAACCAAAGGTGACTTTGAACTTCTGATTCTCCACCCTCCATGTCTCAAGTGCTAGGATTACAGGCATGTACCACCAGACTCCTTATGCCATGTTGAAGGTTGAACCCAGGGTCTTTTGCATGTTAGGCAATCCCTTTACAAATTGAGTTCCATCCCCAATCTATATGGTTATCTTTGGTGCACCAAACTCCATATACACTAGTCGTTCATTGGCTGATACCTTGTCTGTAAACTGTATCAACAAGTGTGGTTTATTGATATCTGGGCTGCAAATGATGCTGTACTTTGTACCGTGGTTTCCCAGCTGATATGGAAATATGCTTTTAAAAATGTGAACTGCTAGATAGCATGTCTGACCTCCCACAACAGCACGTCATAGAGAGACCACGATGTAAACCTTTGTCTTCTACAGTTTCTACCATCACATGTGCTATGTTAGTAGATTCTGGGCAGGTTTGTCTTCTAGTCAGTCTTTTAAACTGTTCTCCATTTACTAATTCTGAATGGTTCATAGCAGATTTATCATCTATGCTGTTTTTGACCTCCAATTCAGGTGACGCCTTCCCAGTGCAAATGAGTCCCATAGCTCAGTGTCAGTTTGTGCCCTTGGCTGAAGTTCTTTGCTGTGCTATAGCTGATATGAATGCAGCTCAGGTGGCTGTGACACAAGAATCACTCTTGGAGCAGTTGATGAAACATTACCCAGGTAACCAGTGTTCACCACTTGTATTAATTTGAATGTGTTTAGTTTCTATTTATAAGCACTCTTAGCATGTAAGTAAAGGCTATGGTGTCCTTTTATCCTTTTTCCATACAATCTTTTGTCATAACACTGAGTTAACCCAGCTCAGTGGCACAGGCATGCAATAGTCTCAGCTAGTGTCTGGGCTGAGACAGGAGTGAAAGTTCAAAGCCATCTTAGGCAGCTTAATAAGACCCTATCTCAAAATGAAAAGAGAGAGTTGGGGATACAGCTCACTGATGGAATGTTTGCCTATTGTCAAGAAAAGCCCAACATCAACAGTGTGTGTGTGTGTGTGTGTGTGTGTGTGTGTGTGTGTGTGATGCATGCCACAGTATTCATGTGAAGGTCAGAGGACGACATGCAGGAAGAGTTAGTCTCTTACCACCTGGGTCCCAGGGATCAGACCCAGGTCCTTGGGTTTAGCAGCAGGTGTCTATTGAGCTGTGTCACCAGCCCAGATTCAACAATTCATAAATTTGTTTGGTTTTCTGGATGATTTTTTTCATACATGAATACACGTTAATCAGATTTTGTAGTGAGGGATGGAAAGGAGGATTCATCTCCCATTTTCCCGTGTCTGTTTCCCAGAGATGCAACTGCTAGAATTTGTAGCTCTTAGTTGTGCCTTCACAACTGCATTTTAATGTTTATGTTACCCTTTATGACATAAGTGCAATCATTCTGTACATCCTTTATATAGCGTTCATGAGACTTATTTTAAATTTCCATGTTTGTTCAGACTTTCTCAAGGCATACTTTACTTTTTTTCAGTGCTGGGATCGAATCCAGGACTTAATGCCTGCTAGGCAATTTCTTTCCTACTGAGTCTTCAAATTTTAAGTTGATTTATATCCAGTGATATTCAGAGTTTTGTTTTTTATATTTAACCATTAGCCTAGCCATAAGTCTATATGGGAACCAACTTATAGAGTATTTTGTAGTTTAATTACACATATTATTCTTTGGGTTGTTTTGTTTCATTGAAGATGGGATCTCACTGTAGCTTAGACTGGCCTACTCAATATATAGCCATAGCACAGGGTGGTCTTGAAATTGCAGTGATTCTCCTGTGTCTGCCTCCTGGGTGCTGAGATTACAGTTAGAGTCATTACACTCAGTTCTAATTTAAAAGAAGTGGTGTGTGTGTGTGTGTGTGTGTGTGTGTGTGTGTGTGTGTGACACATACACACAGGGCATACCCATGCAGGCCTGCATGTGTTACAGACCATATGTGGAGGCCAGAGGATAACTCTTGGAAGTAATTCTGTCATTTTGTAGGATCAAGGATCAAACTCAGGTTGTCAGGCCCTCATAACAAGCACCAGTGTCCATTGAGCTATCTGACCAGCTAGCATTTTATTTGCATGAATTACCTACAATCAGCTCCAAGACTGTTAAGCAAATAAATGGTTGTCCTGAATTTCTAATTTCAATGTGCTTTTGTTTTTGTTTTTTAAGGTATCGCTGTTCCATCCCCAGACATGCTCTACAGCACACTGGGGGCTCTAATTCAAGAGAGGAAGATCTACCACACTGGAGAGGGCTACTTCATAGTTACACCAAACACTTACTTCATCACAAATACACCCATACAGGGAAATAGGAGCACCCTCCTGCCAGACGAAGGGTGCTCTGCGCCCACTTCTGTGACCTATCTGGTGAGCATGGACTGCTGTGCAGAGCTGGCCCAGGAGAATGAGGCCCCCATTTCCCATTGTCCATCATGTCAGTGTTTCCTTGATACAAGCATGCAGGACGCTAAGGACCGACGGGCTGCTGCAGAAGGGACTAGAAAAAAACAGGAAGGTCTTGAACCCACACTTTTGATTAGGCACCAGGTAGTTTCAGCACCTGAAGGCACCCACATCTGTGTGAGCCCCAAACCATTGCCATACATCAAAGACAAAGGCAAAAAGTTTGGTTTCAGTTTCTTATGGCGCAGCTTATCTAGAAAAGAGAAGCCGAAAACAGAGTATCACAGTTTCTCTGGGCAGTTCCCACCCGAAGAGTGGCCTGTCCGAGATGAAGATGGCTCCAACAACATCCCCCGAGATTTGGAACATGCAATAATTAAAAGAATTAACCCTGTGCTGACTGTTGACAACTTAATCAAACACACAGTCCTAATGCAGAAATACGAAGAACAGAAAAAATATAATAGTCAGGGTACTTCCACTGAAGTACTGACAACCAGGCATAAGTATTCTTCTAAAGAGGGAATTTGGAAAAGGCGGGGCCGGTGTGCCAAGCCTCACAGGCGGGGCTATTCTCATCGGAATAGACACAAAGCATGGAGTCAGGGAACCATTGGACAGGAAAAGCACCCCAAGATCCCTGCAGCCCAGCCTGTACCCAAAATGAGAAGCCCCAATAAAGAAATTCAGCAGTTGCATGGTGGGAACCCAGCTGTACTAGGTTCCCACTTGATTTATAAAAAACAGATCAGCAATCCCTTCCCAGGCATGCATCTCCGAGGACACCCAATATCCAAAGGGCACATTGTAGAGAAGAGCCAGCATCTGGAACCTAGTCCAGTTGGGTCAGAGCAAAAGCCTTTTCGGAGGGTAGGGTCTTCAGGTCCTAACAGTGCTTTTGACAGTGGAGCCCAAGAGCCGAATGCGGACCAGTGCCATGATAAATGGGGAACAGAAACCATGCATGCGATGAAGGCGCCTGTCCATCCTGTCAGTGATGTCAAAGGTGGCCTGGGAAATTACCCTCCACGTAGTGTTTTGCTAAGCCACCCTCGGTGCTGTTCCTTCAGGGAAAGCATGTTGAGAAGTGGTGTATATAATGAAGAAAGCAAGGTCATCCCTGAAGTCTTGAGGAAAAGTTATTCTGATTGTGACATGCTCTTGGGAACCAAAGAAATGCCCTCACAGACTTCCTCCTCTTTGGAGCCCGCATCCTGTGTGCATACGTCAGTGGATAAGATGGTACACCAATTCCAAAGCCTGGACCTCTTAGATTGCCCAGCTGGGGCAAACCATTTAAGGACACCTGAAAGACAAGATGGTGACTCAGAAGAACTAACTCGGAAGGTGTTTGTCCCAGAGGCAGAGATTGTAAACATGGAAAACGAAGGGCTCTCCGACAATGAGCAGGAGGAGGCAGCCTTGAACCAGAGTAACGCCGGGGTAGATGATGGGGCCTGTAGTTCACTGTATCTGGAGGATGATGACTTCTCTGAGACAGATGATGACTCTTGTCACACACTGCCTGGACACACTCAGGGTTCCTTTGCAGGTGGAGGCAGGCAGAATCATTTGGGAAGACCAATGATGACTGGAAGATCTCTGACTGAATGTAATAGCAAAACTGATAGGTTTGAGCCCCTGGCGCTTGAAAGGAATCACTGGTACAAGGCCACTGGGTTGTTTACAAATTCAGGGGAAGGCCCAAACCCTGATCTTGCTGACAGTCCTGGTCTAAATTCAGGGACGCCATTTGGTTTCAACTACAAAGGAGATCCCACTGCTACCTGTGTCCAGGCCCCAGCAGCCACTGGTAAAAATTTACTTAAATGCTCTACTGCAAGGAAAACCAGTTGTGGGACTGAGATCCTGCACCATTCTCCTGGTGACACAAAAAAGAAGCCAACTGGCTGGAGACAGAACCGTCCAAATCAGGAAATGGAAAACCATTTCACAGACAAATTGCAACTTTTCAACACCTCACATGTGCCAATGTTGGCTCAGGAGCATCGAGAGCACAGTGGCCTTGAGGGGACAGAGAGTTATAGCATGACAGGAGACAGCGGGATCGATTCCCCAAGGTAAGGGTGTATATGGGTATTGCATTAGTTACTCCTGCAGGAATTACTAGAGTCAGGGTGTGTGGAGCTGCCCAGTGAGAGATTCCTGAACAAACCAGTGTAACAATATCAACAGTCTTGGGGGAATAAATTATATCAAGTTACAATGAACTTGCCTATGGTAAGGACAGAGTTCACTTTTTTGTTGTTTTTGTTTTTCAAGACAGGGTTTCTCTGTGTTAATAGCCCTAACCGTCCTGGAATTAACTCGGTAGACTAGGCTGGACTCGAACTCAGAGATCTGCCTGCTTCTGTGTCCTGAGTGTTGGGATTAAGTAAGTTTACATCACTGTCTCCTGGCCAGAGCTCACTTTTAAAAACTAGTATCTCTAGAATTTCAGACACTACATATTTTTTCAGGATTTATTTTATTTTTATGTGTAGCAGTGCTTTGCCTGTGTGTATATTTGTGCATGTATCATGTAAATGCCTGGTGTCCACTGGGATCAGAAGAGGGCATCAGATCCCCTGGAACTGGAGTTATGGAAGGTTGTGTGTGAGTCACCATGTAGGTGGTGGGAACTGAATTCAGGTCCTGTGCAAGAGCAGCCCATGCTCTTAACTGCTGAGCCTTGTCTCCAGCTTTATACCCTACATTTATCATATTCACCCTCTTACCCCCAGTTCCTCCCATACGTACCCTCTCCTCCCTACCAACCAAAATTAAATTTTCCTTTTTTTAAAATTCCCATCAAGTTAGTTTGTGTTGTCCAACTACTCTTAAAGAAAACTAACTAAATAGGGTTAGTGGGGAACCAAGTTTTTTTTGTTTGTTTGCTTGTTTGTTTTGTTTTTTGAGACAGGGTTTCTCTGTGTAGCTTTGGAGCCTATCCTGGCACTCTCTCTGTAGACCAGGTTGACCTTGAACTCACAAGAGATCCTCCTGCCTCTGTCTCCCGAGAGCTCGGATTAGAGGTGTGTGCCACCACTGCCTGGCTGGGACCAAGTCTTACTGGAAATTATTTCTAAAACTAGAAAGGAACCACTAAAAACAAAGTTGGAGGTCTTCTCATCTATTCTTGGATCTATATTTGTTAAGTAAAGGATGTGGCCACTTCTCACTTGTTTAAATGACAATTGTTCATATGATAAACAATATAGATATAATAAGATATTTTAGAAGTGTTTGGGGTTGTAGCACAGCTAGTAGTGTGCTTGAATGGCATGGCAAAGCCCTGGGTTTGATCCCAACATTGCATAAATGGGATGTGATGGCATTAATTCTCATCTCAGCATGTGAGGGGTGGAAACAGGAGTTCAAGATCATTCTTGCCTACATAGCAGGTTCAAAGCCAGCCTTGGTTCAACCCCCACCCACCCACCCACACAAATCTGAGTATTAAAAAGTTTAAAATAACATTTTGTGTGTGTGTGTCTGTGTGCGCGCGCGCGTATACGCGCGCAATATAACAGACTGTGGAGGTTAGAGGCCAACTTTAAGGGGTTGGTTCTCTCTCCTTCCACTGTGTAGGTCCTGGGGATAGAACTCAGGTTATTGCTATTGGCAGCAGGTGTCTACCCACTGAGCCATCTTACCATCCTCCCCAAAACTTTGTAATTATCCTACTATTTTCTTTTTCTTTGCTTTTTCAAGACAGGGTTTCTCTGTGTAACCCTGGATGTCTTAGAACTTGCTCTGTAGACCAGGCTGGCCTTGAACTTAGAGATTTGCCTGCCTCTGCCTCTTGAGTACTAGAATTAAAGGCGTGTGCCACCACACTCAGTACAATAACAATGGGGGCTGGAGAAATGGCACAGTTAATTATGCATACATACTTTGTATGTCTGTGCATCATGTGTGAGCCTGGTGCTCACGGAGGCCAGAAGATATAACATGAGTTCTAAATGGTCTTAATAATAAAAGTCCAGAGTCAGATAAGAGGGGAAAATGCTGAGAGATTAGAGAGAAGAAGAAGGAAGCCAAAACCATCTTTACCGCATTAACTTCCCAGTAGAAAAGAGAGCCAGCTCCTTTTTCCTACACCTATATTCTTTTCTCTGCCCAGCCATCTCACTTCCTGTCTGTCTGTACAGACCTCCAGACCTCTATGGTTAGCTAGTGGCAAGCTCTACCCTCTGATCTTCCTTCAGACACGCTTTATTTGTACAAACAAGTTATCACCACAAGAAGAGACCATCAGATTCCCTTCAGTTACAGATGGTTGTGAGCTGTCATGTGGGTGCTAGGACCAAACTCAGGTCCTCTGCAAGAGGAGCTCAGTGGTTTTTGTTTTGTGTTGTTTTTGAGGAAGGGTTTCTCTGTGTAGGCCTGACAGTCCTGGAACTCACTCTGTAGATCAGGTTGGCCTAAAACTTGGGAGATCTGGCTTCCTTTGCCTCCCGAGTGCTGGGAGTAAAGGCTTGAGCTGCCCCCCACCCGGTTGGTGCCAGTGTTTTAACAGTTAAAGATCTGTCCCATCTGATCTCAGCATGTGGTGGGCAGAGACCACTTTGGGAGTCAACCGACCCTTTCACAGGGTTCATCTCAGTCCATCAAAAATCACACATTCATAACAGGAGCAAGATTACAGTTATGAAGTAGCAATGAAAATAAGTTTATGGTCATCACAACATGAGGAACTGTATTAAAGGGTCACAGCATTAGGAAGGTTGAGAAACCACTGCTCTAGCCAATTCCATAAAGAAGTTATTTTTAAAATTACTTTGCGTGATGTGTTTGCATGTGTGTTCATCTGTGTATATACACAGTGTTCCTGTGGAAATAAGAGGACTACTTTGGGGGAGTCGAGTTCTCTCCTTCCATCTTGAGGAAGAGTCTCTCTTGTTTCTGTCCCTGCATTGTTTTCACAGCTTCTTACTTTTCCGCCTCGCTTCCCATCTCACCCTAGGACTGTTGGCATCAGAGCTGAGAGCTGTGGGCTTTTTTGGAGGGTGGAGGAGGGTTCGAGACAGGGTTTCTCTATGTAGCCCTGGAACTCACTCTGTAGACCATGCTGGCCTCAAACTCACAAAGATCTGCTTGCCTCTGCCTCCTAAGTGCTGGGATTAAAGGCGTACACCACCACCGCCCACAGAGAGCCTTGGGCTTTTTTATATGGGTTTTGGATATTAAACTCAAAATCATTAGACCTGCCTGGCACACTCTTTTAAATGTTTTTTTTTTCTTTTGGTTTTTTGAGACAGGGTTTCTCTGTATTGTTTTGGAGGCTGTCCTGGAACTAGCTCTGTAGACCAGGCTGGCCTTGAACTCACAGTGATCCACCTGCCTCTGCCTCCCTAGTGCTGAGATTAAAGGCGTGCACCACCAACGCCCGGCATTCTTTTAAATGTTTAGCTGTTGGGGCTGGAGAGATGGCTCAGTAGTTAAGAGCACGGACTGCTTTTCCAGAGGACCTGAGTTCAATTCTCAGAAAGCACATGGTGACTCACAGACCATCTATAATGAGATCTAGTCCCCTCTTCTGTCCTTAAGAATACATGCAGACAGAAAACTGTATACATGATAAATAAATACATCTTTAAAAATGCCTAGCTGTGGGGGCTGGAGAGATGGCTCAGAGGTTAAGAGCATTGACTGCTCTTCCAGAGGTCCTGAGTTCAATTCCCAGCAACCACATGGTGGCTCACAACCACCTGTAATGAGATCTGGTGCCCTCTTCTGGTATGTGCAGACATACATGGAGGCAGGATGTTGTATTCATAATAAATAAATCTTAAAAAAATGCTTAGCTGCCTTTCTGGTCCAACTTCTTGTTTTATATACTTTTAATCTTATGTATTGTTGTGTTTGTGTGGGTATACACATGTGAGTGCCGTACCCTTAGTTACCAGAGGCCTCAGATCCACTGGAGCTGAAGTCACACTTCAGCTGTGTGTGAGCAGCCTCGCATGGGTGCTGGGAATTGAATTCTAGTCCTCTGCAAGAGCAGAGAGTCATTTCTGCATATTGTTTAAAATAGATTATAATATAGTTTTCTTGAGAGGCTTATTATTACAGATACTGTGACTCTTAGGATCAAGGCCAGATGGGCAAGACATAGTTAGTACCTTATTTGAAAATTAACACAGACAAGCTGAGCTGAAGAACACACCGAGATTCTTCACAACTGCCAAAGATATGTGAGATTCTGGGTGATGGGCAAGTTAGGGAGATACTCAAGGATAGAGCACTTGCTTAGCATGCACGAGGCCCTGAGTTCAACCCCTAGTCATGACAAAACAACCAACCACAGAATTACTGGGGCAGTTGAGGGTGCATCTTGGCAGTAAGGTAGGGCACACGATTAACAAATGTGCTGAAGATAAATGTGACTAGATAAGGACATGGATACACTGTTCTTAGGACAAGAACAGTATCACCATGAAAAGCAAGAGTTGATTTTTTTTTCTTGTGACTTCACAAAAGATGTCATACAAGATATGGATACTGATTCTGATAGGGAGCTAGATTTTTCTGGCTAGCAGGTACTGGTTTTATTCTTGACACTAGGTTTAAGAACCAATGTTCAGATAACACAAACTTCTTTGAAAGCACCTGTCAAATAATTGGGGTGCTATTATTTAGCTTTTCACATCTGAAAAATGGACTACCTTCGATTTGTTAAGTATGTCTTAATGCTCATATAGCTTGAAACTAACAAAATGAAATTACAGTGCCTAAAATAGCATTCTGGGTCCCTCTGGAAGATAGTAATTCTGTCCTTTTTAATATCTTTAGGACACAGAGCCTGGCATCTAACAATTCTGCCATTTTGGATGGATTTAAAAGAAGACAGAATTTTCTGCAGAACTGTGAAGGCATGAAGAGCCAAATGTTCCCATCCAATTCCCTGCTTCAACTAACCCCAGTTATAAATGTCTAACTTAAAGATGTGGTCTTATACTGTAATTCAGCCTGGCCTGGATCTCAGCAGGTAATCAGTCCCCCTGCCTTAACCTCTGGAGTGCTGGGATTACAGGCATAAGCCACCATGTCAGGATTAAAATTTTAGCTGACTTTGAAGAATTCTCTTTAAAATTGGGTATGCTCTAAAGCTGAACACGTATATTAGTAACCCCACCATATTGCAACCTAATTAATTCTTCCTTTTTACCACTTTAAAGTAGTTTTCAGTGCCTTTTATTAGAAATCTGTTAGTTTTCAATGAAAGAAACATGCAATCATTGGTCCTTTTCTAATGAAGCATCCCTAACTTTAATTTTCCTTGATCAGTTTCTCTAATCTGTATAATGCTGATTTACTACCCAGTAGCCATTCTCATCAGTCATAGGAGTACGGAATTCTCAGGTTAAAGGGGCGTGGTGGCTAAGAAATAACTCATCCCCGATGGCCGAGTAGTCAAACGTATCCCAGTGGTTGTATGTGGCAGACCTTGCTCTCATGAGATCCTTCTTCCACAGTGCTGACCCCCACCCCACCCATTTTTTCAGCCAATAATGTCACATCCATTCCAAAAAGGAAGACAAAATCAAACAAGACAAAAAATTCCTCCAAATGAAAAGTGGACAGATGGCTAATTCTTTTGTCTATAGTAGTAAGGCATTCTGTTTAATTTGTAGAGAACTTGCCATGTTTTCAAAGATTTAAAAGGCATCCTACAAAAAAAAATGTGCTGCCAAATTGGGTGTGTATTAAGGATTGAGCTGAAGGAAAAACGTGGTGGAAATGAATGAAAAAGGGGCTTTTTCTTTGACAAACATGTTTTTGAAAGTTAAACTCAGGCAGGGCATTGGTGGCACATACCTTTAATCCCGAGCAGGAGGTGGGGGAGGGGGAGCAGAAGAGAGAGGTGAGTATGTAGTTCAAATGGTAGAGTGCTTGCCTAGCATGCAGGAGGTGGGTGTGGCAACTCATGCCTGTAGTCTTAGCACTTGAGAAGTTGGAGCAGGAGGCCTAGAAGTTCAAGGTCATCATTTGCTATGCCAAGTTTGAGGCCAGCCTGGGTTAAATGTTCTACCTCGGAAGGAAGGAAGGAAGGAAGGAAGGAAGGAAGGAAGGAAGGAAGGAAGGAAGGAAGGAAGGAAAAAAATATAGACCTGTCAAGGTTTCTCCTAAGCTTTGGCTGTGGACATTCACAATGGTGCCGAATTACATACCAACTCTCCATTTTTCTTAGTGGTACTGATGACAAATGTCTAGTTAACACACACTAAGTTGTTTCCTTTTCCATTGTCAACATATCTGAATGGTGCCCAGTGATGCTGGGTAAAAAGAGAGGGACTTGGAAAATAGAATATTATGTAATTACCACCCCAAACTTACCCTTAATGAGGTATCATTGCATAGTACATTAAGGAAATTTGAAATTGTTAAGTGCATCAAGTTTGTCACTGCCAAGATTGAATTTCCTAAGGGCCAAAGGAGTAAATCACCCCCAATTCCTGAAATTTCTTTAGTGTTGATGTTGATGAAGTTGCTTTTGGAAGGTGAGATGGCTAAGTTGAAGCCAGATGTTGAAAAGGCTTTGTGATTTTTGACATTACGTGGTTTATAGTATCATAAGCAATGGGCCAGTAAGATGGCACAGTGGGTGAAGTCTCTTGCTGCCAAGCCTGCCTACCTGAATTCAATTGCTGGGATCCACATAGTAGAAGGAGAGAACTGACCATCAAATATTGTCCTCTGACCACACAAACACACACTAGTAAATGCAATGTTAAATGTCCATTTGGTTTATATTATTCTCCTCTACTTTTATAATAAAACACATTGTTGGGGAATATTATTTTAAGGTGTGTTACATTTGTTTATGCTCTGGAGTATCTGTTTAATGATGTAAAGATGTGTTGCTTTTGTTTAAGTTGCCATTTGTTTAACTCTGTGAAGCTGTGATTCTTTGTCTAAAACACCTGATGGTTTAATAAAGAGCTGAATGGCCAATAGCGAGGCAGGAGAAAAAATAGGCAGGGCTGGCAGGCAGTATAGATAGGAGGACGACTCTGGAAGAAGAGGAGGAACAAGATAAAACAAGGAAATGAGGATGTTAGGGGCTAGATACCCAGACACACAGCTAGCCATGGAGTAAGATACACAGAAGAAAAGGAAAAAGCCCAGAGGCAAAAGATCGATGGGCTAATTAAGGTAAGAAAAACTGGCGAGAAACAAGTTAAGGTCCAATGTTCATAAGTAATAACAGGTCTCTCCATGTGTGATTTGTTTGGGAGCTGGGTATCAGGCCCCCAAAAGAGTCAAACAAACAAAAACCACCACCAACACCACATTTTTAGAAATCAACCAAGGTTCAGTGAGAGCTCTGGTTTAAGGCTGCTAAGCCTGATGACCTGAGTTCAATCCTCAGGCCTCATGGTAGAAGGAGACAACTGGCTCTTGAGCTGACCTCTGACCTCTATGCATAATGCTAACTACAATGAATGTAATCTTGTTAAATCAAAGTTTTAGTATTTATGTTATTGTCTTTATTAGTGATCACAAACTTATGACCTATTTTTAAGACTCTCTGAATGGGTTACTGGGCACCCCAAGAGTTGTCCTGCCGCCATGTGCACACCTGTGGCAGGCGCACATAGACTTCCAACACACACACACACACACACATACACACAAGCTTTTTGGATTTATGTATATGAGTGTTTTGCACACAATTATGTGCTTATCATGCACAGGCCTGGTGTTCTTAAAAGTCCCAAGAGGATGGGCATCAGATCCTTTGGAACTGGAGTCACAGAGTGCTGTGAGCCCACAGAGGGCTGGGAATTGATTCCCGGTCTTCTGCAAGAACATGTGAACTTTTTGTTTGAGCAAGGGTTTCTCTCTGTAACAGCCTTGGCTATCTTGAAACTCACTTTGTAAGCCAGGCTGTCCTTGAACTCAGAGATCTGCCTGCCTCTGCCTCCCAAGTACTGGAATTAAAGATTCATGCAACCACCACCCCCCAACCCCCCCACACCCCCCACCACCCCCCACCACCCCCCACCACCACCATCACCAGCAAGAACAAGTTTAACAGCTAAGCTATTTCTCCAGTCCGCCCTCGAATCCCAGTCCCCACCCTCTCCACCCCTGCCATACCTCTGTTTTTTTAAATCAAATTCATTGATAGTAGTCGAAACTACACCAGCTCAGTAATACATCCCCATGCTGGTGTATGTTATTAGATCATGAACCTATTGCTGAATGTAACTTAGCAAACATACTGGAAAATGTCACTCTGGCACAGAAAACAAGGAGAAGAGCCTGCTGCTGCATTTTGAGAAACTACAGTTACTTGAGAAAACAGGATACAGGAAAGAGACTGTTGCCTACCAGGGGTGAGGGAGCTATCAAGAATGGGGACACCCTGGACAGATGTCAGCTTCACACAGCCTATCTTGACTGAAGCCTTCTTACTGGCTTCTTAGCAGTTTCCACCCAGTTCTTGGTTGACAGTGCCCTCTTCTGGAATAACTCATGTTGATTCTGACGCCCTCCTTCCTACAGCCCAATTCAAAACGCAGGGCTGGAGAGAAAACTCCATGATTAAAAACGTGTACAACTCATGCAGATGACTGTAGTTTCATTTCCAGGGATCTGATGGCCTCTTCTGGCCTCCCCAGGCATTGACATACATATACCTATACACATCTAGACACATAATTAAAAATACATTCCTTTTTTTAACTCACAAAACTATTACTAAAGAAATGATGGAGCCAGGCATGGTGGCACACATCTTTAATTCCAGCAGAGAAAGAAGGCAAGAGGCAGGTGGATAGAAGGTTTAAGGCAAACTTCAGCTACATAGTGAGTTCAAGGCCAGCCTGGACAAACTGAGACCCTGTCTCAAAAAGCCAAAGCAACAGCAGCCATCTCAACTAAGCTGTGAGCACCTCTGCCCCTCATTTCTACACTGATGCTTTGTTGCATTTGCTAATCGAGTTTCTTGCATTATTGTCCTTACTTGGCTAACAACAGTTTCTAAACATAAGTGACTAAGGTTATATAGCTTCTTGTCTCTCATTCTCTTTTCTCTTTAGCACTCTTAACAGTCTCTGTCCCCACTGTCTCCATCAATTTATAACTGTCCCATCATTTCCATACTGTAACCTGAAATGTTTTGTCAGAAAAGTTTCACATTCACCTCCAAAGTGCTAGATGTAGTCTGATCGCTCTTTGCCATCTCCTTCCTAATTATGGGCTAAAGAAATTAACAATTTTGGAAATGACTAGAGAGGCAAGTTTAGAAATAGTATCTTGTTTTTATATCTTAAAAGTTACACAGTTGAATAAGCTAAGGCCAAAGGCAAGGGGATTTTTATAGAACCTTTGATAAGAGACTAGCCAGAAAAGAGCACAGCACTTATATTTTCAGGGTGTATAAATAACTCTTTTAGGATATTTGGAAAATAGGATCAGAAAGATAGTTCTATTGGTAAAGGTGTCTACCATTGAGCCTGGAAATCTGAGTTTGATCTACAGGACACACATTGTAGAAAGAGAACTACACACAAAAGAAAATGGAAAAAAAACCCAAAAACCAAAACCCCTAGAGCCAGGCATTGTGGCAATGCTTTTCTTTAATCCTAGCACTGGGGAGTCAGAAGCAGGCAGATCTTTATGAGTTTGAAGCTAGCTTGGTCCACATAGCAGGTTCCAGATCCTCTAGGGCTCCTTGATAAAACTCTTACCTAAAACAAATGAATTAAATAAAAATATATAAGCTATAAAGATGTTCTGATAGTTATATTTGGAACTAGGAAACATGGTCCATGCCTGTAGTTCCAGGCATGAGGGAGGCTGGAGCAAGATAATCACTTGGGTCTATGAATTGATTATATTTTGAATCGACTTCCATAATGGTTTATATTGCTAGTCAACTTGGCAGATCTAGAATCACTTAGAGGAAATCCTCTGGGCATGTCTGTGAGGGCATTTATTGGTTAATTGAAGTAAGCAGACCCACCAGTTAAGTGATTGCTGTCTTCTTTCTATGTATTGCTGATGAATGTGACTAGCTGCCTCATATGCCTCTTGCCACAACCTCCCTGCCATGATGACTGTACTCTTAAACTATGAGCAAAATAAACCTTCCTTCCATCCCTTCTCAGGTATTTTGTCTCAGTAATGAGAAAAGTACCATTTTCATTCTCCACTGGTTCCAAATCTTAACTAGCATACATAAAACTATTGAGGCATTTTTAAAAAATAATTTATTGCCGGGCAGTGGTGGCACACGTCTTTAATCCCAGCACTCGGGAGGCAGAGGCAGGCTGATCTCTGTGAGTTCGAGGCTGGGCTGGACTGACAGCCTCCAAAACAATACAGAGAAACCCTGTCTCGTAAAACCAAAAAAAAATTATTTTTATGTGCATTAGTGTTTTGCCTGAATGCACATCTGTGTGGGGAGGTGGAATCCCCTGGAACTGGAGTTACTGTTGTGAGCTGCCATGTGGAATTGAACCACGGTCCTCTGGATGAGCAACAGTGCTATTAATCATTGAGCCATCACTCCAATTCCTTTATTGAACTTTAAAATTATAGTTCCTGTTCCCATGTTTCCTAATGAATTACGGTAAGCTGGCCTGAATCCTTCACTCCTTGGGCAAGTTACTCATGTCTAAGTTTATGCTCCTTTTCCACCTAGCTAGAGAGAGATCAGAGGATTGGTCCAGGCAGTTTAGGACTTAGGAAGCACTTGTCACAGAAGGGAGCAGGGGCTCTTCATCTCAGATTAAGCACAAACAACACCCAAGCATCTGTTTTCACAGAGAGAACCCTTACTATGCAGGGAAGAAAAGTTAGTGGGAGTCTTCTGACTGGGGCAGAAAAACAGCAGCAAATGACCTTGCAGGTGTAATTTTTGTTATAAAGACTTATTATGGGCACCAGATTTCATTATAGATGGTTGTGAGCCACCATGTGGTTTTGGGGAATTGAACTCAGGAGCTCTGGAAGAGCAGCTAATGTTCTTAACCTCTGAGCCACCTCTCCAGCCCCACAGGTTTAATTTTTAAGAGGAAGAAAAGGGGAGGTCTGTGTTAGAATGGGCTAGGATGTGGCAGTAAAGGAGATAGGGGACTAGGGAGAAGGGAAAGGGGACAAGGGTAAGGGGCAAGGGTATTTGTCCTAAAAGGACTGCTTTTGGATGGAGAGGAGATAGTCATGGCCCATAAGCAAGTGGTGGTTTATAAAGGTAAAGGGGGAAACCCCCACGCTAAGATGAGGTGTTTAATTTTAATTGGGCTTGTTAATTAGCCAAAGGGGGCTTTTGATTGCTGGATTTCAATACTTTGATGGCTGGACCCTGGTAGTCAGCTTCAGGAGGAGGAAGTGGCCAAATAAGGGAACAGACCTTGTTGGCAGCTTTAGGAGTGTAATCTAACAGTTTTCAGCAAGGCAGAGGGAATGGGGGAAATGGGTAAGGCTGGCCAGAGCCACACGCTGGAGCCGGGGCTAGTGTCCCTTCCGAAGGTCATTATGGAAGAAGCCATTTGAGGAAGGCCCAGAGAATTTAAGTCTTTTCCTTTTCAGGCTTGCCATGGGAAGTTTTGGCCTGAGAAGAAATACCAAAAAACAGGATCCCAAGGCGCCAAAAATCTTACTTCATCTGTGTGACCTTCAACTACAAGATAGCAGCTTCTGTCCCTTTGTCCCTATTTCGGGCAGCATTCTTCAGCATGTCACCTATGCTTCCATGCACACCGTATGGTAGAGGTGCAGTGACTAGCACGATAGACCTGGGTGTCGCTGTGAAGCAACAGGATGGATTTAGAAAAGCTATTTAGATTTTGATTCTTAACAGTTTAGATGAGGAGACCCAAATCTATTCATCCAACCTTCGGAAAAAAGCGGTTTTCTTTCTTTTTTTTCTACCATCAATCCTTGAACACACCTGGTTTGACTCCATAAAACTACCTTCAGATAAACAGTCGTTGACTTTAGGCCAACACTATTATACAGCAGTTGGGAAGCTATCACAAACATGTGAACATGGTGATAGCGGTTGTTCTCGTGTAACTCCCAAAGTCAGGGCACGTAGCCATTTTTAGTTTTGCTAAGACCTGTGCTTGGTGCTCATTATACAAGGCAGAGGCACTAGTGGTTTGCAAGAATGCACCCCCGCCTACATCTGTTTTGTGTCTTATCGTCCCCCACCCCACCCAGTGAAATGAGGATATCATCAAGTGATAAAACAGGGTTAAGGGACGGGATTGTTCAAGTCGTAGCAGGCTTGCCTGGCCTGTTAGGCCCCGGGGACTGAACCCAGACTTTTGCGAACAGACACAGACCAAGATGTCACTGCAGTTGATGTCTTTTTTATACGTTTGTAACTCAGGCCGTTGATTCTGATCAGTACAAATAGGCAATCTGTCAGGCCCATTGGGTTTGCTTTCCTTATCATAGGTTCCTCTGGGTTCTTCTATTCGCTCTGTTTCATAGGAGCAATGGCCTTCCAACTCTGAGAAACTCCTAGCTGAGGCCGGTGTGCCCATGTTGGTTTCCGAGCAAGTATCCATTCCTGCCCGAGCTACTAACTGACTCTGGACAAATTCCTTTCTCGGGTGGGTTTTTTATCTTCCGAGGAGCGTGAGAACTAACAGGGAGCCATGACTTATGGACTGCTTAAGGGACGAGCGGACGTGCTGCCGCCGGCCGTCCTCCGTAGACCCACCCGACCCGGCCGACCCCAGGGAGCCTCAACGGCAATGCCCGTTCACCCGCCCGGCGGGGAGCCGTTACACGCTAACGCTCCTCCCACTGCGGGGGGCGGGGCGAAGGGCTGCAGTTTCCGGCGGCGAATGGCTGGGCGGCGCGTGGCGCTCGGGCCGGCTCCAGCGCGCGCTGGCCCACGAGCTCGTGCTTGGCGCGTCAGCCCTTCTTCCCGACCGCCCGAGAGGGGGCCGCGCGAGCCCTGCAGGGCATGCTGGGAAGGGAGGTGCTCCAGGCCGGGGTGAGGGGGGAGACTGGGGGTGACTTGGAATCCTGCGTGCGGCGCCGGGGCGCAGGAGTCCCTCCCGGAGATTGGTCCGCGCTCCGGAGAAGCCTGTCATTCAGAGCATGGGCGGGCCCATCGGGACCTCTCCGTCTTTTCATTGGCTGACGGAGGTTGCGGCTTTCTGGAAAGAGTTTCCATTCCCGAGAGTCCCGGCTGCTTTGCTCCCGCCGTGCGGTGCGTGGCCCGGAAGTGACGCACAGCCCTGGCCGGCGGCCGCCCAGCCCCCGCTTCCTTTCACGCTGTCGGTGTCCGTAGGTGGTCGTGGCCGCCTTACCCTTCGGGAGGTGGCGGCGGCCAGTAATGCCCGGAAAACTCCTCTGGGGGGACATCATGGAGCTCGAGGCGCCCTTGGAAGAGTCCGAGAGCCAGAAGAAGGAGAGGCAAAAGGTGCGCTGCGGCTGGGCCGCGCCTCCCTCGGGCTGCGCTGGCCTGGGCGGGGAGGGGAGCGGTCCCTGAAGGGGACGACCTGTCAGTACCGGGCGCGAGCTTCCGAGGGAAGGCTGCCCCTCGCCTTGCTCGGCCCTCTGAGGTCCCGGGGACCATCCCCATCGCCACTCTCCCGGACCTGGAGGAGAACGGACCTAGGCTTGAGCCCGGCATCCGTGGCACTTCAGCCGGACGTCGGCCTTGGCGCTTGGATCCCTCCCAAGAGATGGGCAGACTCGAGCTCCCATCGCCGCGGAATCTGCTCATTTTCCCTTTCTTCGGCGGCGAGGCCCTTCATTTGGTATTCCTGGGCCTTCGAAGAACATAATTAAGAAAGATGATGGCTTTGCCTATGTGTTGCTTCTCTGTCTCGGTGTCGTGTCTGCGGCAGTCTTGGGGAAGGATATCCTAGGGTTACAATCCTCCATGATTGGGTAATAGAGGCTTAAGGAATAGTGCCTCAGCCAGGGTTACCAGGGTTTGGCTGTGATGGAGTTCGTGGGGGTTGTATTATGAATAGCCCTTACTGTCAGTATTTTCAATCCACAGGTATTTATTGAGCCTAATTTGTGCCAGACTCTTTGCTGAGTACCAAGGAGCTTAAGCTAATTAAATATGCAAAATGGTCCCTGCCCACCAGGAGCCAGTTGAGGAATTTTTAGAGACTATACCCCCACCTCCGTCCGAAAAAAAGAAAAGGAAGAAAAAAACAAAAATCAAAAAACCCGAAACAATAGCGGATCTTAAGGTGCTAAGAAAAATGCACAGGTAAAATTTTTAATGGAGACATTTGACCTGGAAGAAAAAAAAAGAGCTGAGGAGGATAACAGTGACTGTGGGAAAGATGAAATTTGATAAAATATGTATTCATTAGCGTGCTAACGATGAGGGAATACCCCCAGAACTTACCACCAGGGTAAAGTTTACATTACAGCCAACCAGTCTTGCTTTCTTCCCATCTTTTATGCCACCTTCCTAATGGGCATTGAATTGGCAAGCCTGACAAATGCCCAGCAGTTAGCTATTTTCCCAACACCTATTTTTATGTTTTTGTAGAATATACTAAATTTGGAACTTACATTTTGTCACTTCTAGTTTTCAGTGCTGGGTTTAAGCTAGACCGCATCCACTGCCCACGTTTTTACCATTTTTAAGTGTGTAACTTGGTGTCGTTAAGTGTAAGAGACTCGTTCTGTTGTCATGACCACCATCCATATCGTGAACCTTGTCATCTTCCCAAGCGGAAGCTTTTTGCCCTTTAAATATTAACTCCCAATTTTACTGCTGTAGGCATCTAGGGTAGATGATACATGTAATCTCCAAGCATTTATTTTAATTGTAGTTTCTCTTGAAAAGCTCATTTTTCCTTTCACACCTAAATCCTTTATCTGACGATGTCTAGGTAATGTTTTTTTCCCAACCAGTATACAACAGTCTCATTCCCCTTCAAGGTCTTGTCCCACTGTTATCTTTGTAATTGGTGTTTTTATGTTCTACCTTGTAAAGTTAGTTTTTCTTTATATATTGTGAATGCCTCCCAAAGATTCTTGAGGAAAGTGATGCTATCTTTGTGTATCCTTACAGTTCACTATGTTCTTATATGTTGGTAGCTTGCACATTGTAAATTCTCCAGAAATATACCTGTTGATTGCCCCTCATGAAGGAGAACAAGAGATTTGGAAATGGACTGGAATATGAACTAGCAGAAATAGAACATTAGGCCAGGCCTGGTGCAATGAAGATGATTCTACTGTGGGTATATTGAGATAGGGAATTTGTGTTCTTAGAAAATGAATGAAGGTAGAAAAGAGTATGGAAGTATGTGTTAAAGGCAAAGACTTAGGCTTCTGCTGAGGCTGAGGAAGAGGAAACATGGAGTAAGGTTGAGAGCGAATGAAATTAGACATAGAGCAATGGAAACAGGAGAGAGTGTCCGGCCCTATAGCTCTAGTATAGACTAGTGGAGTTTTCAGCACTTTAGGATGTTGCAGGGATTGACTTAGAGGTGTCACATTGGCTTGCTCCATCTTCTCCCCAAAGGGCAAGGTCCTGTATAGGGCTGAGTGTACAAATCTTGCTTTCTGTAGGACTGACTTCTTTAGGGAGCTGTGGACTAGTGCAGTTAATTAAAGATCCAATGGTGTAGCACTTTTTTTTTTTAGGCATTTTCACATATTACTCAGTTTTCTCAACTGTTTTATGGATGAGAAATTTTTATGTTAAAGCTCTTTAAAAAATTGTATCAGAATGGTGAAAGTTTGTTGCTTGTAGTTTTTAGTATAATGAAGTGCTGCTGCCTAATATTTTCTGAAGCAAGTTATTTATTTTATTTATTTGACCAAGTGACTGAAGGAATAAATTTCCAAATCATTTTTTTGTGTCTGTAAATATTGAAAACATACAAATAAAAAACAAAAGAACCTTCCCTCCAGCTTGGTATTTTAAAGAAATCTAAAAATCTTTTTTATTTTTAATGTGTATGGGTGTTTTGTCTGTGTGTATGTCTGTGTATCAGGTGCATGCCTGTCCTGTGAGGCCACTAGAGGCTATCACATCCCCTGGAGCTGCCCTGTGGGTGTTGGGAACTGAACCTGAGTACTTTGGAGGAGCAGCCAGTGCTCTTAACCACTGAGCCATCTCTCCAGTCTTAGTTTTGCATTTTAAAATTGAAGTTACAGAATTGTGCCTTGGTGTTTGGCTTTTTTTGTCGTTGCTCTGTTAGCCTAAACACAGTCTTAATTGTCAAGGTTATAGTCCTTCTATGGAGGTGTAACAATTGGTTTTGTATAAATGACATAGTTTTGTTTCTCTTTAATCAGAGTTCAAGGAGAACTATGTCTACTAGTAAGTACATGCCTGTTCTTGGGAATGTGGAGGCAAGAAGGTCGATCAAGTGTTAAAGGCCACCTGAGCTACTTGAGACTCTGTCTCAAAACAGAACAAACAATTCAGGGAGGAAGAATGATGTGAAAAGAACATTAGACTTTCAGGTCAGACAGGGCTACATTCCATTCTGTCCACTTCTACCAGCAGAATATCATTTAGAACCTTTGGCAAGTATTTGACCTCTTAAATTCTGTATCTATAAAGTAGCAAAGATAATACAGGTTCACCATCCCTTATCCAAAATCATTGGAGCTAGATGTGTTTTGAAATAACTAGAAATCGTTAGAAGGGTTGGGGACCTGCATCCTTAATATTAAATATGGATAGTCATAGTAGATGGGATAAAGAAAAGACTATATAAGTAGCTTCACATTAGTTGTAGTCAAATTTTGCCATCAAATGAATTCAGATCAGATAAGGTTTTGTCTCCATATAAGTTACAAAAACACTTTCGGTTTTCAGAGCTTTATGGATTTCGGAATTTCGGATAAGGGATTATGGACCTGTACTTCCCTGATAGGGTTGTTATGAAGATTTAAACAAGATAAGCCGAAAACATTACACAATGATGGGTAGGTACTCAATAAATTTTTTTCCCTTTTGGAGATGTTAGAAGTTTTTATTTGTATTTTCATGTATAATGTTGAGACTTCGTTCTTTTTCTGAGGTGGAACTATTTAATTTTCCTAAAAATCTTAGGATGGGATTAGAAATGTTCTTAGAGACTGAGTCTTGAAAAGGCAAGAGATGGCATGACAAGTTGAAGCAGGTAAGATGCAGACTTCGAATTACTAACCAGTCTGGATTTCTTGCAGGTAGTGTTGAGTGTAATTGTAGGTTGAGCTTAGCCAGTTGGGGAGTCATTCTTGAGCTTGAGAGTCCTAAAAGGAGAGCTTGTCACTCTTTCTTTCTTTGTCTACAGAGTGATAGAAGGAAGTCAAGGCACCATTATGAATCAGATGAGAAAACAGAAACAAGAGAAAATGGTGTTACAGATGACCTGGATGCTCCCAAGCCCAAAAAAGCTAAAACAAGAGAGAAGCTAAATGGAGACACTGAAGGAGGACTTAGTAGACTTTCCGATGAATTCTCCCCATCTCATAAGTCCAGAAGAAAAGACGTACCAAATGGAGATGTTGATACCTATGAAAGAAGGTCAAAGCGAGTGTCATCCTTAGAAAATTCTACTCATAAATCAAGTGATAAAGTGGAGGAGGTATACATAATATTTACTACGTTGCTTATGATGTTGTCTTTGAAATGTAGGCCAGCTTGATCTTTTAGGTTCATTAGAATTGATTCTATACTGTTTCCTGCTTAGTTTCTATTGTTTTATTTGAACCAGAGAACTAGTGTAGCTGAAACCTGACTCTTTTCCTCTTGGGCCCTTTTTTCTTTCGTTCTATTGTCTTTTTCAGCATTTGTTTGTTTGTTTTTGGTATGTGGAAGTTAAGTCACTTTTCCTTCTGCTACATGGGTCTCAAGGATTAAACTCAGGTTGTTAAGCTTGGCAGCAGGTGCCCTTAACCACTGAGCTAACTTGTTGCTACCCACTTCCTTTATTGAGTAAGAGTTTCTCTGGATATTAAATGTGGGGAAGTATAGTAGACATGCTGTAGTTGTCTTTGTTTATTTGAGATGGGGTCTCATGTACTAGTCCAGGCTAGTCTCAAACTTCCTATGTAGAAGTGCTGATATTACAGGTGCATACCACCACGTAGAGTTTTTGGTTTTGGAAATAAGGTCTCACTCAGTAGCCCTGGCTGGCCTGGAATTCATGAGGGAGTCATCTGCCTGCCTCCTATGTTGTGAGATTAAAGGTGTGTGCCATCGTGCCCAGCTGTGCTGACCTTATATCTGCCCTACCTCTTAGGATAGTTACTTTCTTTTTTAGATTTTTATTTATTATGTATACAGCACTTCATATATGCCTGCAGGCCAGAAAAGAGCACCAGAACTCATTACAGATGGTTGTGAGCCACCATGTGGTTGCTGGGAATTGAACTCAGGACCTCTGGAAGAGCAGCAGCTAGTGCTCTTAACCTCTGAGCCATCTCTCCAGCCCAGTTACTTTCTTTTTTAAAAGAGTCCCCCCCCCCTTATGTATGTATGAGTGGGATTTTTTTGCATGAATATAAATGCGCTATGTACATGTCCTATGCCTACTGAAGGCAGAAGAGGGTGTCAGACCTCCTGAAACTGGAGTTACAGATGGTTGTGAACTGTCACATAGGTGCTGGGAACCCAACCTGTGCCTCCTGAGTACAGGTATTAAAGGCAAGCACCACCGTGCCTGGCCTGGCCTCTGTTAGATACGAACTTTAAATATGATAATAGCTAATAATTTAAGCCCTCACCATTATTCTGTACTAGGTATCAAACATTGGTGCACTGAGATTAATTTATGTGAAACCCTTGGAGGGCTGTGGGAAGGCGTGAATCTTTGTATTGTTCCATATTTTTTTTCTACTTGTAAATTTGTTGTTTGTCAAGAAACACATATGTTGGGGGCTGGAGAGATGGCTCAGAGGTTAAGAGCACTGACTGCTCTTCCAGAGGTCTTGAGTTCAATTCCCAGCAACCACATGGTGGCTGACAACCATCTACAATTCAATCTGGTGTATATGTAATAAATAAATAAATCGTTAAAAAAAAAAAAGAAACACATATGTTAATTGAGTTCAGTAAGGGCTGTTAGAATGTATAGATTATTCCTGGCTTTGTTGAAGTTTGCCTAATGCAAAGTTAACTGTTGATTATTTGAGTGCGTTCGTTACATGGCTGTGGCATTCAGGGAAGCCAGAAGAGGGTGTTGAATCCCTTGGATGTTGGTGAGCCACCTCATGTGAGATCTGGGAACTAAACTCAGGTCCTCTGCAAGAAAAAAAATTGTTGTTAAATGTCAAAATGTATTTCAAGCCCTGGTTATTTTGTTTCTATCAAATTAGATTTCAGGAATTCTGCTTTTAGGAATTAGCCAGCATGTCTAATAATGGGCAGTTGGTAAGTAAAATATGCTGTCTATGCAGTAGAACACAGCTATTCCTGATAGGCAGTGGTAGCACACGCCTTTAATCCCAGTTCTTGGGAGGCAGAAGCAGATGGATCTCTGTGAGTTCGAGGCCAGCCTGGTCTGCAGAGTTAGTTCCAGTACAGCCAAGGCTACAAAGAAAAACCTGACTCTAAAAGCAAACAAACACAAACATAAAACTAAGTCCAAATTATACATATATGTGTATATATATTTATGTAAAGACACTAATAGTGTATGATGCATCAATATTAGAAATAGCTTTTCCTAGCCGGGCGTTGGTGGCGCACGCCTTTAATCCCAGCACTCGAGAGGCAGAGGCAGGCGGATCTCTGTGAGTTCGAGGCCAGCCTGGTCTACAGAGCGAGTTCCAGGACAGCCTCCAAAGCTCCAAAGCCACAGAGAAACCCTGTCTCGAAAAACCAAAAAAAAAAAAAAAAAAAAAGCTTTTCCTGGTTCTGCAATCATCTGAACAATAAGGGGCCAGAGATATGACTTCATAGTTAAGAGTTCATGCTGTTATCCTAGAGGACACAGTTTCAATTTGACGCCCTCATTGGGCAGCTCACAACTGTCCAGTACTTTAGCTCTCTAACCCCAGGGGACCTCCTTTCTGATCTCCTTGGGCACCTGCACACATATGGCATACACACAGACACATAAATTTAAAAGAAGCATAGTTTTTTAAAAGGACACTAAAGGATGAAAAAATATGTTTGAAAATATTTTATGGGATTGGGCATGGTAGTTTATGTCTTTAATTCTAACACTTGTATGTTTGAGGCTAGCCCAGGCTACATGTGTCCTATCTGGAAAGCCTTCCCTTTCTTTCTCAAAATGAGTAAAACTCAATATATAAACTATTATTTAGAATTTTGGTTTCATTTTTGACAGACTCTAACACGTGAACAAAAGGAAGGAGCCTTCTCCAATTTCTCCATTTCTGAGGAGACTATAAAGCTTCTGAAAGGTACTGTGATTTTCATGTCACTGAATATCTGCTTCTGATTTTATAAAACTCTGGTTCTTTTCCTGACTAAAAGGAGAATTTAAAAGATAAATAGTCCCCCCTCTTTTTAATTGCAGTTATTTCTACATCATTCTTTTCTTTATTCTGACTTGTTTTAACTGTGTTATATGTGTTTGTCACATCAGACCATTTTATTCTAATTCCTGTTTGGGGTAGGAATAACTGTAACCATTACTAGGTAGCGTGTCTTTAGGCAGTCATGGAGTGAATAAGGATTGTCATTTTCAAATGAACTGATTTTTCTTTCCTAATGCTAGTCACAAATTTTAATGAAATCTCATTTTACAGGTCGAGGGGTAACATATCTCTTTCCTATTCAAGTTAAAACCTTTGGTCCTGTATATGAAGGAAAAGATTTAATTGCTCAAGCCCGGACAGGAACAGGAAAGACATTCTCTTTTGCCATACCCTTGATTGAAAGGCTCCAAAGAAATCAAGAAACAGTTAAAAAAAGCCGCTCACCAAAGGTAACGGTTATTAAGGGAGTAAAAGCTCTTAACATAATGAAAAGGGACAGAGGAAAAACAGTCTTTCGGTTTTGTTTTTTTTTTTTTTTTTGTCTTTTGGGTTTTTTTGAGAGCTTTGTGCATGCTAAGCTCATGCTCTCCCACCGAATTGTACCCTAAACCCTGAAAGAATTATACTAGTCTCAAGGTCAGGTATACACCCTCTCATTAGAGTCATTACCCCTTTTTTATAAAAAATTTTGATTCTTAAAGTAAAAATTCATTGTTTTTCATATAGGCAAATTTCAAGCAAAACTAAATTACATTAGTTAATGAATACAAATGTACTATCTCTGGATGTATAGATAACTTCCATAATTTTGTGTTATAAAATCAATTTACCTTATAGAGTATTTTTATTTAGTGACTTTTCTCTTCATTCATGACCTTTGCTTACAAATAATGAATTTTCCAATGAGGTATTCACTTGGTGATTCAATAATTATTCAGTGTTATTTCACAGGTTGACTTTTGTGAATATTATACCAGTGATATTGCTATTATTCGGTACTAGAGATATGTCTTAATTTTAAATAGTAAAATCAGTTAACAAGGGAACTAGTAAAATTCTAGTTTAAAATTTGACATTTTTAGAACCCTGTGTGCTCTTTAAGGTTTGTATCAGTGAAGAAGAAAACTCATCATAATTATTTGAACAGGTATGTTTGTTCTTTTAAATACTTCTAATGTTAAACTATAAAAGCAAATTCACATGTATATGAATTGAATAACATCATAATGGCTTAGGATCAACTATCATGGCCATATTGGCTGTGTTGGTTTTACAGGATAAATTGTTTTTCTTTGTTGAAATTAGGTAAAGTTGCAAGCAATGCAGATAGGAAACAGTTGTACTGTACCTTAGTCTGTTAGAAACTATTCCTGAGATCACACTACTACCAGTTCTTGCTGTGGGACTTTGGGCAAGACTTACATCTTCACTGTGACTCAAGTTCCATTTCTGTAAAATTGGGATATGAATGCCACCTCATCTGTTTTTCATGAGAAAAACTTCACTAATCACAATCGTTGATTCATACAAAGCCATACAAAGCACAAGCACTGAGTGTATGGACCATCTTTTTTTTTTTTTTTTTTGGTTTTTCGAGACGGTTTCTCTGTGGCTTTGGAGGCTGTCCTGGAACTAGCTCTTGTAGACCAGGCTGGTCTCGAACTCACAGAGATCCGACTGCCTCTGCCTCTCAAGTGCTGGGATTAAAGGCATGCACCACCAACGCCCGGCATGGACCATCTTTACTGTGACAAATACATTTGGAATTTCATTCTGTACCTGCTTCTAAAGTGCAGCAAATACAGTGACTCACCTGACATAAACTTGCATTCATTGACCTTACATTTGAATAGATGATCTAGACATTTGGCAGATAGTGCACACTGTCTGTTTATATATACTTTAGGGGAGTAATATAAATTTGAAGAAGGAATAGAGAGGGATGAAGAAATCAAAAAGGCTTGGGAACCTCATTAGGAAAGTCTCTTAAGCCGGGCAGTGGTGGCTATGCCTTTCATCCCATCACATGGGAGGCAGAGGCAGGCAGATCTCTTTGCGTTTCAGGTCAGCCTGGTCTACAGGCTCCAAAGCAAAGCAACAGAGAAAAGTTGTCTCAAAAAAAAAAAAAAAGGTCTTTTTTTGTTGTTCTGAGATAGGGTCTCATGTAGCCCAGGCTGGCCCTGAGGTCACTATATAGTTGAGGACAATCCTTTTGCTTCTCAAATGCTAGGATTTTAAGGGTTCTTTACCACACCCACTTATATGCGAAGCTAAGGCTTGGACGATAGGCTTTATGCACGCTAAGCATACCCTTTACCAACTGAATTATTCCCAATCCAAGAAAATAACTTTTGAAATCTGATAAAATATGTTGTAGTAAATGTAAACTGTTCTTATTATTAGTATTTGTATTCTCTGCTCTTATACCCCAGAGCTGGGGATTAAACCCAGTTTATGCATGCTAGATGATTATTTTGCCACTAACAGTATGCTTAGCTCTGTCTTTAAGAGCTTGTGAAGGTAATGTTGATATTCTTACTCTAAATGCATCTTTACAGAAATGTCCTTTCACATTGTGTTTATATCAGTCTTTAGAAAAGGTATCTCTCTGTTTTTTAAACTTCTTGCTCAGGTACTTGTTTTGGCTCCAACAAGGGAACTGGCAAATCAAGTAGCCAAAGATTTCAAAGATATAACTAGAAAACTCAATGTGGCGTGTTTTTATGGTGGAACATCATATCAAAGCCAAAGTGAGTAAATACATACAATAGTCAAAAGTTGTATTGATTTTAAATCTAAAGAAATCATGTAAAAAAGCATATATTTGATTTTTAACATATTCATTGTGTTTTTCTCCTTACAGTTAATCACATTCGGAATGGTATTGACATCCTTGTTGGGACCCCAGGGCGTATCAAAGACCATCTGCAAAGTGGCCGTTTGGATCTTTCGAAGCTGCGCCATGTTGTGCTTGATGAAGTAGATCAAATGTTAGATTTAGGTTTCGCTGAACAAGTTGAAGATATTATTCATGAATCCTACAAAACTGGTGTGTCCTAGTTGAAATAAGTATACTAACAGCTGTTCTTTGACAAAAAGCTTATAAATTTAAAAATTTCATAATTTTTAATGCTTTGTCTTTTGGTAGTCTAACAAAATTAAAGTTATTTGGTAACTGCTCCTTAAAATAAGAAAATATAAAACATGCTCTGAATCTTCTCTTGATTATACTCTAATCAATCTATGTAGATGTACTAACTCATTTTATCCATTTCCTGGGTGGTGGTTCTTTCCTCAATCCTTTTCTTCCTCATTCAGTTTTCTTTTTGTTTCATTGTAAAAGTCTAGTGGTTGCATTGAGGTTTGTATGTTAAAAACTTGCCCCAAGTTTTGAATTTTTCTTTTGTTTTGAAGTTTGGGTAATTTTTTAAAGCTGGGTACATCATTAGACATTAAGAAAACATTTGAATTCTTTTTGTTTGTTTAAGATTCAGAAGACAATCCTCAGACCTTACTTTTTTCTGCAACTTGCCCACAGTGGGTATACAAAGTTGCAAAAAAATACATGAAATCCAGATATGAACAGGTTGACCTTGTTGGAAAAATGACTCAAAAAGCTGCAACCACTGTGGAAGTAAGTAGCTTTGCTAGCATGTAGATTTTAGCTTTTAATTGGTGTTTACTTTGAAATTTGATGAAGCTGAACTCAATCTTGAGGTAGCTCTTTTAGCCTCATCTCTTTTTCCTGCCCTTATTAAGATATATAGTAGTGCCTTGGACTATAGCTTAATCATGGAGCATTTGTTTAGCATTTGTGAGGCTGTAAATTCAATTTCTAACTCTCAAAGAAAAATAAAATACATGTGTATTTCTGTAGTCTGAAACTTAGGAGCAAATAGACTAAATAGAAGTGGCAGGTATGTATGAACAAGTAAGGCCTAACTTCAAGCAGCTGTAAAACATGTCAGAACTATTTATTGCTGTAGATGCCAGGTGTGATGGTGCATGTGTTGAGGAGACTGAGCCAGGAGTATCCCCTTCAGTTGAAGTGATCAGAGGCTACATAGTGAGGTACAAGTCAGTCTGAACTACAGTGTGACAGTATGACAAACAGTAGCACATCCAAGAAAAGAATGCGACAGGTGGTTTTTATTAGTAAGAAAAGAATATTTATTACTGGGACCAGTGACATGGGTCAGTGGGTAAAGGTACCTTTGGCCAAGCCTGATGACCTGAGCTTCATCTCAGAACCTATATAGTCAAAGGAGAAAACTGACTTCTGCAAATTGTCCTTTGACCTTCACACATGCACCATGGTATGCAAAAGTATGAACACACAGTAAATAAGGGTAATTAAAACAAACTTTCTTCTTTGGGTTTTTGAGATATGGTTTCTCTGTGTAGCCTTAGCTGTCTTGGAACTCACTCTGTTGGCCAGGCTGGCCATAAGTCTTAGATGGGTCTGCCTCTGTCTCCCAAGTGCTGGGATTAAAGGCATGTACCATCAGGAACAACAAGAAAATTGCAAACATGATTCTTAGAAACTCAACAAATCAAAAACATGTAATGCTAAATGGATTCTTTAGGTATTTATAAATTGTAAGCTCAAAGAATAGGTAACAACATAATTATTTTGAAAGAGGACATTGCATTGCAAGGTGGTCTGAGAAACTTTTGTATATCAAGGACATTTTCAAATATACACAAAGACTGAATGATATAACAAATATGCACTATCTTTTAGACTTTCTTATTCCCCTCATATTTTTACTCCTGCATTTGAAGTACTACCAGCCATCATTTCATTTTCATGTATCAAAGGCTGCTTCAAACTCATTTGCTAGCAGAAGGTGGCCTTTAACTTTGGATCCTGCTGCTTTTATCCCCCAAGTTTTGGGATTATAGGCCAAGTACTGCTACTACACCAGGTTTCTGTGGCACTGGGGATTGAACCCAGGCCTTCATGCATGTTAGATAAGCATTCTTCCAACTAAACCACATCTATTTTTCTACCTTGAGTTCACCTCCCAGGTCTTGAGAATACAGGCATGCGTGCAACAGTGATTTTTTTTTTGTTTATTTGTTTGTTTTTTAGCCTTATTTTTATTTCATGTGTATGAGTTTTTACCTGTATCTATGGCGTTGGATCTCCTCGAATTGGAGTTAGATGGTTGTGTGGATGCTAGGAACTAAAACCAAGGTCCTCTGGTGAAGCAGTAGTCTGTCTTAACCTCTGAGATATCTCTCCCAGTGCTGTTTTGTTTTGTATTTGAGAAAGGGTCTCACTATGTAGCCTCAGTCTGGTCTAGAACCTCTTTTGTAGACAAGGCTGACCTTGAACTCAGGTTGCTTACCTCTTCCTCCCTAGTGCTGGGATTGAAGATGTGTACCACCTCACACAGCTGTTTGTTAAGTCAGTGTCTTGCTATGTAGCCTAGGCTGCTCCATACATCTTGTCATCACATTACTGGTCTGCCATCATGTCTCATTACCTTCCCCACTTTGTACTTTTTGTTTGAAAACAGAACAATTAGTGATTTATCTTTGTCCTCTGTGGTCTTCATTTTACTTCTGTGTACCCTGTCATGTTACTTCACATGTTAGTTAAATTGTGGACTTGATCTAATTCAGGTTTTCTTTACTTTCTGTTTTTTGTTTGTTTGTTTGTTTGTTTTTTGTTTTGAATCCTTTCTTAGTTTTCTGTGTAGCTTTGTAGACAGGCCTTGAACTCACAGAGATCCACCTGCCTCTGCCTCCTGAGCACTGGGACTAAAGGTATGTGCTGATACTACCATCACAACTGCCCACTTTTATTTTTTCTTTAAGCTAGAGGAAGAATCAGATTTTGTCATGGGTAGTATAAGCACTTTTTAGTTTTCTTTTTCCTTTTGGATTTGTTTTGCATATAGTCTGTAATTGCAACGTCACATTAATTTTTTTAAGAATAATTTAAGCCAAGATTGGTGGTGCTTGCCTTTAATTCCATTATTATGTGTGTTGTAGACATAGGCAGGTAGATCTCTGAGTAGGCTGTTCCAGGCCAACCAGGGCTACTTAGTGCGACACTGTTGAAAGCAGGAAAACAAAACAAAGAACAAACGAGATGTGGGCTGGAGAGATGGCACAGAGTTCTTGGGCACTACATGCACATGGTATACAGACAAATGGGCAAAACATCCACATACATAAAAGTAGGTAAGTCCTAAACATAAATGAAATTAAACCCAGATTAATAGGGCCAGTGAGCTGATCTAATGGGTAAAGGTGCTTGCAACCAACCTGATGATGACCTGGATTTGATTTCTGGGACCTGCATGGTAGAAAGAGAGAACTGAGTCCCACAAATTGTCTCTTTGGTTGTCTACATATGTACTGTGGTATGTGCTCATGTGCAAACATGCTTACACTAAATAAGCTAATGAAAGATGAGCTGAATAACAAAAAAGAATATTAGATTTAAAGTGTAGTATAATCTTTTCCAAACATTTCTATTGTGTGAAATTTGTAAATATTTAGATAGGTTGAAAGAATTTTGGTGAATATATATATATGTACTTAGCATCTAGATACTATTATGATGTGGGATGTTCTTCTGTATATATGTTTCTCTTGTTGGTTGATGAATAAAACACTGATTGGCCATTAGCCAGGCAGGAAGTATAGGTGGGACTTCCAGACGAGGAGAGTGCTGGGGCTGCCAGGAGGTTCCATGTAGCCAAGGAAGGAGTAACAGGTCCAGACCCTTCTTTGGTAGGATAAGACCATATTCAAATACTTAGATTAATAGAAATGGATTAGGGCTAGAGAGATAGTTCAGTGGTTAAGAGCACTGACTGCTCTTCCAGAGGACCTAACTTCAATTCCCAGTACCCACATGGCAGCTCACAGCTGTCTGTAACTCCAGTTCCAGCAGATCTGGCATCCTCACACAGACACATATGCAGGCAAAACATCAATGCACATAAAATAAAAATGAATAAATTATAAAAAAAGAAATGGATTTTAAGAGAGAGCTAGCCAATAAGAAGCCTAAGCCATGGCCAAACAGTTTATAATTAACATGTCTCTGTGTGCTTATTTGGGGACTAATTGGCTGTGCGACCAGGCTGGAAAGAAACTCCAGCTACACTATTGCTAATGTTTTATTTTCATTTTTTTTTTGTTAGTTTTGAATTTTTGAGGGACTTGAAACTTGCTGTGTAAGTAAGGCTTTCTTGAACTCCTGATCTTTCTGCTTCTCGCTCGAATTGCACCCTCCTCTTTATGTGCCTTTGGGGTTGAATCTGGTGTGTATCCCGGTATGAGCTCAGCAACCTCAGTCTCCTGAGTGCTGAGACAGCAGACAGGGAGGCTGCACCACACCTGGCTTAATGTTTCTTTTTATTTATTATATATCTGCCCATTCCTGTACCTGTCTGACTTATTTTAATCATCGTTTTTGATGCTGGAGATTGAATTCAGGGCCCTGTCTTGTATCTAATTCAGTATTGCTAGTATTATATTTATGCTGTCTTCATCACCCCAAAATGCAGCTCTGGGACCTATTGAATCATTTTCCGTTCCTGCCTTCTCCTAGTAGACCCTTGAAACAGCAGATTTTCTTTCTCTGTTTCATATGATACATTTTTGTGTCTATCTAGATCCAAATAACACTTATTTTCATCTCCCTTCTACCACTAAGGATTGGCCCTGGAGCTTTTGTATGTTAATGAAATGTTTTGCCATTCAGTTACATCCGTAGCCCTTCTGCTTGGATTTCATTCTTAGACTAGGCTAGCCCTGAGATTACTCGCCAGGTATGTGTCACCAGTCCTGGTTTATGTAGTGCTAGGGATCTTATCCAGTCAAATACTCTGCAGCTGAGCTTACATCATCAGTTCCTTTAAAAAATAATTTTTGATGAAACATTTTGCCTTTTTTTTTTCTTGAAGCATTTGGCTATCCAGTGCCATTGGTCTCAGAGACCAGCAGTTATTGGAGATGTCCTTCAGGTCTACAGTGGATCTGAAGGGAGGGCTATTATCTTCTGTGAGACTAAGAAGAATGTAACTGAAATGGCCATGAATCCACACATAAAGCAGGTAAGCTTTCCTTATGCTCTTTGTAGATAATGGGCATGGATCAGTAGGCAAAGATGCACTCTTTGTGCACTAAGCTTGATAGTTTATTCAAAATAGAGTAATTTAGGAAGAAGATGACATAGCAAACGTTCTTACCTATTAAGTCTAATAGGTTTTTTTTTTTTAACCCCTTCTGTTAGCAATCAAACCTACTGGTTTTGCTTGCATGTATGTGAAGGTGTCAGATCCCCTGGACCTGGAATTACATACAGTTGTGAGCTGCCATGTGGTTGATGGGAATTGAACCTTGGTCCTGGAAGAGCAGCAAGTGCTTTTAATCTCTGAGACATGTGTCCAGCCCATCAGTTGATTCCTTAATATTGTCCAGGTCTCAGCTTCAGTATTGCTTTCCCTTTTTGTTGTATTCTCTTTTTTATTCTTACGCCATCTTGTACTTGGTATAGGTGTATCACACTATGTTTAAAATGCCTGTCAGATGGGCTGGAGAGATGGCTCAGGTTAAGAGCACTGACTGCTTGTTCTTCCAGAGGTCCTGAGTTCAATTCCCAGCAACCACATGGTGACTCACAACCATCCGTAAAGATATCTGGTGCCCTCTTCTGGCCTGCAGACATACATGGAGGCAGGATGTTGTATTCATAATAAATAAATAAAATCTTAAAAAAAAATGCCTGTCAGAACCGGGTATTGGTGGCTCATGCCTTTAATCCCAGCACTCGGGAGGCAGAGGCAGGTGGATCTCTGTGAGTTTGAGCCCAGCCTGGTCTACAGAGCGAGTTCCAGGACAGGTTCCAAAATGATACAGAACCCCCCCCCCAAAAAAAAGCCTGTCCAAGTCTTAGAACCTTCTTGCTCTCCTCCCTTCCTTCCTTCCTTCCTTCCTTCCTTCCTTCCTTCCTTCCTTCCTTCCTTCCTTCCTTCCTTCTTCCTTCCTTCCTTTCTTCCTTTCTTTCTTCCTTTCTCTCTTTCTCTCTTTTGTATTACTTTCTCTCTTTGTTTGAGAAGGGGTCTCACTATAGAATCCCACATTTGCCCCAGCCTACTCATCCTACTTCAACAACCTGTAGATATACTGACAGTACAGGTGTGTATCACCATGTGTGGCCCAGAGCCAATTCTTTTTTTCTTTTTTTTTTTTTCGAGACAGGGTTTCTCTGTTGCTTTGGAGGCTGTCCTGGAACTCGCTCTGTAGACCAGGCTGGCCTCGAACTCACAGAGATCCGCCTGCCTCTGCCTCCCGAGTGCTGGGATTAAAAGCGTGCGCCACCAACGCCTGGCTCCCAGAGCCAATTCTTTATGATTGTTCCCAATTTTGGCAATTCCAGACATGTAGCAAGTACTAATTAAATTAATTTATATAGGGAGTTTGCATGCTGTGGGGGCTGGGGATGTAGCTCAGTTTGTAGAGTTCTTACCTAGCATGCCCAAGACCTTATACATGCACAAGACCTTCACTTCCTCAGTACAGCATAAAAGTAGGTATGGTCATATATGCCTGTATTCAGCCTTAGGAGTTGGAAGGTGGAGGTAGGATGATCAGAAGTCCAAGGTTATCCCTAACTAAAGAGCAAGTTTGAGCTTATCCTAGGCTATATGAGATCATGTTGTTTTTAAAGTTTGGCTACTTGGGCGTATGTATTATCAGACATTAATAATGACTAATGAATTTTTTTTTTACTGTAGTAGTAGCAGCTAGGGATACTATTAAAATACTAGGAAAAATGGGCCTGGAGAGATGACTCAGTGGTTAAGAGCATTTGTTGCTTTTCCAGAGGACCCAGGTTTGAGTCTCAGTACCCACATGGCAGCTAATAGCTGTAACTAAAGTTCCAGGGGATCTGACACCCTCTTCTGGCCACCGTGGGCACTGCATGTGGTGCATAGACATCCATGCAGACATTTTAAATACCCCTACATATAAAAAACAAAAACAAAAAATTAGGAAAAGTTTCTGGAACACATTATCAATCAGTACAGCAGAAGTAGGTTCCGCCTAATAAAAATTACAGAATACAAAGCTGGAGAGATGTCTTAGTTGTTAGGAGCATACTGACTGCTCTTTCAGAGCCCCATCATGCATATGGGTACTCACAACCATCTATAATTCTAGTTCTAGGGAATCCATGGCCTTCTTGGACAACAGGCATGCATGTGGTGCATAGACATACATGTGGGTAAAATATACATGTGGGTAAAATAAAAACAAATATAAAAAAGCAAATTAAATGATTGGGATATAATTTTTGCCTATTAACAAGGATTATGATTTATAATATACTGGCATTGGTGGGTAGAGTATGAGGTAATAACACAGAACATTGAAAAGTAAGTGGGTATAATTGTTTCTTTGTTTGATTTTTCAAGACAGGGTTTCTCTGTGTAGCTTTGGAGCTTGTCTTGAAACTTACACTGTAGACCAGGCTGGCCTCAAACTCAGAGATCTGCCTGCCTCTGCCTCTCTGAATGCTGGGATTAAAGCATGTGTCCCCACTGCCCAGCACATCTTAATTTTTATAATTTCTTGGTAATAGCAATTAAAACGTTGGGAGCTGGAGAGGTGGTTTATCAGTTAAGATTACTTATTACTCTGGGTGGTGGTGGCCCACGCCTTTAATCCCAGCACTCGGGAGGCAGAGGCAGGCGGATCTCTGTGAGTTCGAGGCTGGGCTGGACTGACAGAGAAACCCTGTCTCGTAAAAACAACAACAACAACAAAAACAAAACAAAAAAAATTATTACTCTTGAAGAATACCCAGGCTCTATTCCCTTCATCCACATGGTAGCTATCAGTTGTAAAACTCCATTTCTTAATCCCAGCACTTGGGAGGCAGAGGCAGGTGGATCTCTGTGAGTTCAAGGCCAGCCTGGTCTACAAGAGCCAGTTCCAGGACAGCCTCCAACGCCACAGAGAAACCCTGTCTCGAAAAACCAAAAAAAAAAAAAAAAAAAACCCAAAAAAACAAAAAAAACCCTCCATTTCATGGGATTTGATGACCCCATCTTCTGGCCCCCATGGACAGTACACACATGTGCTGCACAGACATACATGGAGAGAAAATACCCATACACATAAAAATGCATCTTTTTTTAAAAAGTTAATTTTTTTTCTGGATATCGAATCCAAGGCCTTAGCTATATTTGGTTAGCACTCTTCCAACTGAGCTTCATCTCCAGCCCCAAATAGTCATTATATTTGACCTAGGTTAATTCTAGGTAAGTATCCTTCTGAAACACATGTATGGGCATATCCAAAGATGTAAGTAAAAGGTTTTTCATTGCAGCATTATTTCTGAAAATTTATATACAATACAGATGTTCAACTAGGCAGTTATGTCACATGCCTTTAATCCTAGCAGTCAGGAGGCAGAGGCAGGTATCTTTGTAAGTTTAAGGCCACCCTGGTCTACAAAGTGAGTTCCAGGAAAGCCAGGGCTGTTACACAGAGAAACTTTGTCTGGAAAAACCGAACCCCCCCCCCAAAAAAAAATTTTCCAAGCTGGTTTTGATAACAAACCTATCCCAGTGCTCAGAAGGTAGAAAGTAGGAGTATGGCAAATTTAAGACCAACCTGGTTTATACCTGCCTTAAAAAAACCTACCAGAGCTGGAGAGATGGTTTAGCAGTTAAGAACATTGCTCTTCCAGAGACCTTGAGTTTGAATCCCATCTCCCTCTTGGTAGCTGACAACCATCTCTAACTCCAGTATGCTACTGTCTTTTGACTTTTGAGGGTGCAAAACGTGATACACAGGCATAAATGAGTTGAAATACCCAAACACATGAAATAAGTCTTCAAAGAATAACTTTCGTAAACCCAAACAAACAGAAAAACTGGGCACGATGCTTGAAATCTCCACATCCAGGAAGCTAAAGCAGCAAAGCTAGCGTGGGCTCCATTTCAAGACTGCCTGCAAAACAAAAGGAGGTAGACAAGCATGTTCAGTCCAGCATGTAGCTCAGTGACTGAACTGTTTGTTCATCCACTGCTCATTCTAGGAAGTACTTGACCTAGGAGGAGCCGAGGATTCAATCCCTGACACCAGAAATGTAATAGAGGCTGTATAAACTTTCTTTCAAGCTATTAGCAATAAATTATTTTTAGAGGCTGATGCTAAATAAGATTTACATTTTATGCAGTATATTTTCTAGAGTGTTTTGGTTTTTTGAATTTATTACATTTATTTATCTATTTAGTGTTTGCATACATGTGTACATGCCACAGTGTGTATATCTAGATCAGAGGTTAACTTGTAGGATTCTGTTCTTTCCTTCCAGTCTATGGGTCCCAGGAATTGAACAGGTTTACAGGCTTAGTGGCAAGTGCCTTTACTTACTGAACTATCTCTCTAGCAGTTTTATTAATCATACATTGTTATTAAAGATAAATTTTTAAAAAAACAATACAAGTAAAGGGCACAGACTGACTGGTGTTGTGATACAGAGTTATGGTGTCAAACATACACTTTTTTGTTTTTTCCAAATAGAATGCCCAGTGTTTGCATGGAGACATTGCACAGTCACAAAGAGAAATTACCTTGAAAGGCTTCAGAGAAGGTAGTTTTAAAGTTCTGGTGGCAACCAATGTGGCTGCCCGTGGCTTGGACATTCCTGAGGTTGACTTGGTGATTCAGAGTTCCCCTCCACAGGTAGGAAATGGATAGTTTCGTAAATGTTACTTTGTTTACAAAGTGTTGCTTAAGATTTGAAAAATATGTCTTTCGTTTGTTGCTGATCTTAACCTATGTTTTGTTAGAATGGTATTATTTTGATCAAATGTACCACCTTATAAATAAAAAACTTTACCATTTGCATCTAAAGATTGATTGACAAAATCATACACGGAACCAGGAATGGTGGCACAAACTTACAGTCCCAGCACTTGGGAAGCAGAGGCTGGTGTCACTGCATGTTCCAGGCCAGCTATTAATATATACCAAATTCCTGTACAGAACAAAAAAAAAGTGATGGCAACAGCATACACATCTCATTAAGGAATTATAAAAAGCTTATATACAGAACTCTAGTGTATGTGCATAAATGGCTGCTTTTTAGATAGTTTTTTAATACTTTCTAGAAATTAAAATATAATCACATCATTTCCTCTTTCTTTTTCATTCCACTAATCCCTCCTAGATAAACCCCCCTTATTTTCCAAATTCAGAGCCTCTTTTTTTGTGTGTGCGCACACACATATTCCTAAATACATAAAGAGAATCTGCTCAGTCCTTATGTCACTCTTACATACATGATTTCAGGACTGACCTCGTGGTATCAGATAACCAATTGGAGGGCTCTTCCCTGAGGGAAGACTATTTCTCTTACCCTTAACATTCCTTAATTGCCTGTAGTTTCTTGTTTAGGATTGGGGCCCTGTGAGATTTCCCTCTTTTTTCATGTCTGTTGATGTTGTCTGTGTTCAGGTCTTAGATTAATAGCTTTTTTTTTTTTTTTTTGGTTTTCCAAGACAGGGTTTCTCCATGGCTTTGGAGGCTGTCCTGGAACTAGCTCTTGTAGACCAGGCTGGTCTGGAATTTACAGAGATCTGCCTGCCTCTGCTACCTGAGTGCTGGGATTAAAGGCATGTGCCACCAACACCTAGGTGATTAATAGCTTTTTTTTTTTTTTTTTTTTTTTTTTTTTGGTTATTCGAGACAGGGTTTCTCTGTATTGTTTTGGAGCCGGCCTCGAACTCACAGAGATCCACCTGCCTCTGCCTCCTGAGTGCTGGGATTAAAGGCATGCGCCACCAACGCCTGGCGATTAATAGGTTTTAAATGTTTTTTTTATTACAGAATTCTAGCATATGAATTACTTGTGATGTTGTAAAGTACAGAAAGATTGAATATATTTTTGCTTTTTTTGAGAAATGGTCTCAGACCAGGCATACCTGAAGCTTTTTAATACAGGCTGGTCTTGAACTTGATGCTTCAGCAGCCTCCCAAGTACTGGGATTGTAGGCTTACACTACCATGCCTAATTCTTTCTTGGTAATTTTTGAGGCTGGCCTCAGACTTGTAGCCTTCTGAGTACTGATTACAGGTGTGCATCATGGCTGGCTCACTTGTTGAGTTTATACAATAAATTTTCTTTTTTCTTCTTAGGATGTTGAATCCTATATCCATCGCTCTGGACGTACAGGTAGAGCTGGCCGGACAGGAATTTGTGTATGTTTTTATCAACCAAGAGAAAGAGGACAACTGAGATATGTGGAACAGAAAGCAGTGAGTAAAGTTAAATGATTTCAGTCTACTAACTAAATGATATCATAGAAGAGAGTTGTTATATTTGTTCTCACAAGTATACCTTCCCAGTATTTCTTAGTTTATATTGCATTTGGATGTCAAGCATGTGGAGAGCTAAATTTGTATTAGTTGGAGGACTTTGTTTATACAGCTTTTATTGTGAAGCCAGAAGATCTGACATCTTTGAATTTCTCTCTCAACACTAACATTGGAAGTGTGTTAATGGTTCCAGTGTTGTTGTGATTACTAAGCATTTTAAATGGGTAACTGACTCTGGTTTGGCATTGATATTTTAGTTAGATTGATAATATAATAACCAGTTTCATAAAAAAATACATTTTTTATGGTCTGCATTTTCTTGTAGTCTTTTTCTCTTTTTGAATCAGCTTTGTTTTGCAAGTGAAATTCTATGATTTAATTAGGGACAATTTTTTTTTTTTAGGTTTTGTTGTTGTTGTTGTTGTTTCTTTTTTGGACTTGATTATAGATGGTTTGTTAGAAACAGCAATTTTTCATCTGCTAGGGCTTGGAAATCTTTAAGTCCAAGAAATGGAAATTCAACCAACTATATTAATTTAGAAATTAACTATGACGACTTCCTTTTTCTTTAATGTAATTCTTTCATTTTCAGGGAATTACTTTTAAACGTGTAGGTGTTCCTTCTACAATGGATTTAGTTAAATCTAAAAGCATGGATGCCATCAGGTATGCTTTCTGACCTTGCTGAGTAATTCCTCTTCTGTATTAGGCTGTTCATCTTTAAGCTCTCCTAGTTCCAATAAGAGAAAACTTTAGACAAGGGTTTTACATTTAGTTACATTATTTACATGAAAATGTTATTACTCTTTTCTTTTCCCATTGATGATCTTGCCTTTATTTTTTGCCCTGTGCCTGACCAAGAACATTTGCTATTTTTAAACCACAGGTCTCTGGCCTCTGTTTCTTACGCTGCTGTTGATTTCTTCCGACCATCAGCTCAAAGACTGATAGAAGAGAAAGGGGCCGTGGATGCACTGGCTGCAGCGTTAGCTCACATTTCTGGTGCATCGAGCTTTGAGCCACGATCTTTGATCACCTCTGATAAGGTAGAAAAGGGTGGGAAGTGTATTTGGCTAGAGAAGGTTAAAACTGAGTCATAACAGTTGTACAGTACATTTGTGAAACACTGCACTTGATTCCTTTAGCATATTAAGGTTTTGTTCTTGTGTTTTTTTTCCTTTTTCTGTCTAGAAAAATCTTCCTCTTCTCATCTTATATTCATGCCTCCGATCCCAGCATTTGGGAGGAAAGACTAGTACAATAAATGTAATTTACCATCCACCTTAATTCAACAACTGTTAATATTGTGTAACATATACTTTATGTTCATATGTACATTTTTCCTTTTTTTTTTTTTATTTCTTCAAGACCGGGTTTCTCTGTATTGTCTTGGAACTCACTGTGTAGACCAGGCTGGTCTCCAACTCACAGAGATCCACTTGCCTCTGCCTCCCGAGTTTCAACTTGTTTCTCTAAAAATAATGATACTGTACTTAGTCACAGTATCGCAGTCTAATCTGCTTATAAAGATGATTACATATCAGCCATTTAATGCCTATGTTTAGATTTGCTTCTGTCCATTCAAAACATAGCTCTCACTATAAAGGGAGTATGAGATAGTTTGATTTTTAGCTATATATGTGTTACCATGAATTTGGATTTAGGTCGCTGTGAAGGATGGGTGCCACCATGGAAGTAATTACATGTGCTTTCATAGTCACAGAACTAAAAGTTACTAATTGGAGAATTGACTATGCACATTGGTGTGGGCATCAGGTGGATAGGTTACATCAGGTGGGAAAATCTTAGATCTTGAATGTTACATAATAACATTCTTAGGTTTTGGATTTGTAGAAGTTACTGGTCTGTTAAGATTGTAAAGATTTTTTGTTTATTTTGTTTTTTGTTTTGTTTTACCTGGCAGTTGAAAGGCTGTTAGGTGAGATATAGGAATAGGTTTTAAATGTTTACTAGGATTTTTTTAAGGGGGAAGTAAAAAATCCTAAAGATAATTTTGTTCTGGATGTGTAATATTCCATTTCATCAGTTAGCCAGCCTGGCAGTTTTTGTTTTGTTTTTTCTTTTCCTTTTGAGACAGAGTTTCTGTATGTAGCTTTGGAGCCTGTCCTGGAACATGTTCTGTAGGCCATGCAAGTCTTGAACTCACAGAGATCTGTCTGCCTCTGCCTCCTAAATGCTGGGATTAAAGACATGCACTACCATTGTTCAACACAGCCTGGCAGAATCTTAAGTCACATGTGAATTGTGACTTCCCTACCCCTCCATCCTGACCTCTGGGAATTTAGTTCTTATTTATCGTACCAAAAGTGTCTGTAAGAATTCTGGAAAGAAAAGACAATCATCACTTTGTACTGTATGGAGCCAAGTGAAACTTTTTCATTTTTCATCTTGTTCGTTGCCATGGAACCACAAAGTGGATTTTGTAAGGACAAAATAACGGTTGCCTTTATATGTGTAGGGGTGTCTATGTTTCTGAGATTCTGTGTAGCACGCCTGTGGCCTGCTTGCAGGTTAGTGTCAGGTGTCTTACCAGAGCCATTTGATGCAAGTGACTCAGAGCTTTGTTACTTGGTGGGATATGAGTGTGTATGTGTGTGTGGGGGGTGAGTTTTGAGAAGGAACAAGAGAGTGAGGGATACATACCAATTGTCATGTAAACCCATTTTAAAAGTATATTTTACTCTCTGAATTGTAATCTCTAAGGTGATCCTTTAACACTGAGCACATAGAGAAGCCTTAGAAACTGGTCAGATACTTTATAAAATAATATTTAGTCAGAAATATTGGGCATGACTATAATTTCATCATTCAGGAGGTTACTAGGCTGAGCTACATACATAGCTAAACTTGTCTCAAAACCAAACAAGCCAGAAGTGATAGCTCATATTTGTAATCCCAGCACCTGGGAAACAGAGACAGTAGACTCAAAAATCTGAGACTAGCCTATCGAACATAAAGGTTTTAGGCTAGTCAGGGCTTCATATTGAAAACCTGTCTCTAAAAACAAACAAAAAAATACTCAGTAGGTTTTTTTGTTGTTGTTGTTGTTTTTTGTTTTTTGTTTTTTGGTTTTTCGAGACAGGGTTTCTCTGTGGCTTTGGAGACTGTCCTGGAACTAGCTCTTATAGACCAGGCTGGTCTCAAACTCACCGAGATCCGCCTGCCTCTGCCTCTGCCTCTGCCTCTCGAGTGCTGGGATTAAAGGCGTGCGCCACCACCGCCCAGCTACTCAGTAGGTATTTTATTTATTCTTGAGACAGACTCTCACTGTGTACCTCTGGCCGGCCTAGAATTCACAGTGATTCCCTGTTTAGGCATACATCACCACACACCTACCTGGATGCTTTATTTTCTAGAGACAAGACCTTGCTATATATCCATGTTGGCATTGAAGTCACAACAATTCTCTTGCTTCAGCCTCTTAAATAAATTTTAAACTGTACTTTAAAAAAAAGTATTGAGGTACTTCATAGGTCACTTACTGCTAATCCTTGTCCCATCAAAGAATTCTTGGGTTGGCCATAGAGGTGTCCATGTCTACAATCACAGCACTTGGGAAGCAGAGGCAGGAGAATGTTGCAAGTCTGAGGCTAGTCTAACCAAGAATCTTCTAGTAGATAGATCATCTATTTAATTAAATATCTTGGGGAAAAGGTACTAATGACTTGAAATTTCTCTTATGGATTAAACCATATTTGAAGTCTTAATTTTTTTTTCAATATTATGTCTAAGAGTTTTTAACCTGAATATTTTGTTTTGTTTGTTCGTTTGGTTTTTCGAGACAGGGTTTTTCTCTGTAGCTTTGGAGCCTATCCTAGAACTCTCTCTGTAGACCATCTGTAGACCAAAACTCAGAGAGAGTCACCTGTCTTTGCCTTCCAAGTACTGGGATTAAAGGTGTTTGCCCCCACTGCCCAGTCTTACTTGAATATTTGTATGTGTACCATGTGTATCTGGTGCCTTCCCTGGGACTGTTGTTACCACTGTCTGATTTTTAGCCACCTTCTGAGTACTGGGAATTGAACCAGAGTCCTCATGGAAGAACAACCAGTACTCTTAACCACAGAGCCATCTCTAGCTCTGAAGTCTTTATCATGAATGTCCCAATAATGTGTGTCCTATAGGGTATTCTGCTTGCTACCTGTGTGACTTCATTTTTCATCACTCTCTTGACTTTCCTAACTGTCTGGATCTATTTGAGTTACTTCTACCTTAACCCACTCCTGCAAAGACTTTCAGGCTTACTCATTTTCTCAGTCCCCTTCCACTTACAGCTTTGAGGATTCCTCTTTTATTTTGGCCTCTGCTCAAATATCATACTGGAAAAATCTTTCCAGATCACTCTGGTCCTCTCTTTACTTTTTTACATTCCCCAGCTCTGCTTTGTTATCCTTTATGATATATATCACTGACATTTCATATGCTTTGTCAGCGTCTCCGCCCCCTTCCCACACACATGAGAAAGTTATGTCTATGAGAGAAAGGTCTGTTTGTTATTAAATCTTTCTATTTTATGTGCAGTGGTGTTTTGCTTGTGTGAGGGTGTTGGGTCCCCTACACAGAAATTACTGACAGTTATAAGCTGCCGTATGGGTGCTGGGAATTGAACCTGGGTCCTTTGGAAGAGCAGTCTGTGTCCCTAATTGCTAAGCTATCTCTCCAGCCCTTGTTACTAAATCTTTAGCTCTTGGTATGGACTACACTATAGGAGATAGTCACTAAGTATTTGCTAGGTAATATTTCCTTGTGTCTTCATGTTTATTCTTTTCCTGCCAATGAAGCTTCCTGGAACAAGTAATTTTTATGTGGTAGTCCTCCAAACGTTTGAAGCTTTTGATGTCTTTTTTTTCCACTGTTAAGTAAATGACTTTTAAACATTTTCTTATTTCTTCACTACTTTCCTCCCCAAGTCTTCCTGTGATGCTCTGGTCTAATTCTGTCTTGTAACATGTAGAACATAGTCTCTATGTGGTCTGTCAGAGCAGTGTATGGAGTGGTGCTTTCAGTGATGTGTAAACAGCCTTCTAATACTGTTTGAGAGAAGTGAGTTTTTAGTGGCCATGTTACACTGTTGGAGTACCACATGGAAACTTTGTAATTAATGCAGGAACATCATGGACTTCAAACTTCATTCTCCTGTTGCTGAATTTCTCTCAAACCTAATAAACTTTTATTTCTAAAGGGGTTTGTGACCATGACTCTGGAAAGCCCAGAAGAAATACAGGATGTCAGCTGTGCTTGGAAAGAGCTTAACAGAAAGCTGAGTAATAATGCTGTGTCTCAAGTAACCAGAATGTGCCTCCTAAAAGGAAATATGGTAGGTTTTTCTAGATAAATAAGCATTTTAACCAGTTACTAATAAAATCTATACAAAGTTCAAAGATTTGGGATTCTATATTCCTTAAGAGTTTTGTTTGACTATTATTTTCAGACAAGGTATCCTTAATGTAGTCCAGGCTGGTCTTGATCTCCGGATTCTCCCCTGAATGTTGGGATTGTAAGTAGGTGACACCACACCTGTCTCAGACTTAAGTGATCTAATTTATTGGTATAGTTTATCAGTAACAGTGTGGTTGTGTGTTTGTTTATTTTTATTTTTTATTTATTGGTTTTTTGAGATAGGGTTTCTCTGTAGCTTTGGATTCTGTCCTGGAACTAGCTCTTGTCGACCAGGCTGGTCGGACTCACAGAGATCCCCCTGCCTCCTGAGTGCTGGGATTAAAGGCTTTCACCACCACTGCCCTGCTTTTTGATTAATTTCCATATGTAACAGTTGAACAACTCTGCTCTTATAATTTAGAGTATGTGAACTATTTTGTTGTTGTCTGCTATTGGTTGCTAATGAGAGTAATAATATGATATTTTATGATATTTTTCTTTGAGACCATATTTCATAGTTGCCCAGGCTAGCCTTGAAACCTTGCTCCTCTTCATTCTGCTTTCCAAGTACTGAGGTTCTTTTTTTTTGGGGGGGGGGACAGGCTCTCTCTGAACTTGCTATGTAGACCAAGCTGGCTCACAGAAATCTACCTGCCTCTGCCTCTGTTATGTACCACCACGCTCAGCTTAAAGCTTAATCTTAGAACTCACTACTTATCTAGCATATCTACATAGACATTGTAGGCGAATCTTGTTGAGTTGTAGGCCACCCTGGTCTACAGAGCTAGTTCTAAAACTTCCAGAACTACACAAAGACCCTGTCTCAACCAGGCAATGGCAGCATACACCTGTAATCCCAGCACTCAGGAGGCAGAAGCAGATGGATCTCTGAGTTGGAGGCCAGCCTGGTCAACAGAGCTAGTTTTGGGACAACTGGGGGGCTACATAGAGAAACCCTTTGTTGAAAAACCAAAAGAAAGAAAGGAAGGAAGAATGAAAAAAAACAAAGAATGAATTAATGTCTCAAAGTTTAGTGTTACCTTCAATAAAGAATTGAATTCACCCAAAAAACTAAAACAGTGGAGGGGAAGAAAATTAAAACAAGACCCCTAGTCCAAACTGGTTATTGAGTATTAATTTTAACTAATGGTCACCAGGGTTGCAAAGAAAACTTTAAAACTATGAGAGAAAAACTTACTGCTCCAAATTTTAACTTTTAAGAATTTTAGTCTTTTGCAGTGTTAGGGTTTGACTCACTGACTTGTATGTGATAAGCAAGTACCATATGTCAGACCTATGTTCCTAGCTTCTCACTAATGTTTTAAAGAAAATTATGAAAAGGACTCCTTTTTTTCTCTCTGTCTTTTTTCTTTGAGGCAGGGTTTTTCTATGTAGCCCTGGCTGTTGTGGAACTAGAGATCCATCTGCCACTTCCTCTGAAATGCTGGGATTAAAGGCTTGTGCCACCACTGCCTAGCTAAAAAGACCATTTTGTAAGAGACACGGGACAATTACAGTGTCTACAAAAATTCTTCTAGAGAATATACTAGGTACTTCAGAGTCTTACTAGTTATACTTAGTTATACCTCAGATTAGAAAGTATTGTACGTACTACATACAATCAATGCTTATTTTCACCTGTTTTGATCCTGTGAATAGTCATGGAATACATGTTTTTTTAAAGCAAAATGCAACAAATATTAATTAGTAAAAATTAATTCATGTTATCTATATAAGAATCTTTATTTTGCTTTTAGGGTGTTTGCTTTGATGTTCCTACAAGTGAATCAGAAAGACTTCAGGTATTTAAATTGTTTTTATCTATTAAATAGTTGAGTATGTTTCTTTAAAAGACTGCTTTGAGAAACTTAGTGTCATTTATCATGCCTCAATTAATTAAGAAAGTCCTTAATATGAAATGTTGCCTGTCCCATAACTAAAAATTTATTATGGGTAATTTCAAATGTAAATAATAATTGGGGCTACAGAGGTATCTCAGTGGTTAAGACCACTTGCACCCCTTACAGAGGACCCAGGTTCCATTCCTAGCATCCACAAGAGGGTTCATATAACCAGGGAATCTGATGCCTTCTGACCACCACAGGTGCTGTACACATAGAAATGTAGGCAAGACACTCTCACACATTAAAAAAACAAAAACAAAAAAACTTTAAAAATGTGTTTAATGAGTTACAGTAGGTGCATAACAGTTTGATAATCTTGTAGACAGTTTTATATCAAATCCTTTCTGTTCATTTCTACTGTTACAGTAGACAAACTCCAGGCATTTTGTCATTTCAATCTTTTTTAAGCTGTATTTTTATTTTATGTACATTGGTGTTTGATCTGCATATTTATGTGAGGATGCCAGATCTCTAGAATTGGAGTTACATCCAGTTGTGAACTGTCATGTAGGTGCTGGGAATTGAACCCAGGTCCTCTGGAGAAGTAGTCAGTGCTCTTAATCGCTGAGACAGTTCTCCAGCCCACTTGTCATTTCAATCTTAACTATTCCTACATATTTAAATGTTAGGGATTTAAACATAGTCATAATATTATAATTCCTTCTATATATTCTATTTAAATTTTCCCTTTTGTTTTTTGATTATCTTTCTTTGCTATTCTTAGATTGGAAGCTAGGATCTTACACACGATAGATTAACACCTAACTTCCCTTACTGTATTTTTTTTTTCTTAGACAAGGTTTCTCTGTATAGCCCTGTCTATCTTAGAACTTGATCTGTAGACCACCAGGCTGGCCTCAAACTCAGAGATCTGCCTGTTTCTGCCTTCCAAGTGCTGGGATTAAAGGTGTGGACCATCACTGCCCACCCCATTAGATTCTTTTTTTGTTTTGTTTTTTGTTTTTTGTTTTTGTTTTTTTGTGGCTTTGGACCCACTAGATTCTTATAGTAAAGAATTTTGTTTTCTGTGCCTTTGCTTTTATGTACATTTTGGGGAGGTAGTACTGCAACAAAAGTCCTGGTATCTAGCCCAAGCCAACTTGGAACTTAATATGTAACTCAAACTTGATATTTGTATGCGCCACGTATAGTTTATTCATATACCTATTTTGAAATAATGGGATTCTGCTGTTTATTACATTGATTGATGTGTAGGTTAGGGCATGTGCACCCTGTGGAATGTACATGAATTCAAAGGACAACTTGTGGGAGTTGGGTCTCTCCTGCCATTGGTTCCCAGGCAGAGATAAGTCATCAGTGTTGATAACAAGCACCTTTACCCACTGAGACATCTCAGCAGTCCTGACTCTTTGAAGTCTTTAAAATATCGTGGATACCAGGAACCAGTGAGATGGCCTAATGGTGAAAGATGAAAGATGCTTAATGTGACTTCAACCTCTGGTACCCACATAAAGGTGAAAGAAGAGAACCAACTCCTCACAGTTGTCATTTGACCTCCGTGTACATGCCTACCCACACAAATACATCCAGACAAAACATCCACATACATAAAAGTAAAAAAGAAAATGTATTCAAAGTTTAAAGAAATATTGTGGATCCTTTTGGGGGTGGTGGTAATGGGAATTGAACTCAAGACTCTCATAAATGCTAGGCAAGTGCTCTAGTCCCCTTTTCCCCTTTTTGTTGGGAGACAGGGTCTCACTAACTTGCTTATGCTGCCCTTGAGTTAACTCAGTAGTAGCCTAGACAAGTCCTTGAACTTAGATGTTCCCTCATCGCCTCATATCTTGTTTTACTTGTGATCATATTGATATAATTGCTTATAATACTTCACTGCTTATTAATGGTCTGCGTCTTTATCCTGAGAAAAAGATCCTGTCTTTTAGAAAACATAACTGTTATGAGTAGGGATTTAGAATCTTGAAAACGGTCTGATGGTTTCTCTATACTTGATCTTAGCCAGAAGGCTGAGAAATGGCAGAACATTTATTTTGAGATTAAAATTTAAATATGTTACTGTTTTGCTTATTTTCTGGTTTTCATTGTTCTTGACACTTTAAGGGAAAAATGCCCTTCATCTTTTAGCTAAAACTCACTTGTTTATGTGTTTTATTTTGCATTTCTATTAATCCTATATATTCCTTTAACAGGCAGAGTGGCATGATTCAGACTGGATACTCTCAGTGCCAGCCAAATTACCAGAAATTGAAGAATATTATGATGGAAACACATCTTCTAATCCCAGACAGAGGGGTAGCTGGTCAGGCGGCAGGTCTGGCCGTTCAGGCCGGTCTGGTGGTCGATCTGGTGGCCGATCAGGTAGACAGAGTCGACAGGGGAGTCGGTCAGGAAGTCGACAAGATGGTAGAAGACGAAATGGGAACAGAAATCGATCAAGAAGTGGGGGCCATAAACGGAGTTTTGACTAAGTGTTTGATCCTTAATCTTCCAGTGTGAGCTTGCCTATATCTGTCTAATCATGTATATTACTCACCAAAAATTAGGTCATCATAGTTGAGGTATTTGTCTGTAATTTGCAAAGAAGTTGGTCGTATTTTTTTAAAAAGTATTTCACAAGAATGGTTGTAAACAAATCTACTTACCCAGCTATACCTTTGAATTAAAAAAAGCCCCTTTTATTGTCTGTTTTCATTCCGTGTTAAGAATTTTCTCAATGTAATCTTTTAAAATTTCTTGTATGATGTGGTACTCTTTAGGTTTTTAGTTTTTTAATACAGGATTTCTCTGTGTAGCCCTGGCTATCCTGGAACTCACTCTGTAGATCAGTCTGGCCTCAAACTAAGATCTGCCTGCTTCTGCCTCCCAAGTGCTGGGATAAAAGGTGTGCACTATGAAGTGTGGTCATTCATTCATAGCTCATGTGATAAGATAAAACCCTTTCCACAGTAAGGGCTGTTAACTGGTGACATGTTTGGTGAAATGTACCAGTTTAACTTAATAGACACATTTAGGTAGATAGGCAATGTACACTCCTTTATTTATCAATCATTTATCAAATGTCTGTTTATCTACTCTCTGATAATCACTAGAGCACACATTTATAAATGGAATCGTCACTAGTTTGATAAAACTCACTGTCTAGCCATCAGCCAGTTATAATAAACATGAATGAATAAAGACCAAGACTAAAGCAGGCGTGGAATACAGGACTAGGGTGTACCTACTTAGTTTTAAGATTCAGGAAGACTTTAGAAGAAAATCTTACCCATCATATATATATAGAGAGAGAGGGGAAGTGGAGTACAGTTAGTTGTGTTTTGTTTTTGAGTTATTTTTGTTTTTGAAGATTTTTTGTAATCTAGAGTTGCTTGTGGTCACTATCACCAGCCAGATGACTTTTGAAAACTGGTTTTCAGGCAGAGAGAACAACATATACAGGAATCCAGAGAGTAAGTCTCAAGAAACACAGTTTAGTGTGGTTTTTATATTGTAGGCTAAGGGCAGGAAGAAGAAAAAAGATTGAATATTTAAGATTATCGGATGTTAAAAGCCTTATCTTTATTGTTACGGAGTTCCTTTTTGACTGAGTACAATGGGAAGAACATTACAAAGCTTTTTGGGTCAGAAATGATTAGTTTTGTATTATTAATACTGTACGTGTTGCCGGTGTGTATACCTGTGTATTGTGGGTGTACCATTGGAGGCCAGCAGAGGGTGTTTGATCTCCTGGAACTAGAGTTACAGATGTTTGTGTGCTATCATATAGGTGCTAGGAATTGAACCCAGGTCCTCTTTTCTAAAAAAGCAGTCAGTGTTCTTAACTGCTGAGCCTGGGGAGTAACATGGTTAGTTTTGTATTTCAGAAAGACTCCTGACCTTATAGAGACGAACATGTTGGAGGAGGGCTAGACTGAAGACCAGGAGACCCCTGAAGAGGCTATATGAGGACTAGGGATATAGCTGCATAGTAGAGTACTTGGCTAGCTGGTAAAGGAAAGGGCTTAACACTAAAAGAAAAAACGTTGTAGAATTAATTCAATGGAGAGAGATGCTGGTGAGCCAAACTATTTTATGTTATGAGAACCAGTACACTTGAGAGGTTGGTACCCGCCCAAAACCATAGCTAGATAATATGTAGTGGAGTGAAGATTTAAGCCCACAAAGACAGTTTCTTTGACATAACTCAAAATTAGTGGCAGTGGATATTTAAAAAGTAAGGATAAGCCAGGCATGGTGGTAAATACTTTTAATCCTGGCACTTGAGAGGCAAAGGCTCTTATCTGAGTTTGAGGTCAGCCTAGTCAACATAGTTAGCTTCAAGCTACTTAGAGCTATGTATAGTAAGACACTGTTTCAAGAAACAAATAATATGGGTGAATTAAAGGACTTTAGGAAATAGAATTGTTAGGACTCAAATGTTGGTTGGATTAGAAGATGAGAGACAAAAGTTCATGGGAAGTAGGGATATGATTAAGTCAGAGATATATTCGCGCCGTGTGTGTGTGTGTGTGTGTGTGTGTACTTTTATTATAATTTATTTTGAAGACTGGGTCTCTCTATATTCCTGGCTGTCCTAGAACTCACTATGCAGACCAGGCTGGCCTCTGGCCTCAAACTCAGAGATCTGCCTGCCTCTGCCTCCCAATGCTGGGTTAAAGGTGACCATTATATCTGGTTATTAGGTATATTTTAATTTGAGTAAACCCCCATGAGAGTCTAAGAAGAGATAAACATTGGACAGTTAGATTTACAGGTCTGAAGCATAAGGTTTCATACAGAGATTCAGATTTGGGAGTAACAAAATTGTATTCCAAGGAGAACATTGTAAAAGTCCAGATTGAGGAAGGAACCAAGTATACTAATATACTTCCTGCAAAGGGGAAGAGCTTTGACGGAAACACTCAGAAGAGGACAGGCTTTCGTAGGAAATGACAAAAAGAACCACCACAGGAGTAGTGAGAGAGTAGTGATAGAAGGTGTGGTGGCACACACTTGTAATTCCAGTTATGGGTGGTGAGTTTGAGGCTGACCTGGGTTACATCATAAGACACAAATCACATAAGTACCAAATATAGAGAACTCTGTTTAGAAATTTAGCCATGGTTAGGGGAGAATAAACTAAAGCTGTAAGTAGAACACAGGATAGTGTGGCTGGCATTTTTGTGCATGATGATGGTGGTAGGAGAGGATATCTGATACAAGCTGAAATAATATGAAGAGTCTAGAAGAAAATTTAGAACAGAAAATCCAGTTTTCAGTACTCTGAAAACTAAAAATGGAGCAAGATCCCTACAAAAACCCAAATGAATGAGGAGATCATGCACAGAACTAGAAATTTTAGCTTCAGGTATGTGGGGGCAGTGCCTTTCAGCATTTCGTCAGGAATAAAACCTCAGTGAGTCTGTTGGTGTTGAGGTAAAAGTCAGGTTAAATATGCATTGGTTACACTTAGAAGAATGAACTGGTGATTTCCCTAGGCAACACAGCGTTCTCATTCTGTGTGGGGGTGGAGATGGGAGCAGGTGGCTAACCATGTGTGGGCTCCACTCAGAAATGAAAAGACTGACAAAGCAGATTGCCAACGTGACTGAAGGATAGAAGGACAGAAGTGACTACAGTGTAATGGGGCAGGGACCTCTGAAGGTTTGTGAAAGCTGGAGAGGTTTGAAATCTAAAGAGTAGTGGAGGGGCTGGAGCAGTGGCTCAGTGATGAAAAACACATACTGTTTTTTTTTTTTTTGTTTTTTGTTTTGGTTTTTCGAGACAGGGTTTCTCTGTGGCTTTGGAGGCTGTCCTGGAACTCACTTGGTAGTCCAGGCTGGTCTCGAACTCACAGAGATCCGCCTGCCTCTGCCTCCCGAGTGCTGGGATTAAAGGCGTGCGCCACCAACGCCCGGCTTCAGATACTGTTCTTGCAGAAGACTCAGGTTCAATTCCCAGCACCCACAACGGCCTATAACTCTAGCTTCAAGTAATCTGATACCCCTCTGACATATGCACATACACACACAAATTTTTAAAATATGGATTAAAAAGGGTAGAGTAGTAGGTCAGGCATATTAGTGCAGTTTTACTGGGTGAGTAAGGAAGAGGTTGGTGGATCTCTGAGCTTGAAACTAAGCCTAGGCTACATAGTGAGATTGTGTATAAAAAGTGGAGTAGCGGGGCGTGGTGGCGCACGCCTTTAATCCCAGCACTTGGGAGGCAGAGGCAGGTGGATCTCTGAGTTTGAGGCCAACCTGGTGTACAGAGCGAGTTCCAGGACAGCCTCCAAAACAATACAGAGAAACCCTGTCTCGAAAAACCGAAGAGAGAGAGAGAGAGAGAGGGAGGGAGGGAGGGAGGGAGGGAGGGAGGGAGGGAGGGAGGGAGGGAGGGAGGGAGGAGCAGCTGGACGGTGGTGGCTCATGCATTTAATCCCAGCACTTGGGAGGCAGAGGCAGGCAGATCTATGTGAGTTCAAGGCCAGCCTGGTCTGGTCTACAGAGCAACTGCTGCATATATATCAGAAAATAGGTATTGGTAGGCTGGTTGGGAACAAAGGGCACTTAATTGAGGGACTGGGAAGCCACATGTTACATAGGCGATTTTTATGGCCTGTGAAATCCAGCATGAAGAAAAGACAGGAGGGGGAAGATTGGTCCAGATTGCAAAATGTCAGTAAATGGTGGGTTTGGCAAGTTACTGAATGAGGAGGGTTGTGGGGTCATAGTACCACTTATCCTCAGTTTACAAGGGCTTTTGTGTGAAAGTAAGGGGGAGTAGTTCGGAAATGGATTTGAGGAAACAGGCACAGGCACATGGAATGAGGGGAGGAACAGCATGAGTATAAGAAAGCTGGAGGGGTACATTTCTCTCCAAGAGCCAGATCAGGTTAGCCAAGGAGCAAAAACTTGTGTTGCTAGACTAAAGAAGGGCATGCTGACTGCTGTCGCTGGGGGATAGTGGAGCTGCACCTATGTGATTGTGAGCTCTAGTTTAATACTCAAATCTCTACTGCACTGCCTGAGTATCAGTACATCTAGTGAGATCATGGTGTGTCCACAGTGTCCCAAGCAATGTTTTGGGTGCATGAGGAGTGTCTGGTTTCTTCCCTCCACAGCTCAGAATCTAGTGAAATAATAGAATATACGTCTAAACTGGCCAATTCTGAGAGCAAGGATACCCGGCCCAGAAATTCGGAGACATAATTGAGCTTCAGTTGGCAGGGGTTAAAAGGGGTGATGGTGATGATTTAGGGCCAGGGACTGAAGAGATGGCTCAGCTTAAAGAGAAATGCTGCAGAAAAAATTCTGTTCCCAAAATAAGTTGTTCCCAGCACACATGTCAAGTGGTTTGCTACTGCCTTTACCTCTAACCTCAAGGTATCCAATGTCCTCTTCTGGTCTCCAAGGGCAACAGAAGGTATGTACGCAACCACACAGACACACCAACATACATATAAAACCAGCAAACAATCTGGGAATGGCCATCTAGGCAAAAGCACAGAATAGCTAAAGAAACTAACATTGTCTAAGTATTGTCAACTATGAGTAGCTCTTATTGCTGTGGTCTTCCCTGAGGAAAGCAGTGGTTGTTTTAATCAGCCACTGAAGGAGTTTAATAGACTGAGATATAAGCATGTAGGTAAATGCTAGCAAGGTGGATTCAAAGGATATACCTACTAAGAAGTACCTTTCCTACCAGCAGGGGTTCTAACCAAATTAAATAATAGCTTCTACCTTAAAACAAAATTTAGCCAGGTGTGGTGGCACACACTTTTAACCCTAGCACTCGGGGCACAGTCAGGCAGAACGCTGAGTTTGAGGTCAGCCTGGTCTACAAAGTGAATTCCAGGATAGTCAGGGCTGGGCTGTTACACAAAAAAATCTTGTCCCAAAAAACCAAACCAAACCACCCCCTTGAAGTATGTGCAGCAGGCTCAACCTCTTGCTTCTAAGTGCTGGGATTAACGGCGTGCACCCCCTACACCCTTCCAATTCTGATTTTTTTAAATTGTTCATATTGTGCCACCGCACGCGCGCGTGAAAGAACAACTGTGCAGTCGGTTCTGGATTCCAGGGATCGCAATTTCAGGTCACGAGACCTGAGCTATCTCGCTGGTCCCTGAATTCTGGTGCTCACCACGGCACCTGGATTTAGCTGTCTGCTCCATCAGTTTTCCACAAGGGATGAAGGGATACACATCGCAAGACTTTTGTTTGCGGGAAAATGTTGCCTGCCGGTAATCCCAGACTTGGTAAGTGGAGGTAGCGGGTTAGTTCTAGCTGGCTAGACGTGTTTCTTATCTCTCAGGGCCGGTGGGAATCGGCTATATATAGTTAAACGAGACTATATCAAGAGAGCCTCTATGCTGCGTTCACAGAAACCATCCACCGCGGTGCGAACCAGAGCCTCCAGGGTGTTCGCTGCTTCCGCCGGACGCGCCCGTTACGGAAGTGACGAACTAGGGCGGGCTGGGAGGCGGTGCGCTTTCTTCCTCTCCTTTACACGCGGTTGAGGAAACCGGTAGGCCTGAGCCGCTCGTGCTGAATAATGCCGGGAAAACTACGCAGTGAGTCTAGGTTGGGATCAGTCGCGGCCGAGGAAAGCATGCCAAGCGAGAAGGTGAGACTTGGGGCCCCGGCCGGGCGGGAGCGCGTGGCCCTCTTGCTCCGCGGGCCGCTCTGACACGCCGAGCCGGCCGGCGCGTCCCTGGCCACGCGTTACCGGCCAGACTTGAGAGTGCGGAAGGGGATTGCAGATCGCCTCACAGTGGGGACTGGAGTCGCAGACAGCGAGGCCTGAAGCTAGGGCCCACGGGCGGCATCTGCAGTGACACACGCACACACACGGTTCCACCTTTACGGAAAAAAATTAGGAAATGAGGCGATGGGGGTCCTTCTAGTATTTATCGCTCGGATCTACGTGAAATTACATTACAAAACTGAATTTTCCCAAGAGATTTCTAAGGGATCCCCAAGGTTCATTACAAAAAGTGACCAAGAGCTGGGCAAATGTCTCGGGGCAAAATGCCTAAGTGCAGGCATGAGGACTGGAACTGGAAACCCTTGTAAAAAGATGGATGTAGGGGCACGTGCCTGTCACCCCAGCTGGTGGGGCTGGAGTGGGGAGTTAGCCAGCCTAGGTGAACCGGAGGGCTAGGTGAAGACCCTCTTACAGAGGGGATCTGTGTGAGCAGGGTTAATTTGCCTTCACTCTTATTAATTCCTTGAATGAGAAGATTTAAGGTGACAGTCTGTAATGATCAAAGTGGAAGGGAACAACGAAGGTTGTCCCATCTGGGCGCTCTTAGGTAGGAGCCTTTTAAAGGTACAGGAATATATTTGGATAAGGTGGAAACCGCATGGGGCAAAGCTTTCCCGGCTTGCATCCGCGTGCTCAGATGAAGTCAAGAGCGAGGGACCTGACTACTTGTTTAAGTTCGAAACTCGATTTCCTGGCTCTTTTTCACATATGTAACAGGTGTTTATTTTTAGGATGCATTATTTTTAGGATGCTTTTTGTGGTATCAGGGACCAAACCTTGGACCGTTCACGTGTTGGCAGGTGCTGTGCCACTGAGCTGTGATGAATGGATTTGCTTGCTCCTGTGTGTAGGGAAGCTAGCGGTCAAAACTGGGTGGGTGCCAAGTTTCTCTCTGAATCTGGATCCCTCCGATTCACCTAGGCTGGCTAACTCCCCACTCCAGCCCCACCAGCTGGGGTGACAGGCACGTGCCCCTACATCCCTCTTTTTACAAGAGTTTCCAGTTCCAGTCCTCATGCCTGCACTTAGGCATTTTGCCCCCTGAGACATTTGCCCAGCTCTTGGTCACTTTTTGTAATGAACCTTGGGGATCCCTTAAAAATCTCTTGGGAAAATTCAGTTTTGTAGTTTGGCCAGTATGAACTGAAGAATTACTATGAGTTTTTATTCCCCCATGTTAATATGACTGTTATATATACACTATCTCCAACTAAGAAATGGTATTAAATGATACTTTTTTTGTTGTTTTGTTTTTAAGACAGGATTTCTCTATATTGCTTTGGAACCCATCCTAGAACTTGCTCTGTAGACCAGGCTGGTCTGTAATGAGAGATCCGCCTGCCTCTGCCTCCTGAGTGCTGGGATTAAAGGCGTGGGCCACCAACGCCCAGCTTACAGTGTGGGTTTTTAACTTTTTTTTTAACTTTTTGAATTTATAATTACATTAAGCCAAGCATAGTGGTGTCTGCCTTCAATGCTAGCATTTGGGAAGCAGAGACAGGCGGATCTCTGTGAGTTCAAGGCCAGCCTGGTCTACAGAGTCAGTCCAGGACAGCCATTTCTATATAATGAGACCCTGCCTCTAAAAATTATAATTATATAATTTCTCCCTTCTTCCCTTTCCTCTTTCCAACCCTTTCCGTGTATCCCCTACCTCTTTAAAATTCATGATTTCCTTCTGAATTATTTACACTCTAGATTGCTTTCGCACAAATGATCACACACACGTTCCTAAATACAGCCTGCTCAGTCCACATGTTACATGTGTGTGTATAATTTCCGGGCAGATTTTTTTTAACTTATACAGTGTTGAAATGCCTAAAGCTATGTTCTCCCTAACTGTAAGTAGTCCTGAAATAACCCAGAATTGGTGGATATTACTACAAGTATAGTGGGTTTGTTCAGTGCTATGTCTTTATTAATTTTTTTAGAAAACTAGAAAAGAGAAGACAAAATCTAAGACCAAAGAAGCAACAGAAGGAATGGAAGAAACTGTTTCCTCCAAAGCTAAAGCAGTTAAAAAGAAAGGGTCTTCTGAAGATGAAGGAATGGAAGAAACTGTTTCCTCCAAAGCTAAAGCAGCTAAAAAGAAAGGGTCTTCTGAAGATGAAGGAATGGAAGAAACTGTTTCCTCCAAAGCTAAAGCAGTTAAAAAGAAAGAGTCTTCTGAAGATGAAGGAATGGAGGAAACTGTCTCCTCCAGAGTTAAAGCAGCTAAAAAGAAAGGGTCTTCTGAAGATGATGTAGATCCCCCTAAGTCGAAGAAGGCCAAAAAGCAAGAAGAGGCACCTGAAGATGACACTGCCTCTAAAAGCAAAACCTCCAAGAAGAAAAAAGAACCCCTTGAGAAGAAAGCGGCCCCTGCTAAAACCAAAGAAATAAATATCGAGGAGCCTTCCGAGGAAGATGCAGATGCTCCTAAGCCCAAGAAGACAAAGAAGGGGAAGGAAGCCAATGGAGACATTGGCGAAAAAAGCCCTAAGCTCAAGAATGGATTCTCTCATTCTGAGTTGAATTCCACCTCCAAAGAAGCTACTGGTGAAGGAAGCAGTGAAAGTAGTGAGGCGGAGAAGGTAAGGCTGAGCTTCCCTGTGTGTGGGGGCCGGGGGGGGGGGGAGCGCTCATTCTCTCCCTCCACTGTGTGGGTCCTGGAGATTGAACTTGGCTTGGCAGGCTTGGTGATGAATAAGTATCTTACCTGCTGCTGTCTCACCAGCTTGTGAAGTTGTACTAGAGTAAGTAGACTGTTCCATTGCTGCAGGAGAATAGGTTGTCACTACACATAATTGTAAACAATTTAAAGTTGTTTGGGTAGTAGAGGTTGAACCCTGGGCCTTGAACATACATGTTGTTTTAATATAGAAGGAAATTGGATGTGTCAGCACCTCATTGGGTTATATAACAAGCTCTATACCACAGAGATGATTCTTGCCTCTCTGTGTAGCCGCTGGCTATCCAGGAGCTCACTCTGTAGACCAGGCTGGCCTTGAACTCAAAGAGATCCTCTTGCCTCTACCTCTTGAGTGCTAGGATTAAAGGTGTGTGCCACCATCACCTGGTTTTTATTTTATTATTTTTTTAATGATGAGGGTGTATTGCTTATTCCTGGATAGTCTACAGTTCACAGAGATCTGCCTACTTCTGCCTTTCAAATGCTAAGAATAAAAGCACATTCCAGGCCTCTTTATCTTTTAGTCATTGAGGCAGGCTTAGACAGGGTCTTGCTGTATATAGTCCCAGCCTGACCTTGAACTCATTGTACAGCACACAGAGAAAACACAAGTGTGTCTTTGGAGGGGAGGGAAACTTTCAGGAATTTTTTCTCCACCACAGGGTCTAGTTATTCAGCTCTGTTGTCATGTCATGCTTAGACAGCAAGCGCTTTCCCCCCCTGAGCCATCTCACTTCTTTGATGGGTTTTTAGACTGGTGTGTTTAGAAGAGCTCCTTTGTCTTTTTAAAAACATTTGGTCTTGTGGAGTCGGCTCTCTGTCCATCCACCCCGTGGGTTCTGCTGATGAAACTCCCTTTGTCGGGCTTTGGCAGCCTTTCCCCCAGAGAGATAAGCTGGATGAGAACAGCTCTCTTTTCACAGATGGCATCCTGAATTCATGTGTGTATGACTTACTGATTTCTGTGGTCTTTCTCTTTGATAGGAAATAACTGTGGAACAGAAAGAAGGAGCTTTCTCTAATTTTCCCATATCTGAAGAGACTGTCAAGCTTCTCAGAGGTGAGGTTCCTTGGTATCAGAATTTGAATCACTCTCCATTGACCTGTATGGGAACCAGCTCTTACTGTCGGCATTGGTGCCACAGTGGAGTGGACTTATGGGTTAGGACTGTGCTGTTTTAATTTGGTTATTAAGATGTGTGAGCATCTTACACCTGAGGTTAATGATACCAGGATGTCCTGAGGCCTTGGGTCTGTCTCTGAACTAGCTGAGAAGTTGTAGGTACTTCACTGTAATAGCATGGTGTAGAATGTAGAACCTCACTCTTTCAGGTTCAGATGAGCTTGTGGGTAAGATTTGATCACAAGTAAAAGTATTTTTCGCTTTTCAGAATGTACTTTAATCTAACTTTGTAGGTGCTGCAGAAAAGTGTAATTCCCTAATTCTTTCAGATGTATGGATGTGTTTCAGTTGGATTTGGTATTTTTAACAAAACATCAGGGTTTGGTTCTTAACCCTGAAAATAAAATAAAAAACAATGGCAAGTAACATGATTGATTCATTCACAGCTCGTGGAGTAAACTTCCTATTTCCTATACAAGCCAAGACATTCCACCATGTATACAGTGGGAAAGACTTAATTGCCCAGGCGCGGACGGGAACAGGGAAGACATTCTCCTTTGCCATCCCTTTGATTGAGAAGCTTCAGGATGGGCTACAAGACAGGAAGAGAGGCCGTGCCCCTCAGGTAACAATCTTCACTTCATCCCAGGCCCCAGGTCAGCTCCCAGAAGCGCATGTGGGCCTGGTTCGCATATGCTACTTAGTATTGGGTTCCTCCAAGGTCCTTGTGATCACTGAATTTATCTGAATGAAGGCTGGGGTGATTCTTTTGGATTGTGGTCATCAACTCTGTATTTCAGTACTGTAATCTATCCGGTGGTTGTTATCACCCATACTTACTAATTCATGTTCACATTCTCTATTCATTCATTCATTCATTCATTCATTCATTCATTCATTCATTCAAGATACAGCCTCTATGTAGACTAGGCTGGCCTCCAGCTCACAGAGATCCACCTGCCTCTGCCCCTTGGGGTTATAAAGGCATGTAGTACCACGGCTGGTTTCTGGTCATTGTTTTTGCTATTATCCAGAATGTATTGAGTGAGCGTTCGAAGAACCAACCCATCTACAAGTGTTGAGGCCTTGCGACTGACAGATTGTAGTTTAAGTCTAGGCTTGGCCTCCATCTTTGATATCTGCCTCAAAGGTTGTTGAGAATTAAATCAGACTAATGAGTAGAAAGTACTTTACATAAGGCACCTGAAAAAGCTAGAACATCAGCTAATGTTGGCGTAGCTCCTCCTGGTTATTTTCTGAAACTCTAGCTCTCCTCTGGAACAGCACACATTTGGACACCTACTTCTAATGGCTTGATCACGGGCTCTTAGAATATGCCTGGGTACTACTGTCTTAGTGCTGTTGTTCATGTAGCACGTGGTATTTGTTGCAAAACACATGATAAATATTTTTTTTTTCGAGACAGGGTTTCTCTGTGGCTTTGGAGGCTGTCCTGGAACTCGCTTGGTAGTCCAGGCTGGTCTCGAACTCACAGAGATCCACCTGCCTCTGTCTCCCGAGTGCTGGGATTAAAGGTGTGCGCCACCAACACCTGGCCACATGATAAATATTTTGAGTATATATCAATATGTGTAGGATGGGAGGCTGGAGAGGTGGCTCAGCAGTTGAAAGCACTGGCTGCTTTTCCAGCTCCCACGTGGTGGCTGACATCCTTTAACCTCCAGTTAAAGAGTAGCATGAGTTCATCAATGTGGTGGGTTCTGGAGTAGCTGAGAAACAAATACTGTCCAACCCTTGAAATTCTGGTTTTTCTCTTTCAGGTGCTAGTTCTCGCACCTACAAGAGAATTAGCAAATCAAGTGAGCAAAGACTTCAGTGACATCACAAAAAAGCTGTCAGTGGCTTGTTTTTATGGTGGAACTCCCTACGGTGGTCAGAGTAAGTACATTCAAAAGCAAAAGCCAGGCAGAGGAGTGTGTCAGCCATTGTTCTGGATGCATCTTCCACTTGCAGTCTGTCTTTATCTCATTTTGGGCGCTTCTCTCTTGGCTATTGTTAAAAGTGGCCAAGAGCAGGGTCCTGAGTGGTTCAAGGTAAATCTTAGGGTGTCTAGTATTTCCTAAAGACTGCAGCAGGACAGAAACCAGTGTATCAGTTCTGCCTCTTATATGTATGTTTCTTGCTGTAAGCAGACTTTTCATGGGCATCAGGTTTTTGCAGTCCCTTCTTCCTGTCTATTGGTTTCTAGTCAGGACGTTGCTCTCTCTGTGCAAGGAGGATCAAGCATTGGAACACAATCGGTATAATTTCCATCCACATTGGCTTTGGAAAGCCTGGGGTTGGTTGAATTTTGACTGATTCCATAGTAGTTCGGTGTCCAACTTGCTTAATTTTTATATTTTTGAAGGTTGTATTAGATAATGAAAGGTGCCCAGTAAGTAAGCCCCGTGTTCCCAGTGTTTCCATACCTCAGTAGAGGGTTTGCTTTTCTGTGTTGTCTCATCCTCTTACACCCCACGGAAGGTTCCTATTATTAGCCTCACGTAGTAAGTGTCACACTTGGGACGTTAAGGGAGGAAAGAGGGCTGAGTTCAAGAGCATTCTAAACTGCATATTAATACCCTACCCAACCCCCAAAATTTCTATTTCTTTAAGCTTGTCGCTTGCTGTCTGGGAATTTTGACATTTTCTGCCAGTCAAACAGAGTCTTTTCTTGTGCTAATATTTCCTAGTATGCTGGCCCTCACTTTTCATGTGCTCTCCCACTGGAGTGAACTTACCTTCAGGGTTGTTACTGTCATTACTTACCGCATGTTACTTTATAGCTGTCTGGTAAGAGTTTAGAATGAAAATGTATTTACATGGATTCTCCATGCTGATGAAAAGAATTTTAAAACAAGGCAACTCTTTTTACTGGAATTTTTTATAGTCGAACGTATGCGGAGTGGGATTGATATCCTGGTTGGGACCCCGGGTCGTATTAAAGACCACCTACAGAATGGCAAGCTAGATCTCACTAAACTTAAACATGTTGTCTTGGATGAAGTTGACCAGATGTTGGATATGGGTTTTGCTGATCAAGTGGAAGAAATTTTATGTGTGGCATACAAGAAAGGTAAGCTCCAATTTAAGGGACTGATGGAAGGGACCTAAGGTAGGGTTGTGGGGAAATTGTCTTATAGTAGATAAATAAGGACACTTACTCAAGGAAGCTGTTTTGTTTTGTTTTTTTCTTTCATTATTATTTAATTTTGTTTTTCAAGGGTTTCTCTGTGTAACCTTGGCTGTCCTGGAACTTGCTCTGTAGACCAGGCTGGCCTTGACCTCACAGAGATCCGCCTGCCTCTGCCTCCCTAGTGCTGGGATTAAAGGTGTGCGCCACCTTGTGTCGAAGACTTGAAATTTTTAAAGCCAGCACTTGTTCTATAATTGGTGAAAGCTTAGGAGAAGAAAATTTTCCTTTTCTGCCAGTTCAATATACTCACTGTTCCAACAGCTTTCAGTGTATTTCTGGTGTGTGTGTACTAATTATAAGTCAACCCTTAGATATTCAAACCTTGTCAGGTGATTGGGCATGATTTATTCTTCCCTCTTCCACTTTATTCATATAGGGGATGCCGCTTACAGAGGCTTTAAGCGCCTGGGGCTCTGCAGTACTTGGAATTGGTTCTGTGACACAGGTCTCACTCCATAAGTAGAGCTAGTAATCCAGTTGTAAAGGGCACTGAACTGCTTCTACCAGCTTGTCCCCTTTTGGGCTCTTGAGAACAACACCATAGTGCTCCTAAGTCCAGACGATCAGATTCATTGATACATTGCCTTTGTCTGTTGGGGATGCTGAGGATTGAGCTGAAGGCTTTGCCACTGGATTGTACCCCAGCCCTGGATTCTGGAATCCAGATTTATTTACTTATTATATGTACATTTTTCTGCCTGTATGTATGCCTTGATGCTAGAAGTTGTTATGAGATCTCATTACAGATGGTTGTGCGCTACCATGTGTTTGCTGGGAATTTGACTCAGCAGTCAGTGCTTTTAACCTCTGAGCCATCTCTCCAACCTCTGATTCTGGAGTCTTAAAATACTAAGCGTCTCTGGGTGTTACCAGAGGCTGTTTAATTAGAGATCCGTGCTGTTGGGTACCTGGACTTCCAGGATTTTTTGTCCAGTTGGTGAGCCTCCTTCATGACACAGGTTTCCCGTGAGTGAGGGAGACCAAAGGCCAGAAAACAAAATAGATTGATTTCACATATTTTGATCATTTAGGGATCCTTTACAATGACAAATTATTTCAGTTTTTGTGTATTGGGAGGTTTTAGCATCTTTACTTTTGTGTCTTTGATGCATAGCTAGCCACCAGTGGTTGGTGGTAATGGTGGTGCAGTCTGGAGATGCCAGGTGAGGTGGAGTGCTGTGTCTGCAGGCTTGTTTGGATTATTCACACTGACTTCTTTTTCCCCCCAAGATTCTGAAGACAACCCCCAAACATTGCTTTTCTCTGCAACTTGCCCTCATTGGGTGTTTAATGTTGCTAAGAAATACATGAAATCTACATACGAACAGGTGGACCTGATTGGTAAAAAGACTCAGAAAGCAGCCATAACTGTGGAGGTAAATGATTCATTTAGTTGCCGGAATTAGTATTAAATTGCCAAGCATTTTGTTTCCTGTCTAGCAAATACAAGCTCTTTTTTTAGGTAAATACTAAGTAAGCCCTTATGAAGAGCCAAGTAAAATTCATCTTTCTCTTTTGTGTATGGTATTTGCTATCTGGATTTCACCATCTAGCAGCCTGATTTCAGAGTTAACTTGAAACCTTGTGTTTGAATTAGATAAAGTGATTACATTTAGAATTTAGCCTCTAGAGGGCAGCAGAGCGATCTGACTCATCTTGAATCTGTTTCATCTTAGGCTCCGGTACCTAGATGAATTCATTTCACCAAAGAGCAAGCCTGTACAAGTGTTTTTTTTTTTTTTTTTTTTAAGTGGATGAAGGGGCATAGCGCATACAGGCCTTTCTTGTCAGTTAATTTGGTTTCCTACAGGAGCCTGGGAAATAGTGTTTCCTGATAACATTAGATAAAGAATCCAGATGCTCTTTGGAGAAAGGCGAGAGGCCTGGGGATAGACCACGTTGCTCTTACTTTGGTTTATTTAGCTTCCTTCTTTCCTCTAAGCAGTGGTGGCAGCAGACAGCCCTGTAAAGCCTGCATTTACTTCCTGTTCCACGGCATTAGACAGAAGTGTTGAGAAAGGAACTGTGAGGTCCCAGCCAGGCTTTACTAAATGCCATCTCTTCTCTTCAAAGCACTTGGCGATTAAGTGTCACTGGAGTGAGAGGGCCGCGGTTATTGGGGATGTGATCAGAGTGTACAGTGGTCATCAAGGGCGCACCATCATCTTCTGTGAAACCAAGAGAGAAGCCCAGGAACTGTCACAGAACTCATGCATAAAGCAGGTTGGTCCTTCTCATGTCCAAAAAGGCTGGGTCATCAGTAAGTCTTCACCTTGAACATGTCTGTTTTCATTCTGTTTTTCAGTCACCTGGTGACTTCCAGGTTGTGTTAGATTAGGGGCAGCTTCTCTACTGGTCGAGGTGTATCTAATCTTATCAGTGCTGTTTCACATGTAAAACTACACTTAAATCACTTATAGTCACTCTTGGGTGGTATTTCCAACCTTGGAGAGTGTAGTTATAAACAGTTGACATCGGGCTTTGAAGATTTTTCCGTGTAAGAAGGCATTGGTTTTTTTCACTTTGTAACCCAGAAGGAAAATACTCAGACTTAGCCCTTGGGCCTCTTGGAGGTCACTGTGTTGGGTTTGTATTCTTAGGTCAGTTTATGTCTTTGGCAGGATGCCCAGTCTTTACATGGCGACATTCCACAGAAGCAAAGAGAAATCACCCTGAAAGGTTTCCGAAATGGCAGTTTCGGAGTTTTGGTCGCAACCAATGTTGCTGCACGTGGGTTAGACATCCCTGAGGTTGACTTGGTTGTTCAAAGCTGTCCACCAAAGGTAAGGTTTTTTTGTTTGTTTCTTTTTACTAAACAAGAGTAAAACATTGCTTTTGTTTCTTTGGGTTACCAAAAGGAACTTCATTGGCTTGACTTTTCTGTGGTTTTCTTCTTTTTTTTTTTTTGGTTTTTCGAGACAGGGTTTCTCGACCTCACAGAGATCCGCCTGCCTCTACCTCCCGAGTGCTGGGATTAAAGGCGTGCGCCACCACCACCGCCCAGCTTTTCTGTGGTTTTCAGTAGATTATGTTAGTCTTGGTGACATGCACCTTTCATCCCAGCATTCTGTTTCATAGATTGAGTTCTATATATAGAGAATTTCAGACCAACCATTTGCTACCTTGCTTGGCTTTTCATTTAATTTTATTTAATTTTGTAGTTTTTAATTATGTGCTTAGAGTGATATGACGTAAGGATTTTGTTTAGACGTCTGTCTGCCCCATCTTTGCTTCCCGTTTGTTTTCTAACTTCCATCCTCAATACTCCCTCCACCTTCCCCTTCATGGTCATGTGTTCTAGCAGCCTCCCACTCCTTTCAGTAAATAAAGCCTTTCTTCCTCTTGGTGACCATTTCTGATTTTCTGAATTCTGCAGTCAGTTTGAGTGAATGGATAGGTGGGTGGGGGTGGGAGGGAGAGAGAGAGAAAGAAGTTAGTGTCTGCATATAAGAAAGAATATTCATGTTTGTCTTTCAAGTTGGTTCTTTCCCTTTTCCTGCAAATTTTATCATTGGGTTTTTGTGATGTAGTAAAATTCATTGTACCTGTACACATTTTCCTTATCCATTGGTCTGTTGGACATCTAGGCTGGTCCCATGTCTTTTTGTTGTAAATAGAAACAGTCTAACTTATTAACAGGTTTTAAAAAATACTTGAATGTGCAGAGTTTAATAAACTATTATTAAAACAAATTTTAATACTTTTATTGCAGCTACTTGAAGCTTGAAAATACACATACCCTTGGAATATTTGCACATAGGCTAGGGAGCATTGTTTGAGAGATTTTGAAGCTCATGGTTTCATTCACTGGCATGCACTCACTGCTTAATCTTAGTTGTATCACTCCTGTGCTTGGTTCCCATAGGATGTGGAGTCCTATATTCACCGTTCAGGGCGGACAGGCAGAGCTGGAAGGACAGGGGTTTGCATCTGCTTTTATCAACACAAGGAAGAATACCAGTTAGCACAAGTGGAGCAGAAAGCGGTAAGATGATTTTCTAACTTGCATTCACCACATGTTACATTCTGAAGGCAAGGTCAGTCTTAGGACTTTGGCTGAAAGCATCCTAGATGTGGGTTTTATTTGGTATTCCATGCTGGAAGTCTGTACGATAACTTGCATTTGAAAATAATGATACATAATATACTTGAAAGGCAATTTGTAGACATGATATGAACAATCGTATGAACATGACCAGAAATACTTGAGGTTAGAGTGTGGAGAAGGAATGGTGGGATCTGGGGTGTGGTAAATGGACCTACAACATTTGAGGGGCTGAGGAGAGACTAAATTTCCTTACAAAATTGATATTCTCTTTTTTTGTTTGTTTTTTGAGACAGGGTTTCTCTGTATTGTTTTGGAGGCTGTCCTGGAATTCACTCTGTAGACCAGGCCAGAATTGATATTCTTTATAGATGATTCCTTCTAGGAAAACCTTAGCTGCTCCCCTTCCATTGAGTGGACTTCACTTAGTGTCTGCCATGCAGAACAGAGAGGAGCGAGAGTCTATTGCCTACATTGGGGAAGCGGTGTCCATGGTTAGAGGTGATAAGATAGGCATTCACCTGTGGAATTAATTCCCAAACCATTGCCTGACTCTAAGGATGAAAATAGTCTCACATTGAGGGTCAGCCTATAACACAACTATTAAGGTCCTGGAAAACAGAGACAGATAGGCACAGTGAAGTGGTTTATTTGGTAGATTTAAGAAATAAGTTGCTTGGGCTGGAGAGATGATTGAGGTAAGCCCACAGACTGCTCTTCCAGAGGTCCTGAGTTAAATTCTCAGCAAACACATGGTTGCTCACAGCCATCTATAATGAGATCTGGTGCCCTTTCTCAGATAGAGGCAAAATACTGTATATATAATAAATAAACCTGAGAAAAAAGAAAACTATTATTTACTCTTAGAAACAATAACAACTGTGGTTTGTTTTCTTGTAGGGAATTAAATTTAAACGGATAGGTGTTCCATCTGCAACAGAAATAATAAAAGCCTCCAGCAAAGACGCAATCAGGTATGTTCTCCACCATCTCCAAGGTCTGCTTCCATGCTGCTGCTTTTTTGTATTCCTTATAAAGAGTTAATGCAGCCAGTTGCTTTTCACCAGATAGCCAGCTTGGTAGGAAAACTATCCATGTTTCTAGTCATCCCTGCCCTGTTTCTCAGGGGAAGCCACTATCAGTAGTTGGGTATGTGTTAGACATTTTAAGGATGTTTTTCCCACTTTGTGCCTGGTTAGATGGGATCACAGATAGTGTTCCAAATCTTCATTCACTTCTCCCCTATGTGGTAGAATGAAAACTGAGAGAAGCAAGGATTGATTGGCTGTATCTCATGATGGTTTTATTGGTAGTGGCGTTGCTGTGTAGAATTATCCTGTAGACTGAGGGATTGGTTAGGATTTCTTACTGTAGTCCCTATACATCATAATTTTGGGGGGTGAGTTGGGTTAGCATCGTGTGATCCGAAACCTATTGTGTACATACTTCTGAGCTCAGAGTGTAGCACGATACTGCTTGTAGGTGTGTGACATGCTCGTGTTAGAACAGGCAGAGAAGGGGCAGGGCCCCATAAGTTAGCTGTTTGCCCTCAAGTTGGAATGGTGAGTAGTTGTCTTAGTACACGCCCAGGCCAGGGCTGGATGTTGGCAGTCCCATCATGCCTCAGCTCAGGAAATGATCAGTGTGAAAGTGTAAAGGAGCCTAAAAGCAGCTTCCCGGGGAACCTTTGTGGTGACTTCAGACTTCACCTTAATGTAGCACTGCACCTGACCAGATAGATCTTGCCTGAAGGGTGGTGGTCAGGAGTGAAGATGAAGTCTACCTTGAGCATATCTGATAGAGTTATCCAAGGAAGCGTGCAGAGTGGTGGTGTAGTCAGTCACCCCTGCAGCTGACCTGGGATTTTAGGAAGTTGGTTTCTACTGAGCACACAGTTTGAATAGGTAATGAGTAGTCAGGCAGTCCATGAGTAATGCGAGTGCTAGCAGGTGGTGTAGTGAGAGCTTGGAAGCCTTCGCCAAACTGCATTTTCAAGTTGATTTTTTCATAGCATGTTTTCCTTTATGTGCCCTAAGATGAGACCCCATGGGATGCTAATAACCAGTTCAGAAAATACAGGTTGGTAACCAGGAAGAAGTGACAGGTCCTAGTAGCGCGAAAGACATGCTCTTTAGAGTGGTGGCTGCTAGCCCAGCTCACTCTTCATAGCATGCAGATATGCCGCTTTGTTATTGGCCAACACATCAGCCGTCCTCCAGCAGAAACATCTCAAAAACCTCTTTAAAACTGATAGAGCATCCGTTAAAATTTCAGAATATAAGTGGCTATAGTTACTTCTAAAAGTAACAGAAGTTGATCACTATATGCTGTCCCATGGGGCCTGGGTATAGTAATGGGACACCTGAAATTCAAGCAAGAGGATAAGTGTGACGCCATCCTGCTCTTCATAGCAAGTTGCAGGCAGATGTAATAAGACCCTGTCCCAAAGAGCACAATAAAAGCAAGCAAATGTGCTGTGGAACCTCACTGTATCTTTCATACTGAGATAGAGCCTTCTGTCTGTCCCAAGAGAGCCTAAACTTGTTTAAGGTGAACTTCAGATCCCGTCTCCACCTCCTAAGTGCTGGGATTCCAGGTACATGGCAGCACGGGATTAAACCCGGGACTTGCCTTCGTGCCAGTTTAGCTACACCCCTAGTTGTGCTGATGCCCATTTTAAAGCTCATTTATTTTCAGTTACTGCAGTGTTCCTTGTCTTAATTATTCTCTAACGAGTTCATTCTCAAACCACAGGCTTTTAGATTCTGTGCCTCCTACCGCCGTTGGCCACTTCAAGCAGTCTGCTGAGAAGCTGATTGAGGAGAAGGGAGCTGTAGAGGCCCTGGCAGCCGCGCTGGCCCACATTTCAGGGGCCACATCAGTTGACCAGCGCTCCTTGATCAACTCACAAGCGGTAAAGTTTTGGTATTTTATGAAATGGCATAAGCAAAACTGAGAGTTTATTTAAACTCTGTAATTGTCTTCACCTTCTGTAGTAGGTAGGAAAGCACTGACTGTGTTCTAATTAAAAACATACTCAATAGGGGCAAAAAAGACGAGCGTTTCCCAGGGGTGGATTGAGGGGAGAAACTGATTGCTCATGGGTTGAAGGGCCAGTGGTACACAGCAGGTAAATGGCCTGCCGCCAAGTCTCACAACCACAGGATCCACATAGTGGAGGGACAGAACAGGTTTCTGTACCTGGTATCTGGCCTCTAAAAACTGAATGAAAATCCACTGACTTGAATGGTGAGATCCTTTGGGACATTGAGGTTTCCTGTTTATATTGAAATAATTGCGGACCCAGGTAGCATAAGAAGTGCTTTAGCTAGTCCCCTCCAGTGCAGACACTTTAGGAAACTAATGACTGGGTGCTGACTTCGGTGCTCCCCACTCTTTCCTAAGATGGCTCCAGTCTACCTGTGCACATTCTGTGTGGTACGCTGTCAGCAGAGCTATCCTAGGAATACTGCCCTTCTCAGAGCAAGTGCTTATGCTGCTGATTGGTTTTCAAGACTTAACTTTTATGCCTCTTTCTCCCCTAAGGGATTTGTGACCATGGTCCTACGGTGCTCAATTGAAATGCCCAACATTAGTTATGCTTGGAAAGAACTTAAGGAGCAGCTGGGCGAGGGCATTGATGCGAAAGTGAGGGGAATGGTCTTCCTCAAAGGAAAACTGGTGAGTGCGGGGCCTCCGTTACCTCAGCTTGGTTTGGTTAGCATCTTAAGCAGGATATGTCTGTCCTCCTGTGGTGCTGTCTCCTACCCAAACTGCTGTGCAGATATCACTTTACCTTTATGGAAACATGAGAATAAAAAGGGCAGATAAGTATTATTGGGGAAATAGTTTTGACTATAGGATCCCTCAAGTCACATACACGACTTCACAGGGAAACCCAGAGCCCCAGTGTAAGGTGAGGATGCTTCTGAGGTAGGATTTGCATGATCAGAGAAGCCATGAGCATAAACTGGAGGTAGACTTGTTCTACTTACCAGCTCCATGTCACCACCCCTGGCACCCTTTACTGTAAGGATACCAAGCACCCTGTGCCTTATTCCCCATGGGGGCTGACCTTGGCTCCTTACTGTGCCTTCCCCTCCACGGTGCTCTTTAAGACTCCCAGTGCAGTTTCCCAGGTTCGATAAACAACTAGATGAGTCCTTACCTGTGTGACTAGCTGGGCGTTGGTAGAGCATGCCTTTAATCCCAGCACTCGGGAGGCAGAGGCAGGCGGATCTCTGTGAGTTCGAGGCCAGCCTGGTCTACAGAGCGAGTTCTAGGACAGCCTCCAAAGCCATAGAGAAACCCTGTCTCAAAAAAAACCAAAAGGAAAAAAAAAATCTAATTATTAAGTATACAGTGTTCTGCCTGCATGCCAGAAGAGGGCACCAGATCTCCTTATAGATGGTTTTGAGCCACCATGTAGTTGCTGGGAATTGAACTCAGGACCTATGGAAGAGCTGTCAGAGCTCTTAACCTTTGAGCCATCTCTCTAGCTCATGACAGAGTTCTTAGGGCATAGTGTTCACCCTGGTCAATTTTTCCTCTTTCTGATTGCTTACAATGAAGACCTCAGTCCCTGAGTCCTACTCAAGGGTAAAACCTCTCAAGATACCTGAATGTCCCAGTGTTCCTAGAGTTCCCCATGCCTGGAAAAGTCCATGAATTTCAGGGCCCTTAAGTACCTACCTGATAACTGTGCTGACTTTGGGGGGGATGGGACGGGGGGATGGACCTCAAACTGAATTACAGGAATAGTTTGGTACTGTGGTGTTGATTGCTTCTCTAGCTGATAAGGAAAGTGCTTATCAAAGACCTTATAGTGTAAATTATATACCTTTTCTGAGTAAATTTAAATACCTTTTCTCATGTTCTCACAGAATTATGAAAGACTAGAAATCACTGGGCATTGGTGGCCCAACAGTTGGGAGGCAGAGTCAGGCAGATCTCTGAGTTTGAGGCCAACCTGGTCTACAAAACGAGTTCCAGGACAGGCTCTAAAACTACAGAGAAACCCTGTTTAAAAAAAAAAAAAATCTAGAAATCAACAATATAATTTTCCGCTTTTCATTGTGTCCCAAATATGGGTTAGCACAGCGTAATAGCCAAGGATACCTACTCAGGCGCTTGCATATCTTGGTCCATTTTGAAGCATTTAACTCCTGCTGCTGTCTTCAGGAGCATATGTTAGCCGTGTTCCATCCAGCCTCAGTGCCTGCTGTTTTCTTTGGTGATTTCTCGTGTTAGTTGGATTAACTCTTCCTGCTTTGATTTCTAGGGAGTTTGTTTTGATGTCCGCACTGAAGCAGTCACAGAAATACAGGTATTTCTTTTTTGTTTTAGTGTTGGTAGACCCAAATCATACTGTATTCATTCTGAAAGCAGAGTGACAGTGCGGGTCACAGTCTTACTGTTTTATTGTGACCTTGCACTGGCCTGCCCTGCTCCTCCCTGTAGTTGTACCCATCGTCTGGCCACTGCTCTGTGCCGAATGCTTTCCTGTGCATTGGCCATTGCTGCGGTGACAGCTGTGGTGACTGCCGAACGAGAGCCATTTCTCCAGAAGTGTCCGCGTACTGGCACCACAGCCTTGGGGCCTTATACTTGGCACAAGCAGCTTTTTTGTTTTGTTTTCATGGTAAAGGAGTGGGGGAAGGGAGGAGAGAGAAGACAGATCTGTCTGCCTCCTCGGATGGTGGAAAAGAGCCACTAGCAGCTTTTTTAAAGCACCTGTTTCCAAGTTGTTCCCTGGAGACATGACAAGTTTTTCTTGTGGCTTTACCAAATTTAATTAAAACCATGGAATAAACCTTCTACCCACAGGAGAAGTGGCATGATTCAAGACGCTGGCAGCTCACTGTGGCCACAGAGCAGCCGGAGCTGGAAGGGCCCCTGGAAGGATATCGAGGCAGCAGGGGCCAGCGGGATGGCAGCCGTGGTGCCTTCAGAGGACAGCGGGGTGGAAGCAGGAACTTCAGGGGACAAGGGCAGCGAGGAGGAGGAGGAGGAGGAAATAGAAACTTCAGAGGTGGCAACAAAGGCCAGAAGCGGAGTTTTAGTAAAGCGTTTGGTCAGTGAGTAGAGGCTGGAAGGAGCTGTTCATACTGTGGCGCCCAGTGTCCTTCCCACTATCAGAGACCCCAGTGCTTCCTTCGTTTTGATCATCCGCCCAGGCCCCATTCCTTGCAGAGACAGACTTCGGAACTGTTTGATCTTACCATCATCAACTGTCTTCATTTTAAAAGGGGGTAGGAATTCAGTGCAGCGTTTTCCAAAGTAGTCAAGTAAAGCTAACCACAGATCTGCCTGTCCTTGTTTGTTGACTTTGCAAGTTCATCTGTGTGTGCACTAGCGCCTGAACCCAGGACCTCACACATGCCTAGCACGCACATGCCCTACAACTAAACTCTGTCTCTAGTCCCTGGAACTGTATTACTCCTCCAAAGAAAGTCATTGAGGACCACATGAGTCGGGTTTTTCTTCCCCCTGATACTTGACCTGACAACTGCTGGTGTCTGTGTGTCTGCTGAGGTTTCACTGAACAGTGCTTTCCAGAGCCATTTCAGACAGTGTCTAAAGCTAAGTCCCAAGTGTCTGAAGTCTCTGGGCTTTTTTTTGGGCAGAGATAAGACTGGATAGGTGTATCTGCTTGTGCCCTTCTTTTGGAAGAAATGATTAAGGGAAGAGGGAGCACAGCTGGTTTAGCTGAAGAATGTTTCAGAGAAGCCACAAGAAGTTCTTCATCTTCACAAGTGAGGAGACAGGCAGGACGGAGAACGCTTGCTTTGAATGATGACCATGAGTCATGACTCTTCAGGGACTGTATCTACCAGTGGACAGTCTGGGGGTTATTTAAGGGTAAAATGGGACAATTTTCTCAGTGACCTAGATCTTAGGCCACAGTGTAAGATCTGTTTCGGTCGGGTTGCTTTTCCATGGAAAAGTTAACAACGCTTAGAGAATTCTAAGACAAGCTACACCATTTGAAGTTGTTGCTTTGCCGGAACTGAAGAACTCTGTGGTACCTGACCCAGTAATAACTGCCCAAGTTCTTCCTCTGGGGAACCATCCTACCTAGCACAGAAGCTCAAGTGGTGGGGTCCTCTTGCCTTCTTAGACATTCTCTACAGGGAAGCTTAGAAGGACAACACGAATCACATGCTGCCACATTTTCTCTGGTTGTTTAGATCAACTGAGGTAGATCTTCAGGCTCACCCTCTGATGTTAGTGTGAGCACTGCCACCTAGGGTTTTTGGGAACACCTGGCACCAAAGGGCTCTGACCACCAAATCCTCTTCAGATCCAGCTTTGCCTTGGACTCTGACCAGATGGCTCTTGTCCTCTGTGCTTGGAGTTCTTTGGGATTTTTACTTTGTTGATGACTCTTATAGTAAGTTTTGCTTTTGCCCAATTACTGGGCATGCTTTAGTGAGACATTTCACATGCTGGCTGTTCTTTCAGAAGGAGGGGCTGAAACCTTTTTGGATATTGTATCAGCCTGTGGAAAAATGATCTGCCATAAATCAAACCGTGAGGGAAAAGATGAATAGGAATCTCATTTACACATCATAAGTAAAACATCACTCTGAACAAATACAGGTTTCTTTGTCCCAGAATCTAAACTATATGTATAATTCAGCTGTTATTTGGCTTAAATAGGGTTATTGGGAAATGTTATCATTTTTACTATTTTCTACAGAGAAAATATTTTCCAGCTGCAAATAACTCTGGACTTTTGAATTATATGTTCAAGATGTCTGTGTATTGTTTCTCCTGCCATTGTACATAAAATGTTTTTGCATTCAAATGAGTTCCTGTATAAAGTACTGCATTATGCCATAATAAAGATATTAATGCTTCATAGTTAGCTTTGGTGGCTTTCATTTTGTAAACTGAAAATAGCTTGACATTTTTATTGTAACAATGACTGCTCGGTATAAAAATCTAGTAAAACTTGGGGCTCAGGTTGTAGTTCAGTTGGTAGAGGCTTGCCTTGCATGCCTATTGATTGGGAGGTAAAAGAGGGTGGATCAGAGAGAGGCTAGCCTTAGCTAAATTCTCCTAAAAATAGAAGCAATCATGGTAAAATTTCAGTAGGCAATTTTGTTCAAATTCCTTTTCTTGAAATCACTCATTCGGTTCTATGAATTGCTCTCTTCTCCTTCCATTCTGTTTACCTTTCTGTACATACAGATTTAGTACTGCATATTTGCCCTTGGTTTTTCCTGACAGGGTTTCTCTGTGTAGCTTTGTAGATCAGGCTAGCCTCAAACTCACAGAGAGATCTACCTGTCTCTGTCTCCCCAGTGCTGGAATTACAGGCATGTGTGCCTCCACCTTCTGGCCAATAAGCCTTTTAAAAAAGGTAAAAGGTTATATCTTAAACTGCGTTTGGGAGGCAAAGGTAGGAAGATTACCATGAGCTCAAGGCAAGCCTGTGCTGCATTGAAAGTACCAGACCTTCAAGGGCTATAGAACAGGGCTTTTTCTAATCCCAGCATTCTGGTAGCAGACGCAGGCAGACCTCCTGGAACTTGCCAAGTAGGTGGTTTACGTGGCAAGTTCCAGGACAGTCAGAGCTACATAGATTCTGTCTTTAAAAATGTTAATACTAGCTGGGCGTTGGTGGCGCATACTTTAAATCCCAGCACTCGGAAGGCAGAGGCAGGCGGATCTCTGTGAGTTCAAGGCCAGCCTGGTCTATGGAGCAAGTTTCAGGACAGCCTCCAAAACAATACAGAGAAATCCTTTCTCAAAAACAAAAAATGGCTGGTGGCACACCCATAAATTCCAACACTAGAAGCAGGGTATGCCACAGGCGAACAGGCAGATGTTGGATTTGAGGTTAGGCTGGGCTACATAGTAGCAAGCTATCTCAAAAATAGTTGAAAAGTAGCAGGAATTTAGCCAGGTAGTAGTGGTGGCGGTGGCAGTGGCACACGCCTTCAATCCCAGCACTTGGGAGGCAGAGGCAGGCAGATCTCTGAGTTCGAGACCAACCTGGTCTACAAGAGCTAGCTCCAAGACAGCCTCCAAAGCCACAGAGAAACCTTGTATCGAAAAACAAACAAAAACAAGTAGCAGGAATTTATTATTAGCTAACTTGAACAAGGTCTGGTGTAAACCTACAGATAATTGCCACTATGCCTGGCTCAAAACCTTTATAACATCTTAGGGGGAGATTGAGGGGTGAGATGGCTCGGTGGGTAAAGGTTGTTGAGGCTAAGCCTGAGGACCTATGTTTGATCCCCGAGATCCGCTTGGTGGAAGGAGAAGACTGACTTCTGAACGTTATTCTCTGACCTCTGCGTGCACTCCATGGTACACGTTCCCTCCAGACACAATTTTTTTGTTTTTACGAGACAGGGTTTCTCTGTATTGTTTTGGAGGCTATCGGTCCAGCCCGGCCTCGAACTCACAGAGATCCGCCTGCCTCTGCCTCCCGAGTGCTGGGATTAAAGGCGTGCGCCACCACCGCTCGGCTCCAGATACAATTTTTAAGGCAACGACAGCCTAATATACTAATATTGAGCGATTCCTGCGTAACCAACTGAGCAGTTAACTAGCTAAGTTAGCTGTTAACAGTATCCTGAATTTCACCTAAGCTAGGGATCGAACCTCTAGTGTCATGCCCGGCAGCAAATGACCTACCCCTAAGCTACATCCCACCCTTCTAATTCTGAACATTGTTATATAAACTACTTCAACTCTCGGGATGAAGTGCGAGGAGCCCTACCACACCAGGCACAGCCGACCTCTCTGTCCTCCTCCCCGACAGCTTCGTTTCCCTGACGACGGCTGTTGTGGCGACCAGCACGCCCTCCCATTGGCTGTTGCCGAGCGTCTCGCGCTTCCCTCAACCGACTTCATTGGTCGGCGCTCCACAGTCACGACGTGTCGTAAGTGAAGTGTCGCAACGCGGAGGCCTCCGGTGTCTGGTCCTCGGGCGGGGAGGCGGCCGTCTGCTCAGGCCGCGATGGCGGGCACCCCGGGGCCGGAGATCCGGGAGAAGTTCCAGGCGGCGCTGGCCCTGTCGCGGGTGGAGCTGCACAAGAACCCGGAGAAGGAGCCGTACAAGTCTAAGTACGGCGCGCGGGCGCTGCTGGAGGAGGTGCGCGCGCTGCTGGGCCCGGCGCCCGAGGACGACGACGAGCGGGCTGCGGATGACGGACCCGGCGACCAGCCCCTGGGCGCGGCCGAGCCGCGGGACGCCGAGGGCCCGGGGGGAGCAGCGGGCGCTGCGGCTCGCGGTGATCGAGTTCCACCTCGGCGTGAACCACATCGACACGGAGGAGCTGTCTGCTGGAGAGGAGCATCTGGCCAGGTGCCTGTCGCTGCTGCGCCCCCTTCCGCCTGTCGCTCGGCTGCGTGTCTCTCTACATCCAGGCGCAGGTGAGATGCGGAGCTCGGCATCCAAAAGCCCCTCCTGGCTGGGGATGTGTCCCAGTTGGCTCAGTCCCCAGCTTCGCAGAATGCCGGGCCTGCAATCCCAGCACTCTCAAGGCTGCGGCAGGAGGATTGCTACGAGTTCCTGGCTAGCCTGGGCTACAGAGTGAAGCTTTTAATTTATGTCCTAACGCCTACCCACCATCTGCCTGCGAACTCCCTCTGAGCTCTCAGCGCCCGCTCCAGTATCACTTTATACCGTCCCTAGTCCTGGGCAGAACATTAGCGGCTGTGCTTTCGAACCCCTTGACCAGCCCAGTTTCATTCTATTAAGAAAAATCCAACGTGATTCAAATGGAGTGAAATGACAAGGGTTAGCAAGAATAATCCGTTCTTGGTTCAAAACAAAATGTTGAAAATCTTCAGCTCCATCTTTACTACATTGTTTTGTTTGCTCAGCAAGGAATTCCCACCCATCCCCTCTAATGTGTCTCCTCTTAATAACTTTTTTTTGGTTTGCGTTTAGTTTTTTGTCGTTTGTTTCATGTGTCCAATGCTGATCTTCTTGTCTCTTTGAGTGCTAGAATCTTCCCTCCCTTTTTCCTTTCGGACAGGGTTTGGTTTTGTAGCCCAGGCTGGCCTTTAACCCATGAACCTCCCGCCCCAACCTGCTTGCTGAGATTCAGGAGTGGACCACCGTGACTGACTCTTGTTTTAGTAGCTTCCATTGGCCCAAACTGATCTCACCTTCCAACTTTCAGTGTTTTATAAAACTGCTGTGAGTTATGAGTATTGTTAATGAAACACTGATTGGCTAATAGCCAGGTAAAAAGGTGTAACTGGGGCGCTCAGACTGAGGACTCCGGGAGTGGGGGTCGAAGGTGGGGGAGTAGAAGAAGGGTGGAGTCAGACAGACTCAGCCAGCCCGACACAGAGAAAGCAGGACGTGTAGGAACAGGACGTGTAGCAACGAGTAACAAGCCACGAGCCATGTGGCAATACGTAGATTAGTAGAAATGGGTTAATTTAAATGCAAGAGCTCAGCCTGGTGGTGGTGGCGCATGCCTTTAATCCCAGCACTTGGGAGGCAGAGGCAGGCAGATCTCTGTGAGTTCGAGGCCGGGCTGGACGGATAGCCTCCAAAACAATACAGAGAAACCCTGTCTTGTAAAAGCCAAAAAAAAAAAAAAAAAAAAAAAAGCAAGAGCTCGTTAGTAATAAGCCTGAGATATCGGCAGAGCATTTATAATTCATATTCAGCCTCTAAGTCGGTTATTTGGGACTGGGCAGTTGGGTCAGGAAACGTCCGTTTACAATACTGGGTCTCATTTATAGGGTGCACTTTGAGGAACATAGCACTTCAAAATTCAGATAGTGGATGGAGTTTTCCAGGTCCATTGGTAGAGCATTTACCTAGCAGTCCAGGTTTCATCTTGACCTATGGGGAAAAAATATGAGTAATGCCTGACTCCCTTGGGCCAGGTTAGTTCCTTATGCTTCCAAGCATTGTCATCCTACAGTCCATGTGCGCTCCAATGTGTGGACCAGCGGGTATTGACTAAAATTGGTTATTGAGTAGGTAGGCCTTAAGGGAAAGTCTCAAAACTTAAAAAGAAATTGTATGTCATATTCTTTTATTATGGCTCAATAAAATTAAAAGTCAAATAAATAATAATAATAAGCGCCACCTGTACTTTTTGCTCACTACTTATAGCTTCAGTAGGTGGCACAGACAGGCATATTTCACATGAGTGAGCTAAAGAAATTCGTAAGCTGTTCAGTTCAAACACTTCAGCCAGCTGCTGTCAACATGCCTTTAATCCTGGCCCCTGGTAGGCAGAGGCAGGTGGATCTCTGTGAACTAGGCCAGTCTGGTCTACATAATGAGTTCCAGGACAGCCAGGACTACACAGAGAAATCCTGTCGTTAAAAACAAAAAGGAAAAACACAAAGACAGCAACAGCAAACCTACTTTAGCAATTTCAAAGTTAAACTTGAACCTTGTATGATGGTGATTCTGCACCAGCAGCTTGACTGGACTAAGAACCACCCAAGAGATGCCCCTTTGGCCATGTCTAGGACGGTGTTTCCCCAATTCCCGCATAAACACTCAAAGGGAGGAATGGTTTGCTTTAGAAGATTTAGTCCAGGTTTTCTTGGTCACATGGACTCTGACTGTTGTAGTACGACAGAGAAAGACTTCAGCTCATGAACAGGAAGCAAAGTCGTGAAAACAAAGAGGGCCATATTAAAACCCACTGCTATTTTATCAGTTGTGTTACTTTAATTGGATGTATTCAGTTACCATTCCCCCTTCCCTTGCTTCCTTTCCAGAACAACCTGGGCATCCTGTGGTCTGAAAGAGAAGAGATTGAGACTGCCCGGTCCTACCTGGAGTCATCAGAAGCACTGTACAATCAGTACATGAAAGAGGTATGTTATGTGACAGACAAAAATTAAAATCGGAGCTGACACTAATCAAGAACTGATACAAGAATTCTTTGTTCATAGGCTGTGGAGATGGCTGTCTTTATAAAGTGCCTTGCAAGCCTGAAGACCCAGCTTTGACCCCCCAAAGCCCATGTAGAGAGCTGGGTATTGTGCACGCTTGAAATGCCAGATTGGTCTCAAACTCACAGAGATCTGCCAGCCTCTGCCTCCCGAGTGATGGACTAAAGGCATGTACTGCCACCACTTGTCAAAGACTGAGGTTCTTAAAAATAGCCCTCGGGCCAGGCATTGATGGCACATGTCTTTAATCCCAGCACTTGGGAGGCAGAGGCAGGCGGATCTACATGAGTTCAAGGCCAGCCTGATCTACAGAGGGAGTGCCAGGGCAGCCAGGACTACACAAAGAAACAGTGTCTCAAAAAAACAAAACAAAAATAGTAATAATCCTCAGGTAGAACATAATGGTAAAGATAGTCTTAATATAATCATAAAGGAAACACTCTAATGTCATCCAAAAGTACCATTTGAGTATTTTTGTATTTCCTTTAGATTTCCTTCATTTTGTATGCATGAGTGTTTGCTGCATGTATATATCTGTGTACTATTTGCATGCCTGGTGCCCTTGGAGGTCAGAAGAGGGCATCAGATTCCTTGGAACTGGAGTTACAGATAGTTTTGGAACCACTGTGTGGGTGATGGGAACTGAACTCAGTCAGGTCCTCTGCAAGAGCAGCCATTGCTCGAGCTCATTTTGTATTGAGACTACAGATTGTATTTTGTTCTCACTAAAGACAGCAGTGCTTTAAGGGAAGCCAGCTACCTGAGTAGTACATCTGAACTCTTCGTGGCTGTGCTTTGCATCTGTGGTGTGCACGCCAGCATCACCCAAAGGGCTTGCTAAGCCTCTGTCACTAGATCTGTAGGCTCCTGTGTTACCAGCAACTTGGAAGGTTGAGGGAGAGCTTGAGTTCAAGACCAGCTGTGCCACACTGCAAGACCATAACCAAAGCCTTGGTAGACCTGGCTCCCAAGTCCTTCTGCAGCAGCTCTGGGCTGCAGCCTGAGAGTGTGATTTGTAGCAGGGTGGCATTTGGGCTGCTGCTGTGATGCCGTGTTCTGAGAGCCCTGCTTCAGGGCTATGTTTTCCATGATGATTTTCCCCCGCGTCTGAAATGCAGCTTATACAGGTGAGCGTCTCTGTATAGGAAGCTCACAGTGTGCTGGCTGGATCCACGGCTGCTTCCTACCTCCCCATGGGTGATGCTCAGGAAGTGCTGTCCAGTTTCAGGGGCTCTGCAGAACTTGGAAATTCTCATTGAGTGGTCACAGTTCTCGAAGACAACAAACCACCCCTGCTGCCATCTGCCTTCCCGCTCTTTGTCTGTGAAGGGTGTTAGCAAGCACAGTATTTTTCTGTGAATTATCACTGTTGCAGTTACCAGCTTTAAAACCCATTAGTAAAATGCTAATTGCTTTGATTTGAGGCAGGTCTCATCGTGTAGCCAGAATTGGTCTTAAACTCATGATCCTCCTGTCTCCACCTCGTGAGTGGCCATCTTACAGGTGTGAGTGAGGTACTTCTTCTGAGAGACTAAGAGCAGACATCAGAGCAGTGCTCCATTTCATAAACAGTAGAGTACCTATAGACATGGTTATCAGTGATTTGTAATTAATAATAACTCTCTTGAGTCCTAACTTGATAAGGTGGGTGCTATCGATGTCCTAATTTTATAGATAAGGACATGGAGTACGGTAAATTAAATTACTTACCCAGAATGAATAGTGGAGATGGCACTCAACCTATACCATACCCTTTTTTTTTCCTGTGGGTTCTAGACAGTTTCTGATGTAACCCAGGCTGGTCTTGAACTCACTGTATAGCTGAGAATGAGAATGACCTCAAACTCCTGATCTTCCTATCCACCGCCTCCCAAATGCTATTACAGTCCTGTGCCACCCTCCCTTACTAGGACCCATGTTTTAAGGGACGCATTCTACTGCTTCATTAGTAAGCAAGCTTAGTCTAGAATGCAGAAATAGAGTGTTCCTAGAGCTACATCAGTGATGGTAGTGAATAAAAAAGAATGAGCTATCAGTGGAGCACACTGTCCATTCCTGTTTGCTTTGCCAGTCTAGTTTGGTCTAGCTCTTTTTTTTTTTTTTTTTTTGGTTTTTCGAGACAGGGTTTCTCTGCGGCTTTGGAGGCTGTCCTGGAACTTGCTTGGTAGTCCAGGCTGGTCTCGAACTCACAGAGATCCGCCTGCCTCTGCTTCCTGAGTGCTGGCCAGTCTAGTTTGTTAGATATTGTTTAGACTGCACAGACAGAGGCAGGAACTCTCCAAACTCAAGGCCAACCTGTCTACACAGTGTGTTCCAGGACAACAAGAGCTGCAAAGTGAGTCTTTGTCTCAAATAAATCTCTAAGTTAGAGATATTCCCAAGGAAAAAAATAGGTTCTTTGGGATGTGGGTATGGTAAAGACCTCTAAAACATATCCTAAATACACATCCTGAAAGTCTGGGCTGGAGTGATTTTGTCTATTCCAAACTTTATCCGAAGCCTGCTATGGTTAGTGATTTTTTTTTCATAGTACACTCAGTGTACTGCAAAAGCCTGAAGCAGTTGTAATGCGGTTGGTGTTTATGTCTTGCTGTGATAAAAAAAACTCTGACAAATGTGGCTCTGTGGCGCAATACATAGCGCACTGGGCTTCTAGTGACAAAAAACTCTGACCAAAAGAAAATGAGGGAGGCAAAGGGTTTAGTGGTCTTTTTTTTTTTTTTTTTTTGGTTTTTCGAGACAGGGTTTCTCTGTGGCTTTGGAGGCTGTCCTGGAACTCGCTTGGTAGTTCAGGCTGGTCTCGAACTCACAGAGATCCGCCTGCCTCTGCCTCCCGAGTGCTGGGATTAAAGGCGTGCGCCACCAACGCCTGGCTGGGTTTAGTGGTCTTACACTTCCAGGGTCCATCACTGAGAGAAATCAGGGCAGGGACTCAAGCAGAAACGTGAAGCCATAGGAAAATGCTGTTTGCTAGCTTGTTCAGCTAACTTTCTTATATAGTTCAGGGCCATTTGGCCAGGGAAAGGTTTGTCCCATAGTAGATTGAACCCTCCTATTATCAATTAATAATCAATATATTCACACATAGATCAATCTGATCTGACCAATTCCTCTCTCAAGTGACTATGCTATGTCAGGTTGACGACCAGAGTTCCCTAGGACATATTGTAAGGTCACATTCTCTATAGAAAGTGTTGCTGTCCTTGGAAACTTGATGAGTTCAGTTGAAAGCAAGGATGGAGTTCTGAGACAATCTCAAGGATAGACAGACGTGTGCTTAGCGTGTGCTAGACTCTGGGTTCATTCCCAAGCACTACAAAAAACGATAGAGCAAGAAGCAGGAACAGACTAGTAGTTAGGATTGTCCAGACAGAAGCCTTCATGTTGTGTGGATTTGTGGAGAGTACTCAGTCATCCTGACAGCCTTATGAGGTCAGATGCTGTGACTCCCTGCTTCTCATAGACAAGGAGACAACTTAAGAGGGTGACCTTCCTAAGACAATAAGCGGTGTGATCACTGATCACTGTTCTTTTTTTTGGGGGGGGGGTTACGAGACAGGGTTTCTCTGTATTGTTTTTGAGGCTGTCGGACCAGCCCGGCCTCGAACTCACAGAGATGTGATCACTGCTTCTTATTTAGTTGTAGAAAAAGTAATGTTGACACTGAAGATAGCTCTGAGTTCCAGTTACAGGACAGCCAGGGATACACACACACAAAAACCCTGTCTTGAAAAATAAAAACAAAACAAAACAACCCTCTTAGCTTGTTTCCCTGAATTGATTTTCATTAGTAGTGACAGTTTGAACTGTTACCCAAGAAGATATAAATCACTATTTTTATACTTATATATATTTTCTGTTTTATTACATTTACTTATGTGTGTGTGTGCATTTATGTGCCACATTGTGCATGTGTAATTGGTTCTGTCTTTCCACCATGTGGGCTCTGGGATCAAACTCAGGTGGTCAGCTTGGTGGTGAAGTGGTTTTTGTTTATTTATTTTTGGGTTTTTTGTTTGTTTGAATTTTGAGATTATAACATAATTTTTTGTTGTTTTTTTGTTTTGTTTTGTTTTTTGGGACAGGGTTTCTCTGTGGCTTTGGAGGCTGTCCTGGAACTTGCTCTGTAGACCAGAGCTGGCCTCCAACTCACAGAGATCCGCCTGCCTCTGCCTCCTGAGTGCTGGGATTAAAGGCGTGCGCCACCAACACCCGTCGAGATTATAACATAATTATATCACTTCTCCCTTTTCTTTTTTCCCATCTAAATTTATGTAGATTTAAAAGAGCCTTTTTAGTAGACAAAACAATATTAAAATATTAATATTCAACTAATGTGAGGTATGATGGCTTACACCTGTAATTCTGGCATTCAAAATATGGAGACAGTAGTATTGATAGGACTCTAAGGCTACCCTGGGCCACATTGTGAATTCAAGACTAGCTTGAGCTACAAAATGAGACCTGCCTTTTGTTTTAATGTGCATTGGTGTTTTGCCTGCATGTATGTCTATGGGAGAGCCAGATTCTCTGAAAATGTAGTTACAGACAGTTGTGAACTGCAGGGTAAGTGTTGGGAATTGAACCTGGATCCTCTGAAAGAGCAGCCAGTGCTCTTAACTGCTGAGCCATCTCTCCAGCCCCTAGACCCTGTCTTTTGTTTTTGTTTTTAATTATGCATCTGGGACTGGAGAGATGGCTCAGAGGCGCATTGACTGCTCTTCCAGAGGTCCTGAGTTCAGTTCCCAGCAACCACATGGTGGCTAATGCTCTCTTCTGGCCTGCAGACATACATACAGGCAGAACACTGTATACATAATAAATAAATCTTTAAAAATAATTATGTGTCTGCTAGCCTCTAGTCCCAGGTTAAAGAACCCTGAGTTTGAGGCCAGCCTGAGTTGCAGAGCTCCATGGTGAGGCTGTCTCTGACAGAAGTAATTTTTCCAGTCCCTCCACAAGAGAGTGCTGTGGGTTTGTATTTAAAGTTGAAAGAACTCTGTTCTTTAATCACAGATTGGGAGCCCGCCTCTTGACCCGACTGAGCATTTTCTTCCTGAAGAAGAGAAACTTACTGAACAAGAGAGATCAAAAAGGTTAGTCTTCATAGAGACACAGGGTACCCCATGGTCTCCCTGGGCGCTTGCTCAGAAATGCACACATGGTGTTTGCTGCTTCATGGGCACTGCTCCAGGATACACTGTGGATTCCTATGACATTAAAACCTCCATTTGTCACTTACAAGTTACCTGCCTTTGTTCAACTCGGAGACTGTTTCCCTACTTGTTGGTTAGATCCAAGGGCTAAGCTCAACTCAGATCTCTATGAATTTTCCCTTTTATGTTGTAAATCCCTATGTAAGTCAGTGTTTCCCTTCACAGATTTGAGAAGGTTTACACTCATACCCTGTATTTCCTGGCTCAAGTCTACCAGCACATGGAGATGTTTGAGAAAGCGGCTCATTATTGCCACAGCACACTAAAGCGCCAGCTTGAACACAATGCCTACCATCCCATGGAGTGGGCCATCAACGCTGCCACACTGTCCCAGTTTTACATCAATAAGGTCAGTGTCCCAAAGCAGCTCTCCAACAGCCTCGATAGTGCATGAAGACAGGGCCAATCGTGCTGTCAGAGCAGGGAGCTGGCATTTTATTGCTTAAAACTTGGTGTAGAATACAGCCAGCTGCTCTAGCAAAACAGCATTGGAGTGCTTTGTTGCATGAGTACTTTTGAATCTTTTTTAAAAATGATGTTTTTATTTATTGAGAATTTCATGCAACACATTTTGACCATGTTCTTTCTCCTCCCCCTACTTTTGAATCTTTAAAGTGCTGATTTCGTTATGCCCGCATGTGTTGCTAGCCCCTCAGATGACAAGTTACCTAACATCAGTTCCGCCACCTGTTAGCACCCTTTTCATTTTACTTTTGCTATGTGTTGCCTTAAATTGCAGATTTTTATCTTGTTACAGATAAAACCTTATCTTCATGTAATGCTAATCTTACAACTATGAGAATTTGTCTGAGGAAGTTGACGGTTAAATGTGGGCTTTGATAAAAGCATGTGATCTGTTTCCGTTGCTTTTCAGAATTAGCTGCTGTCTAATAATCATTTTTGATGTTGAATCCGTGCTGAGTCCTAGAGTTCCAGGTTTATGACATACTTTTGAACTGTTCCAAAGAGACAGATTTGAACTTCATAGCTACTTGTCTGAATCACTTGGCATTTTGTTGTATTTTGAGTAAATCCATTTCTTTTCTAATGTTCACCCCTCCCCCACCCCACCCACCACCACCGCCACCATTTTTTGGAGGCAGGGTGTTGATGTGTATCCCTGACTGGCCTAAAACTTGCTCTATAGACCAGGTTGGCCTGGAACTCAAAGATGCCTCTTAAGAACTGTGACTAAAGGCTGCCCAGCAGCAGACTGATTTTCAGTTCTGATTCACAGCTCTGACGTTTGGTAATTCTCAGCGCGTCAGCACCTCTGGTGGCCTGCCCGCCTACTCCTCAGCCTTTTCCTTACTAAGCCTGTTAGCTGGTTCTGTAAACGTGCCCTGTGTTTAGAGTATTATCCCACAGAGCGCCACTCAGAAAAGCTATTAGGAGAGAAAGGGCAGTGGTGCCTGCAGCACCGCTTCTAGGAGTTTGGTCTAGGATCAAGCATGTAAGTAAGGCTTTTTGCATTCAGTCATACAACTTCTGTGACTCCATTTCATCGTGGCCATCAAGAGGCCCCTCTGCTGCCTCCTTCCCTCCAGCTGTTGGGGCACCCTTGTTTGTTTGTTTAGCAACTTTAAACTTCTTTGTTCAGTATGGTTTTATTTAACACCTACAACCCCATAGATAGTCATAGTATAGAAATGTCTGGAACGTGAACATGTGACTTTTAGGTTGTTAAAGATTGCTTCTGTGGAGCGTGCGGTAATTTTTGTGCATCTCTCCTGCACCCCACACTTGTTGTTTTTGGGTTTTTTGTTTTTGTTTTTTTCATATCACAACCAGCTGAGTTCTGTCACAAAAAGAGAGATTTGAACTGTGTTTGAAAGTGGTGTTATTTGCGTTGCTACCGTATCCATCTGTTTCAGTTTTGCTGTTCTTCGAGTCCCACATTAACCACCTGCCCACAGGGCACAAGGCGTCTCTGTCTTTAGCAGTGGCTGCTTATAGGAAGACAGTCTGTACAGAGCCAGAGTGGTAATGATGGTAGACACTGTAGAGGGCCAAGTAATGTTTCTTCATGTGAGCTGCAACTGTCTTATGGTTGGAGATTTCATACCAACTCTCGGAGGTATGGATGCTGCTGAGCTATTGATACCCCTGGTACCCAAACTATTCTTTACAATAACTCCCAAATTCAGTGTAAAGGTGAGATATATTACTATTGAAGTTCTACCAGCCAAATCAGTCTTTCAAATTACTGATACGAAGAAGATATTCTCTCTAATGAGGGCGGCTTCTATTAAGAAAGTTAACTTCATGCTGTTGGGTGATTCTGCATTTTGCATGACAGATAACAAGTATTTGGTGTTTGACACAGAGATGTTCTTGAAGTGTTTGAGAAGTTTTCTGCACCTGGATTTGCATCTTGAGTTCTTCATGAGTATTGGCAAAGCAGTTCCGTAAAGTTCAAGTCTGTAGAAGTCTGTTGACCTGGAAACTTGATAGGGAGTATCATTGTCTTGCCGCCTCCCTCCAGAGGCTTTAGAAGACAGAGGTGATTCTTCAGTACTCTGACAGAATATAAATGGTCTAAGAATGAGCTGTGCATGGGACTTTGCCTGTTTACCCTGATCCTGAGCGTGTGGTGAGGCAGTTGGAGTACAGGATGCTCCGTGTTCCTGGTCGCAGGAGGAGAGTGACTCTCCGGTCATCTTTCCATCAGCTGGGATCCTTATCAGGAGTGTAGAATATTGTTAGTTTATTCTCGAGGGTAGCTTTTTACCAGATAATGCTACAGGGCCCCATTGGTGGGGTACTTTTCCTGACAGTGTAGCTTTCTGCATGTTAGTAGATACTGTTAGTTGTAAACAAGGCTTTGTCATAGTTACATTTGCTCTTGCTTATTTTCCCAACAGCTCTGCTTTATGGAGGCCAGACATTGTCTGTCTGCTGCTAATGTTATTTTTGGTCAAACTGGAAAAATCCCAGCTACAGAAGACAGTAAGTTTGTGTGTGCATTTCATCATACAGTTTCTCATTATGACGATCTTGGTCTTAGTTTTCTAAGGACTGCAATGACGAGTGTGTACCATACCTGGCTTCTATATAATTACAGATCTGTGTGAGATTCTGAAACTTAGTTTTCTTTTTTTAGATTGATTTATTTTATATGTCTGAGTGTTCTGTCTATGGGTGTGTATGTGTGTCCCCTGTGTGCATGGTGCCTGCAGAGATCAGAAGAGGGTGTCTTATTCCATAGAACTGAAGTTAGATGGTTGAGAGCCACAGTGTGGATTCTGGGAATGGAACCAGGGGCTCTGCAAAAGCAGCAAGACAAATCTCTGTGAGTTCGAGAACAGCCTGGTCTACAAGGGCTAGTTCCCTGCTTCGAAAAACCAAAAAAAAAAAAAAAAAAAAAAAGGCTGCAAGAGCTCGTAACATGAGCCCTCAAATTTGAAACTGTTTTAAGCTTTAGAAAAGTGTAAGGACAGAATTACCATATGCCTTTCTTTAAATTCATCATTCTCAATATTTGTGAATTCTGACCACTTGAGAGAAAATTTAATAGGCTGCTTTACATCTGTAATACTTCAATACATGTTTTCCTAGGAATGAGAATATCTTCAGCCAGGCATAATGGCTCATGTCTGGAATTCCAGCACTCCAGAGATGGAGGCAGGAGGAACGCTACAAATTTTAGGCCAGCCTGGGCTACTTCAGGCCGGCTCAGATAGTAACATAAGACTGTATCACAAACACTCTCTCTGTCTCTCTGTCTCTCTGTCTCTCTCTCTCTCTCTCTCTCATTCTTTCTCTCAGGATAGTTAGCAGCTTCAGGAAATGCAACACCAAGACAGTCCTCTATCTGCAGTGCATATTTCTGTCCTCAGTTGTCCTCCAGTGTCCTCCATAGTGATGTTATTCTGGTACTGTATTCACAGCTCAAGACTGCATACTGCCTTCAGCTGTCAGTGTCTTCAGTCTTCTTGTCATCTGGGGCAGTTCCTCGGGCTCTCCTTCCTATAATGTTTTCAAGGCCATGGCTGGCTACTGCATTGGATTCCTATTGGTTTATGAGATGTCTCCTGTTGCCATGATTGACATTTTGGTCACTTACTACTTATATAAGGGCTGTCTCCTCACACTGTCTCTCTTAGTTACAGAGGTTTCGTTTGGTTGGTCCTTTGTGTGTATGTGATGCTAGGGACTGCAGCGAGGGCCTTGTGTGTGCCAGGCAAGCTGACCCCAGCACAGAGCTGGAAGGGGTTGGGAAGAAGGGGGGAAATGACAGTGTCCATTGTTCTCCACATGCTGTCTGTCAGCGTACAAAAATACTGTTGGATGTGGCATTTGTTAAAAATAATTTGGCAGTTTTATTTTAAATATTTTAAATTGTGCAAACTGTTTGGCCTAGTAAATTCCATTTCTAGAAACCAGTCCAGATTCTAGATAGATGTATGTGTAGGGATCTGTAGCCTAGACTTGTTCATAATGGGAAGAACTGAAAACAGTATGTTCCCTCTACCAGAAGAATGCCTGGAATAGGAAATATCTGTTTAATTGTGGGTAATAATTGTATTAAAAATAGAGCTCTGGAGTTGGTAATGGTAGGGTCAGAATTTTAATGGCATACTATATGAAGAAAAAACTATTCAAAAGTGACAATACAGTGTGACCTCAGTTTTTACCTGCAGATTAAGACCTAAGAGAGCTAGGGAGGATATGCAGCCTCACTGTGCTGAGTGCCTCACAGCTGAGGGAGGGTGTGCCACTGTGTAGTCAGGAAAGGTGAGAACAGAGGACAGCGCACGTGCAGATGGCGCTGACCATGCTTACACCCGGGGCCTGTGCTTTTAGATCCTGAAGCTGAAGGAGACATGCCGGAGCTCTACCATCAAAGGAAAGGGGAAATAGCGAGATGCTGGATCAAGTACTGCTTGACTCTGATGCAGAACGCCCAGCTCGCCATGCAGGTATGCACATGGAAGTCACCTTCAGCTTCCAGCGGGGCTCATCAGGCCCACTGTGGGTGGGTTTTTTAATTGTGTGTGCGGGGGTGTCTATTTAGGTGTCTGTGTGTGTACAGATATGGGTGCACATATAAGCTTGCCTGTGAAAAGCAGAGGATAACCTTGGGTTTTTTGAGAGACTCTTTCACTGGACACGGGGCTAGGTGATTAGGTTAGGCTGCCTAGTGGGCCAGCAAGCCCCTGGGATTCACCTGTCTCTGCCTCACCAGTACCTGGATTACAAAGTACTTGGGTCCTAGGAATCCAATCTGGGTCCTCATGCTTTCATGACTAGCAGTCTCCTGACTAAACTAACCCTCCAGCCCTATTTGTATTTCTTTTATTTTTAACAGTCTCACTCCATAGTTTAAGCCAGCTCCTTCCTCATTCTCCAGATTGCCTTTGCAGTATTACCTTACAGACTGACAAAACCTCATAGGTTCAAGACACAGCCCATGCAGCGGTCAAGTTTAGATATAGGACCAACCACAATAAGGAGCTTAGTTCCAGAGCTCTGATGTGAGCCCAGCGCTCACTTGCAGCTCTGTGTTTCTGGTAGTTGTCTTTTCCTGCCTTCGTTTTCTTTTTTTTTTTTTTTTTTTTTTTTTGGTTTTTCGAGACAGGGTTTCCCTGTGGCTTTGGAGGCTGTCCTGGAACTCGCTTGGTAGACCAGGCTGGTCTCGAACTCACAGTGATCCGCCTGCCTCTGCCTCCCGAGTGCTGGGATTAAAGGCGTGCGCCACCAACGCCCGGCTTGCCTTCGTTTTCTTTTTCGAAACAGAATTACTCTGTGTATCCCCAGCCAGCTTGGAATATGCTGTTTAGCCCAGGCTGGTCTCCATTTTGCAGTCCTCCTGCCTCTGCCTTCTGGATGCTGGGATTACAGGTGTGCTCCATCACATAGCTAGCTGAGATTTACTATAGAGTTTTACTTGACAGCAGATGAGCATCCTGTTTAACTGTGATTTCTCCTTCTAGGACAACATTGGAGAGCTTGATCTTGACAAACAGTCGGAACTCCGAGCGTTGAGGAAGAAAGAGCTGGATGAGGAAGAGAGCATCAGGAAAAGGGCTGTACAGTTTGGGACTGGCGAGTTGTGTGATGCCATCTCTGCAGTGGAGGAGAAAGTGAGATACTTGAGACCGTTAGATTTTGAAGAAGCCAGGGAACTTTTCCTACTGGGTCAACACTATGTGTTTGAGGCAAAAGAGTTCTTCCAGATTGATGGGTATGTCACTGACCATATCGAAGTAGTCCAAGACCACAGCGCGCTGTTCAAGGTGCTCGCTTTCTTTGAGACTGACATGGAGAGGCGGTGTAAGATGCACAAGCGCAGGATCGCCATGCTAGAGCCCCTGACTGTGGGCTTGAACCCACAGTATTACCTGTTGGTCAACAGGCAGGTACAGTTTGAAATTGCACACACTTACTATGACATGATGGATTTGAAGGTTGCTATTGCTGACAAGCTCAGGGACCCTGACTCACACATTGTGAAAAAAATAAATAGCCTGAATAAGTCTGCACTCAAGTACTACCAGCTCTTCCTAGACTCCCTGAGGGACCCAAATAAAGTGTTTCCTGAGCACATCGGGGAGGATGTTCTCCGCCCCGCCATGTTGGCTAAGTTCCGAGTAGCTCGTCTTTATGGCAGAATCATCACTGCAGACCCTAAGAAAGAGCTAGAAAATTTGGCCACCTCTTTGGAGCATTACAAATTTATTGTTGATTACTGTGAAACTCACCCCGAGGCTGCCCAGGAAATAGAAGTTGAGTTAGAACTTAGTAAAGAAATGGTCAGTCTTCTCCCGACAAAAATGGAGAGGTTCAGAACGAAGATGGCCCTGACTTAAGGGAAGGAAACACAACCCGGAGCAATTCCCCTCCACCCCATAGCGAGCCAGGCCTGGCTCTGTGGTCGCCTTCAACACCAGAGCTAGAGGAAGACACCTGAGCATCAGATGCAGTCAGGTACCTGAGTCAATGCTAGGACTTATGCAGCATAGAGTTAATGCATAATTTATGCCTAATTATGTAAATTGCCTTGCTAAGTGACAGGTGTTTTGCATTTTCGATCGCTTGTTTTCCTGTTTCAATATGAGTATCTCCTGCCTTGACTTCTAACTGTTATGTCCTCTGCTGACTAGTACTTGTTGGATTTCACACTAGGAACAGCACGAGGTAATGTGCCTGGTAGAAGAGCCTGTTACTGTGACGAATTTGAGAAAGTCACTTCTATAGTCATTCTTTGTAAAATACTTTCTCAAACTCCTAAATAAATCTTTCCCTTTTAAAAATACTAAAAGCTTAAGTTAATTAAAAATGCTGTAAAAGGTCGGGCAGTGGTGGCACATGCCTTTAATTCCAGCACTCGAGAGGCAGAGGCAGGTGGATCTCAGTGGGTTCAAGGCTATCCTGGTCTACAAAGCAAGTTCTAGGACAGCCAGAACTGTTAACACAGAGGAACCCTATCTCGAACCCCCCCCCCAAAAAAAGAAAATTGTAAAATGGCTTATCTTAATTGTAGGACAAAAGGCCTTGCACATAATAAATTTACTTTTTTCAACTAATAAACACTTCTACTACTCCTTTTCTTCATGTAAGAATGTTTTTTGTGTATATGCCAAGTGTACACCTGTGGATCGTGTATATGTAGTATCTAGGGAGGCCAGCAGAGGGTATCAGATTTCCCTGGAATTATAGGCAGTTGTTACTGCTGTGTGGGTGCTGGGAACCAAGCCCTGGGCCTCTGGGAGAGAAGGCAGTGCTCTTAGCCATTGAGCCATCTCTCCAACCCATTTTCTTATAAAAATTGACCTTATTTTACGGGGCTGGAGAGATGGCTCAGAGGTTAAGAGCACTGTCTGCTCTTCCAGAGGTCATGAGTTCAATTCCCAGCAACCACATGGTGGCTCACAACCATCCATAATGAGATCTGGTGTCCTCTTCTGACCTGCAGGGATACATGGAGGCAAGATGTTGTATTCATAATAAATAAATAAATTTTTAAAAATTGACCTTATTTTTGTCACCTTGAAGGAATTAGCTTATTCAGAGCCAGAGAATAACATTTTAATTTTTATTATGATATTAATTATTCACAGTAATATATTTCACTTTGACATTTTTTTTCCACTTTGACATTTTTGTACACATATGTAATCTATTTCAGTCATACTCCTGTTACCTTTACTCGTCCACCTCCCATTTCCTCGGCCCCTTCCTCAGAGAATATGTCTTTAATAACATTGCTCAGTGAGAAAATATTAAAATAGAAAACCGTACTGATTATAGTTTATCATCAAGGAGCCCTGCTGTAGTTACAAACCACATCATAATTGTCATAAACATTGTTCGTATGTGTTGGTGAGTTAGACAAATGCAGAATTCAGGGCTGAGGATGTGGCTTAGAGGTTGGAGTGCTTGCCTAGCATGGGCAAGAACCTGGCTTGCACTGTCTGCATCCATGGGGGTGGGAACAGGGATGTAGCTCACAGTCCAGATCAATTGTAACATTTGCTGTAGACAGTAGCCCTGTGCATGGTTTGCTTGCCTATTAATTTGCATTCCAAAGCTCCCAAAATTCCATAGTGTTTCTTCTTTTGTTTTGTTTTGTTTTTTGTTTTTTAGTGACAGGGTTTCTCTGTGTGTACCTGGCTATCCTGGAAGGTGCTCTCTAGACCAAGCTGGCCTCAAACTCACAGAGATCTGCCTGCCTTTGCCTTCTGAGTGCTGGAATTAAAGGCGTGCACCACCATCACTGGGCTTCCATGATGTTTTTTATGGGCATGTGTTTACATAACTATTGTTGCCGGGGAACAAATCTACGCATAGCAGTCAGTCTGTAGGATTCAGTTAGAATTTCACCAGTCTTCATTGAAGTGCATGTGAATCAGGCCCTGTGCTCACAGAGCAGATGAACAGAGAGCAAGGTATCTTGGGGCGGAGTGAGGAAAATCCAGTGCTGATGCAAGCATTTGTGGGAAGAGGGGTGCTGCTTAGCTTTGCTGGTTTGGAAGGCCTGGACAAGGTAGGCACCCAGAGTGGAGAACTGAATGAAGAAGAGCTCATATAGTCTTTATTAGAGTGTCCAGGGATGCTAGTCTGAACGAGCTTGCAAAGGAGCCTGGCACTTTAGGAGAGGCAGACATCAGAAGTCAGGTGGAGGGGTCTATGTAGGTTGGGGACAGTTTGCTTTTTATTCTAGGTGCAATGGTTCCTGGAATTTTAGCAAGAGCACTGGCCAACCTGATTAGAATTTTTAAGAAACCAGCACTTATGGTCTGGGGACATGGCCTAGTTGATAGAGTGCTTGCCCAGACTCTAGAGACCCGAGTTCAATCCCAGCACCACATAAACTATACATGATGCTTCACACCTGTAGTCCCAGTAGAGGCAGGAACATCATACATTTGAGGTCTTTTTAGCTACCGACTGAGTTTGGGACCAGCCTGGGCTGTATGATACCCCATCTTAAAGAGAAAGAGAAGGATCGAGGAAGGAAGCAAACAAGGAAATTAGCTTCTGAGGAGGATGGGTTGATACAGTTGATCCAAGTCAGAGACAGGCTGGCTTGAGCCAGGGTGATGGGGCAGAAGCAGAAGCAATGGCCATGTCAGAGGTTTCTGAGGGAGAAGAATCAGAAGCCACAATTAAAAGTCGAGGAAGCGCACAGGTGAAGCCTGTTTTTATGTGGTGCCTGTGGGGTTAGAAGCAAGAGCTCAGTTTAGGTCATGTTGAGTTTACGGTGGCAACCCTGAGATGTTCAATAGCTTTTCACGAACCCATCCTCAAAAGGGAATGGAGGAGGCTCGAAGGAGCCAAGGAGGGCAGGCAGCTTCTTGAGGACAGATGTGACAGGGAACCTCACCCCTCTCTGTCCCAAGCCTTTCTTTCACAGATGGTGATGTGTAGGAGTGATTTTCATGTATGCCTATGCACACGTGTACGGTGTCCTCAGAAGTCAAAAGAGGGTGTCAGACACCATGGAACTGGAATTACGGTGGTTGTGAGCCACCACGTGGACTCTGGGAACCAAGGGGTTCTCTGTAAGAGCAGTGAGTGCTCTTAACTGCTGAGCGCTCCCCACCCCCAGGTCTTTCTTGATAGGGTCATTTTCGTGACCTCATTTCAGTGTTTATACATGTAAAAAGTACCTGCCGAGCTCTGGGTGCTACGCTTGGAGAATATGCTCAGGCTCAATGGCTTGTGCCTTTGCCTTTCTTCTTTCGGGCAGTGTTAACTGAATTTCAGAGGGTAAAAACACCAAGTAGAACAGGCAGCGACTGTAAAACTGGTCTTCATACTTTCATACTGTAGACATCAATATACTCTGCCCTTCGTCACTTGCTCTCTGTGACTTTGCAGGCTTTAAGACCTTGTCTCTGGTTATCAGCAGGAATCTCAGCTCTGTGTTCCCTTACTCCTGGCACACATCTCCAGGCTCTGCCTTCGTCCCTAATAGTGCCGTTTCAGATGTTCTGCTCACAAAGCCTCTTTGTACGACATTACAGAGCAGATAGCGGAGACCATGGGTTTATGAGCTTTAAAACCTGTGCATTCATTTGCTATAAAAGTTGAGCAGTCATTGAGAGGCAGGCCTAGTTGAACCCTGTGTTTCTTACAGAACTCAGCTAGTGGGTCCTAGCAATTTGGTGAGATTGAACTGTAAGCAACTTGAGTAAAATTCTTCACAAGCTACCAAGTCAGATAGAAATGAAGGGCCGGGCGTTGGTGGCGCACACCTTTAATCCCAGCACTCGGGAGGCAGAGGCAGGCGGATCTCTGTGAGTTCGAGGCCAGCCTGGTCTACAGAGCGAGTTCCAGGACAGCCTCCAAAGCCACAGAGAAACCCTGTCTCGAAAAACCAAAAAAAAACCCAACAACAACAACAACAACAAAAAAAAAAAAAACAAAAAAGAAATGAAAAGAAGGAAGATTGGCCTAAAACTCTACCCTATCCGAACCGTAATTATAACTATATAAAGAGGTTTTCAGTTACCAGTTTTGTTTCTAAGTAGCTGCTCCAGAGTTGGCAGTCTTTCTGTAGCCACTTTGAGAATGTGCCCATTTTTCATTTATCAGAAACAGTTTCTAATCATGAGCTGTAAAAACAGAACCCTCAGTTATTTGGATAACAATAATATTTTCAAATGACCCAGTATATATGGATGTGTTTTGTTTGTCTTTTTTTTAAAGATTTATTTATTTATTACATATACAGTGTTCTGCATACATACTGGAAGAGGGCACCAGATTGAATTGTAGATGGCTATGAGCCACCATGTGGTTGCTGGGAATTGAACTTAGGACCCGTGGAAGAACAGTCAGTGCTCTTAACCTCTGAGCCATCTCTCCAGCCCCATTGTTTGTCTTTTTTGCTTATTTTTAGCCTTTAATGGCTGAGTCATCTTTCCAACCCTTGTTTTTTGGTTTTTGTTGTTTGTTTTGGTTTTGGTTGTTTGAGACAGGGTCTCTCTATAGACCTGGCTATCTTGGAACATACTATGTAGACCAGGCTGTCCTTGAACTCACAAAGATTCATCTGCCCCTGCTTCCCAAGTTTTGGGAATACTGCTTTTCTTTTGCTACTGTCCTCAGCAGGAGGTAGTTCACTTGGCCTCACAATGGATGCTGTGGCTTTGAATGCAGGCCAATCCTCCTGTCTCATCCTCCCAAGTGCTAAATTGCAGACATGCCATTGGCACCCTGTAATACATCTGCATTGTAAGCATGGGTACTCAGATGGGCCTTTTGGTCATCCCACCAGCCAAAGAGAGAGGCTCTGAAGAAGTGGGGGGGGGCAATATATTCACTTGTTTTTAAAATTATTCTTTTGTTGTTTCGTTTTCATGAGACAGGGTCTCACTATGTAGCTCAAGCTGTCCCAAAATCCACTATGTAGATAGACCATGTTGGCATCAAAGTCACAGAGATGTGCCTGCCTCCTGAGTGGAATTAAAGGTGTGTACCACCACACCCAGCTAAAATTCTTTTTCATCATTCGTTTGACATGTTAGGACTTTCTGTGCATCAAGCACTATGTCTACTATTGCACTGTATCTTGAAAAATCTAGGATGGGAAAACAGTTTTAAGAAAGTAACCTGAGCAGCCGAGCGGTGGTGGCGCACGCCTTAAACCCAGCACTCAGGAGGCAGAGGCAGGTGGATCTCTGTGAGTTCGAGGCCAGCCTGGTCTACGAGAGCTAGTTCCAGGACAGCCTCCAAAGCTACACAGGGAAACCTTCCTGGACCCCCCCCCAAAAAGAAAGTAGCCTGAGACCTTCTGTGCACAATGTCTTGGTTCCATTCCCAGCACTGCACAGACCCAGTGCCCATGCCTATATCCCAGCTCTTGAGAAATGGAGGCAGGAGGATCAGGAGTTCAAGGTTGCATTTGGCTGCACAGTGAGCGTGCATGTAACTGTTTAATCCAGCCAGACTCTCAGGCCCTTCCCTTTCTCAGGAAGGTCATGACCCAATACTACAGTTTTATCTACAGGAAATGGCAAGGTTATATAACGTCCTATGTAAAACTGGGACTGGAAAGTACAGTTAAGAAACCTGGGGTGCCT